CTAATCGCTCATTAGCCAACGCTCTCACATATTCCAAGGCTCACATACCCTCTCTCCGACAATATCAACGAGGAACTCCTTCATCGGCCCATAGCAATGACCAGTAACAACAAGATGGTAGATAGCAGTGATAAAATCACACTGACACTTCTCCTGCAAGTCCTCATTAACACTGCGCAAGAACCGCGCAGGAAGTTCCTGCGCGTTCTTCCACTCCAGCTCAATCTGTCGCTGCACCTGCCCAACATAACGCAGCAAATTCTGAAGTTGTGTAGTCTTCGAAGCCAGCAGAGACAAATATCTCCCAGACTTGGTAATGAAACGTAGATCCAACGTAACAAGCTCAAGAGTCCTCGTTTCACCATCACCATCAACAGCCGACGCCAACAACGCATGCGTAGAACTCAACGGATGAGAAGCGTGCCTCAAAACCGGACAAGAGCCAGCAACACCAGGCGTCCTCCCAACAGGGAACGAACCAATCTCAAAACAATCAAAGATCCGCAGATGAACACTCCCATCATCAAACCCAACAGAAAGGACATCAACAGAATCATTGGTATCCCTAGCCGAGTGAAAAATAGCATCAAGCGACGCCCGCGAACTAAAAACATCATCCTCACCCCCCGTCGCAGGAAGCGTACTCAATTTAGGCAATGAGCTCTCGACATCCAGAAGCGCAAGCTCCCGCGGTAAATCAGCCTTGAGCACAGCAGCCGCCTTAGAGGGATGGATTCCCGGGGCGAGGAGGTCATCGACGGAGATATGACCGGCGGACTCGTGCAGATGTCTCTGGGCGGCTTTGCTATCAGTGAAATTCACGCCCCAGCCTAGACATGTTGCCTTGGGCAGCGACTTCTGCTCGGTTGAGTCTGCTGCTTCTTCGCCGGCGTGCTGGTGCTGGTAGGTGCGGTAGTGGTGCACTGTCTTGCCGCTGTACGAGCTGATAATGCGGAGTGAGCCATCTCCGCAGGCGACGGCGAGTAGACGACCTGGGGTGGGATATTAGTATTTGATTTTTTCAATGGGATGGAAAACTAGAATAGATTTGCATGGCCTGATTGAACGAATGCACACGTACCATTCCCCTTCCACGCCATCCCTCGAATCTCTCCATCCTCCTCGTCCTCGCCAAGGTACGGATCACCACCAAATGAACCCCCGAATACGCGTTGCCCGTTTAGTCGGAAGACGCGTAGTTCCTCGTCTTCAGTCGCTAGCGCGATCAGGTCCATTGTTGGACAGTATGCCACGGCGCCGGCTTTGCATTTTGCTGGTAGAGATTTTTCTCCGACGGGTGTTAGTTGGGGGCCCTCTTCTGCCATTGCTTTTTGTCTAGAGGCTGGACTAGATTCAGCCCATTCTTGATTTGCGGTCAAGTAGGAATGGCTGATTTGGTCTTGGTTGAAGCTGTTGACGGGTGGTGGATACAGGGATTCTTGGCGCGTGTGTGGTGTTTGGAGGATGTTTGTATGGGACTTCGCTTTTGTACTCCGAACTCTTCTGTTACTTATTGATGGTCTTCTTAAGTGAGAACAATCACTTTTCTTGAATTGTTCGCTTTCATGGAATTTCATCTCTTAAACAGATAGATAAATGATACATGTATGCAGTAATTGCTCCGGCGACCAGCACCGGACAAGAATAAGAATACAAAACGAGCGACTAAAGTACATGTAAAAGTATAGGCAGTAATCCATCAGAAAGGAGTGCCATCCATCTCAGACTGAATCATATTCTTCAGATAACTGAGCTCATCCATCAACTCTTGCATGGTAGCATTACCACCCTGAAAGTCTGCATTACTGCGCCGAGAACGAGTAGACTCAGCCTGATCACTGTGTCTCCGCTCGCCAGAGAGTTTCCTCTCAGAAACAGAATCACGCAGGACCTGCGGTAAGAGGATGGGGGAGGCATTGGGGCTGCGGGACATAGCGAGTGCCTGCATTGATTCAAGAGCGCTGAAGAGGGCGGCGTGGCGCTTCGGGTTACTTTCCACTTCGTCCATTCCTTCGATACCCAGTCCTGAGCCGTCGATGCTGGGGGAGGACAAGGAGACTGTGAGGTGGGGCAGAGGGCCGTTCCAGGGGAGGTCGCCAGAGGCTGAGTTTGGAGAGGAGGGTTTGGAGTGGACTGTCAGGTGGGGGTGTTCGGGTCTGTGTTTGTTGCTGCGTCGCCGGACTGGGAAAGTTCGGGGGTTTTCCACCTGTCATCTGAGGCTTCGGTTTCGTAGTTGCAGTCCTGATTGAACGAAGTTGAAACCATTGATTCTGGTGTGTTGTAGTCGTCGGCTTCGGTATCGGTGCTCCATTCGGAAAATCGGCTGCGTTCTGGGATGAAGCGGGAGTGGATGGAATCGTCTGTCATTGTCATGCTGGAGAAGTGGCTGCGCAGGACCTCCGCGTCCATCGCTTTGTCTCTTTCGTCGATGGCACGGACGGCTTCATCCATCACGGAGGATGGAGAGTTGGGGAGCGTGGGAAGCCTCTTTTCCTTCTTGGCGAATGGTTTGGTTGGCGTTGGCAAGTCACTGGAGTTTGCGATATCCTCCAAGGCCTCTCTGATAGCACGAGACTCATCGTAGGCCGCATTTTTGCCATTCGCGCGAGGAGGACCGTGTCCATGGTGCTCAGGGCGTGTCTGCACAGTGAGAAGGCGACCCGAGGCTGCATTTTCGCCGGTTCTCAACGCGCGACGACTTTGGATGGTAGAGGACCCGGGTTTGTTAGGCGAGTTCGCGGAGGAGGGAATTGCAATTCCAGCGTTGACCTTGATCCCAGGGACATTGCGGCGAGTCTCAACAGACTCATTTGAAGCATTGGCTGATTTCCATGCCTCTGGCGTTCGGTGCTCCGTCCCATTGGGTTGTCCCAAAGCAGCGCGAAGAGCCCGTGCTCTCGGGGGAGACATGGAACGCGAGTCCTTCGAGCTGTGGCTTCTGCGAGTGGCACTGTTCGGCTGGGATTTACTCCTGTGAACCATGCCCGCAATTGGAGAGGTGGAAGCCAGCGCCGGACTCGGTTGGCGACGCACGGACGTGGACGTCTGAAGACGCAACGGCTGAGGCTGCGGCGGCGGCTTGCGCGGGTTCATGAATTTGTCCTCTGGATTCATCGTTCGGTATTCGGCCTTTTGGGAGCTGTTGCTTCCCGAGCGTCCATGAGACCGACTATCGGGTAGGATGATGGGCACATTCAGTACATTCACCGGTTGCCCGGGAAGCAGGGGACATTGTGTAGTGGCAGGTTCTCTTTCGTTGTAATACTCAATGTCATCGTCCAGTAAGTACTGTTTTTATTAGCTCATCATCTGATAGATATGGTCAGTAAGACTCACATAGTACCAGTAGGTGCCTCCCATCTTGAGGCCACCGGTTCGCCATTGGTCAGGCCCGTCGCCAATGATATCCGTAAAAGTATGGCATCCTTTCCAGTGGCCCGGCCCAACTCGCTTGTCTCTTTCCATCACATATTGCTTGGAGAAATTATCCCACGATCCGAGCAGTTTGACCGACCGGACCTCGGGTTTGGTAATCCTAGATTGAGTCAGTAATGAAGTTGCAATTGGCATTGGACACACTCACAGCAAGAAAGTCATGAGGGTGGTAGAGATCATCGCAATATAAGAAAAGAGAAGAAAAGAGATCGCTAACAGAGCTGAAGATAGGAAGTAGAAAAGAAAGATAAATCAAAGAGAGAACAGGCACAACAATGCAGAACAAAAGGAAAACAAATGCTAAAACACAAACACCCAGTGCTGTACACGCAAATGCAAGACAAAAGACAATGGAGAAAGGCAGAAGTCGAGTCGCAAACACGAGTTCATATAACAATAACACTAAGAACTAGTCGGTAAGACTAGTCCAGACCCAAGGCAACACCAGGCGGTACCTGTCTCAGGCTTGACAGGTCTAAGAATAACGACGTTTCAGGTGTGATTGGAGCATGCCATAGCTAGGCGGGAGCCGCGATGGGACAATTTCCCAGGCGCAGTGCAGGGCGACAAGGATGGCCAATCGGAGGTGAAGATGCAAGCGCCGAGTACTGTGTAGGGACCCGGCGCTACGAGAGATGAGAGAGAGAGAGGAACTAGAGGAAAGTTGAAGCGGCGGAAAGGAGTGAAAGTAGTGGAAGGAGTGGAAGGAGTCAAACGAGGTATGTTGGAGAGACGTTGAGACATGAAGAGGCGAGGTTTTCGAGGGATCGGCGCGGGGATGATGACTTTCGCCGATCACACAAATTGCGGTGATGAGGGGTGGAGCGAACTAGTGCAGTCAACCAACTTTGAGGGCAAATTGGTATGGAATATGCCCGTCAAAATAGGGAATTGAGCGAAGATTATCACGGTGGCTTGCCTATTATCCATCCGAACCGAATTTCGCCGTTCCCCACGCAAGGTGCACACAATTAATTTATTTTACAGTGAGAATTAGAGAAACCCCCCTCTAGCTTCTTCCAAACAAGTTATTCTAGAAATAAACAGGAACTCCTAGCTTGGAAACTGGGAACGAAACATATCACATAGGGAGCTGAAGTGCCGAAACGACGTGATTGGCGTACAACGGTTTAGATACTCTTATTGGACACACTAGAGGAAACTACTGCAGCTAATAGTAGCTAACTTAATTGAACTAACTGCACTCATAGGCTCACAGGGTCAGGGATGTGTTCGCCTTGTACTCCACCCCGGCGGTTCCTGAGATTACTGTTGATCTGTCAGTTTCATATTAAGCCAAGAAAGAATAAACAACCCAATAAAATATGCGATTGGCTGGAAGTTAATATTTCTAGCAAGGAAAAAGCAACTATGAAACTGGCCCCTGAACAACCAACCTGAAACCGGGGACGAATATCTATACTTCACAACAACACCAACACATACACAGAACTAATTAGAGAACCCTCCGATCCAACCTCTTATTAACAGCACCAAGAACAGTCTTTAAGATGCCCTCACCACTTAACCCCTCTCCTTCCAAGAAACAGTATCAACAATATCTCTCAACCCATCCCGACACCTCCCCCCAGAAAATCATCCAACTCCTGCAAATACAATCTAGCACTCTCATCGCGCCCAACCTGAAAAAACTGAATGCCCACCTGCCAAGCAATAGCATCCATCAAATCCAATTTCCTTGCAACACCCACAATAACACTTTCAGCATCATCCGTAAACACCCCATCAGTAATAACAATAATATTCACCGGCCGCACATACAATTCCCCATTATCACCATGTTTCTGGGCAGTTTGCATGCGTTCCACACGCGCCATGTACGGCCGCAGAATATCATTCAGCCTTTTACCGATGGGTGTCGCACCGCGCGGTTGCGCGCTTTGGAAGATTTCGTGCACTTGACTGGGAGTTGTTATGTTGTAGTGCACGTTGCTGCTGGCTGGCTGGTTTAGGAAGTAGATGTCTATTCCGTCTGGGTCGTGGGCTGTGCAGATTGGGGCGATTGCTGCGATTGCGGTGGCGGCTGAGGTCCAGTTTGAGCCTTTCATGCTTGTGCTGTCGTCTACTAGGAAGATTGTGTCGAATGTGTTGAGGAACGTGTAGGCTGATTCCGGGTCTGTGGGCGTGTTTGCTGATTGGTGTTGCTGTAGGGTTCTGGGGGGAATTGGGTTGGCTGAGTAGGGTGGTGGGAGGTCGGTGGTTTCATTGTTGGAGTTGGAGTTAGAGTTGGGGTTGAATGTGATTGGACTTCTGAATTTCGATCTCCATGATTTCTTAGGAGCCGGCTCTGCTCTCATTTGTGTTTCTTGACCGGATGAACGTCGGTGTGAGGCAAAAGAAGCCCACTTGGGTGGTGATTTCTCAGAGAAGTTCATGGCTGCCAAGGGCATATAGTAGTTGAAGAAGTAGAAATGCGGACTCTGCCTCTATTAAAAAGACGTAATGTCAAAGACCCAGGTCTAAATATGGTTCTGTCTAAAACAAAGAAATCTGTCACAACCGGAAACACCACCTTCTTTATACCCGTCTTTGAACACGGCCTCATACCTGTGGAACTAATAACCAAAGTATCAAGATGGCAATGCCTAGGGCAAGAACCATGGGAACGTGGGACAAGGCATACTTGGGGACTATACAAACTGTCATATAAACTTTGGAATGCCCCGTACAAACCTTGGAATTGTCACACTGTCGCAAGTCAAGGCAGACTCGGGATGGTCGGCAGCCCTATTGGAATTGGCAGGGCACATATGTATCTGGTAGGGTAGAATGTGGTTGTAACCCGTGTCTGGTAGGAGCCACACCTGCATCTAACTAAACCAAAGACACCGTCATATATTGGACGTGCTGGGTATTTAACCTATAGATTAACCAACCAGATGTGTATATTGTTTGCAGGAGCCGCATGAGCTACCGCATTAGTTAAGGCTGGAGGCGGAGCTACACAGCCCAGCCCCACCTCCTGAGCGCACAGCCCAATTTGGTTGATACGAAGTACAGTAGCCTGGGTTACAGGGTTATGTTGGACTCTTCTGAAAAGTCTTTGGAAGGTATGACTCTATTAGTCGCGCTTCTATTGAAGTTAGATACATTTCGTGATTCGTAATGAGGCCCCCTCCCAGATCCAGGCTATAACGCGACAATGTATACAAATTATGAGACATGACCTGACACCACTAACGCGGCACATAAACAACAGAAACAACATAAGAGAAAACAAACATCAAGCCATCTATACCCCCTCTCCCATTTATCTAGTTAGAGGTACAGGAAGCCGACTAGTCAAGTCCGGCGCATTCGAATCCCCAATAAGACCATCCTCGTCAGTTTCAGTAACGGAACGCAAAATCCCAGGATCAGCAGAGATAATATCAGCAACAGCAAACGCCTGATCAATACCCATCGTGTGCCCAATCATCTCCAGACACTTCACGACCCAACGGCGGAGACCGTGGCGCGGGCTTTCGACAATACCAGCGACGAATAAGGGCCATAGGAGCACGAGGCCACCGATGTAGCTTTCTGGCGGTATAGAATTAGGTGAAGTGTCTGCCCCGTGTGCGTTGAAGTGAAATGGTGCGCCGCGGCAGATGTCCACGGCCAGTCGTCTGATTGTTGAACGGAGCGCCTTGCATTGCAGGTGGAATTCTTCGGACAGGGAGGTTATGGATGAGGTTGTGGAGATTTGGCGGATGTGGGAGAGGATGATTTCGCTGACGACTATTCGGGCGCTGCGGTATTGATTCCAAGAATTGCAGACCCAGAGGTTGGGGTAGATGTGGTATTGGTCGTCGTATGGTGATAGTCCCTTAAATCGATGTTGGAATTGTGAATCAAAGGGAGACTTTGTGTGGTTGGTATAGTTGAATTCTGGCGGGAGTGAAGCTAGCCACGCAATCAGGTCCGATTCGATGGCTGAGGCTGCTGATATGATTTCTCGTTCGTTGTTGAATGTTTTGGTTCTGATGTCTGCGCGTAGGTTGGATAATTTGCCAATAATCATGATGAGGCGGTTGCCATGTGCTTCTGCTGGGCGAAGGAACATGGTGAGTTTGGTACATTCGAATAGTGATTCTGGGACTCTGGCGTCTCGTTGTAGGCAGCTGATGATCTATGGATGATTAGTTTGGGATGGACGGCTGGTCCACGACACTTACAATCTGATATCGCAGGTGCAAGAATAATTTCAGACCAGCATCAGTCTTGAGCTGGTCAGTTCCTCTTATATCAAGCAAGGCCGTCGCACCATTGATATGGTTTGTCCAGCTGTCAATATTTTCCGGAGACCTTGACGTAACAACCTATAGTTCTAGTTAGTGTCTGCTTATCTGCGGGATCGACAAACTTACTTCATAAATGGCAAGCAGCACGACAGTGCCCAGAGTCTGATTCGTCTTCGCTTGATCCATATCGGATAGGGCGGTGTTTAGCAGCCTCAAAGCGGACCCATACTCCCTGTGGGCCACATCTTGCAGCGAAGGCAAGCCTCGGACACGGGAAAGCATAGCCGTCGCAGTAGCAACCACACTGGCCTGCATGGCCCTCTGACTCGCTGGGCCCCCAGACTGCAACAAGAACTTGGAGACCAAATCACTAGTCCAGAAAGACCCGGGAATAGCATTCGACCGCATGAAATAACAAATCGCTTCATACTTCGTCGTCTCCACATCCTGCGATGGCTGAATTTCGACCGGGCGACTCCCCAGTCGTCGGAGAACATTGAAGTCGAACTCCGGCTCCACCACGACCCCGGTCTTCCCTTCTGGGGATACAGTGCGAGGCGCTCGCTCGCTCTTCTTAGACCCGGCCGCCTTTCTCACTACCTCTTGGCTCTCGTCGCGGAACATCAGCGATAATTGATCCCGGTAGCCCGGGCAGTCCCGCTTGGCGCGCGTGCATTGCGAACACGCCGGTCGGCTTTGGTCACATCTGATCTTTCTGGCCCGGCACTCGCCACATCCTTTGCTTGGCTTGCCGCAGTATACCATGGCGTGTTGAAGAGTACCTAAGAACTAACTACTGGAGATCGTTGGATGTTCAGCCCAACGGAGATGGGTCCGCGCTTAACCGTTTCGGGTATGCTTTGCGAAAGCTTACATCTATATCGTTCTTGTTTTATTAGATGGTGAGGATGGGGGCATGAGAGGAAGAGGAGTCAGTTTCCTTTTCGATGTGATCTGACACATTCTCCTCAAAGCTCTCTGGGAATCGGGATATGGGTATATGGTTGTGGTAACGTGTGAGTTTGACTGTTCGTAGCCCTCTTGAAGACTGGAATCTAATCAGAAAATGACAACCGATTAGTATATCTACGCAAGCACACACGATCAATGGTCCTAGTGGGAGTACAAAGGTCGTTCAATTGACTCGTATATCTGCTCTGATTTCAACCCTCTCTTTGTAGAATACGCCCTCTGAAACAAGAGTTTCCTCTGGCAATGACTGTTCCAAAAGTGAGACTTGTTGACAGTTGCCGCATTGTAACTCCACTTGTCTGAAGATTGTCGCCTAGTTAGCAAAAACTTTCAAAGCCAGGACCATTCAGAAGTATCGATGTATCATTGATCATGATTGGGTACTCCTCTAAAGGCCGGCAGGCTTAAACACCAATTTCTCATTCTGTTGTCAGTCAAGAAGGATGCGGGGAGGGAGGGAGTTCAAAAAGAAAAGAAGAAGACAGTTGTAGATTGGCATTAGGATTTTTGGAAAGAAAAATGCAAGTAGAAGGACCATGATAGCTTTGAGTTGACTGGACTTTGACAACACTTTACATGAGTTGATACATTGGTTTCGTGGCGGGTCGAGGCCTCTGTATTATACGGTGCTTTCTTAGTCAATTCTGGTATGCCAGAGGCTATGATGTATTTTAAATAATACATTGAAGTCAAAGAGCTGAAGCGAGGCACTTCAAACACTTCAAATATTGTAAAAGTTCAGGCTTGGATGCATGAAAGGACCTGGTTCAACTATCTCAAATTGCGCCATTACTGAAACTAAATGAATGACTAGATACCGTTGCCTGTTGTTCTTCGGAAATCTGCTTGCATATGAAAATCCTGACGCCCTGGTTTCGTTCCTCTTATAAAGTCAAAAGTGACACAGGCTTTGCGACAAGATTCTATACTGCCAGCTCTGACGAGTTTCCTAGAGCTCCCTTGAGTTAATGGAAGCCTTAATTGAACAGCAACTTAGAATATGCTTAAGGAACATATGTTTAAACATTAATTTTATTTTTGAATTTCATGAAACACCAGCTTAATATTCATAAAACTCCATAGACTTTTCGGGGACGTTACTCAACACGCTTCGAGGGAGACTCAGACTCCTCGACATCGACCTGGGTCACCCGCTTTCTTTTCCCAGTAGACCCTCCACTGGACTCCGATTCCTGTCGTACAAATACAGATCCATCATCATGCCATTCGCTAATCTCCCATTCAACCGAAGTAGACTGATCGTCACTAACTCCCTTCCCATGCCGAGATCGCATCAAGCGACCCAAACGAGATCCTTCCACCATCTCTTCAAACCAAGGGATACCCCTTGTTGTGCCGTGTTGGAAGCTCCTGGAAATTTTGGGCTCCTCAAAAGACGGAATAATAACAGAAGAAGTGGGAGCCTCTGCCGGTGCCAGAGGAGAGGAGACGGAGACTCCAGCACGTTGGGCCTCTTCATCGAAGTCATCCGGAAGCAGATCTAGATCAGCCAAAGCCCGCTGGTCTTCACCGAGCAAGCTTCCAATGGTAATAGACATGAAGTTTGATTCCTCGCGCGGCTCCTCCGTCCAGAATGTCAATGGCGTTCCACAGTAACCACAGAACACTCGCTGAGTCTGAGGAGCATGACGGGGCGAGAATCTACGGCGGATGGAGGAGTGGGATTCATCCGGGAAGAATGATTGAGTATAAGACTCGTACCAGTCAAGAGGCACCCGCAGCCATGCCGAAAGAGGCGTGCCGTGGAATCGACCTGATTCATATTAGCATTGGCTGGGAGATCGACAGGCTAGCTTGGGATTCACTCACGGTTGTCTCGGCTGCTGTCGAAGTAGACCTCGGCATGTTCTGTCACATCGTCTGGGATGTTGACTTGGTATTCATTGCGACCACAGGAGCATGAGCGCGCAGCGGCTCGTAGGCCATTGTTGTACAAGAAGTACCGGGGCGCCGGTGAACTGGGCGAGATTGCGATAGATAGGGCCGAGGCGGGAAAGGAGCAGTCAGACAGTCAATTTGTCTGATCTCGACAATGACAATGATTAAATTTGAAGTGTCAAGTGGAACAAAATTGAAGAAAAGAGAAAGCAGGGCGAGTCCAGTGGACCTCTATGACGTTTAAATATTGCCAAGACATTCACTTGACTCCGCACCTTATCGCTATCAACTTCTCTGCTTCACCTTCTGTTCTTCTCTTACTCTCTCGGCGTTGACACTCAGAAAGAATCGCAATCGAAGCAAATCCCCGAACACGTTATACCCACTTCCGCGCATCCATCTCGAGTATCGATTCCATCCCTTCCTTTCAACCACTTCCTCCCATCCGAGCCGCATTCAACATGAATCCAGAAGATGGCGATGACAGGTCATCGTCAACACCGAATGGCACATCCAAGCAGTCCGCCCAAGACAAAGACAAGCCTCGTCTAACCGACCAAGAAAAGAAGAGCAACCATATCGCCTCGGAGCAAAAGCGACGCGCAGCAATTCGCGAGGGCTTCGATCGCCTCACAGAGCTGGTCCCTGGTCTGGAGGGCCAGGGCCGAAGCGAGAGCATTGTTCTACAGAAGACAGTGGACTTCATTCATGTCAAGCTCCAAGAGCGCCATGATCTCATTGCCGAAATCGAGAGCAAAGGCGGTCATGTAGATGATTCTTTCCGTCCATCATGATTCCTTTTACTGGGGTTGCCCCCGTCCCCTTTCGCTGGTCGAGGGGGGTTCGGGGGCAAGTATGTGCCGAGGTCCGCTCAATTTCAGGAACTATTCCCACGCCACACGAATTTCTTTGCTTCGTTGTATCAAGACGAAAATGATCTGATTTCCTATTTCCTGAATCTTGTGTCTTTACATGCGATATCATATCTATCTGTTTTCACCCTCAACACCCGCCCTTCTTGTATTTAATTCTTTTTCTACCCTTTTGTCTCTAATTGTTCTTTTTCCTTCTCACCTTTACTTCTTGTCCTTACTTCTGTTCTCACTTCTGCTGTACATTGAAGCTTTTCCTGGATACCAGAATGTATATGGTCACGGATGTTGCTGCAAAGCAACTGGGGCGTTAACTCGTGGTTGGCTAACTTTGAATCCATGTTTGTTCAGCTCTTAATGAGCGACTCCCAATTTCAGGGGCATTCAGGACATCATCGGGGCTATTTGAGTCCCGAGTGCCGCAGGTTTGGTTGCATCACGTGTACAGGTTAGCCTGGGCACATAATTGAGGCTGTTCACTGGTGCCTTGTTCGCCTTAGCCCTGTAGATATAAGCATAGGCACATCAGATATCAATCTGAATAACGAGTGCTATTCAGACAATGATCTTCTTGTATGGTGCATGATGTGGACATCAGTCTTACCGCCCACCGAACTGCCGAACTAACCGGGCAAGCTCCTGTTGAAGTACCCATTGACATTAACTGCACAGGGATACACATATCCTCGAAAAGGAACTTTCAATCGTACCTTTGTATCTATCCCGACGAAACCCTCCAACTGTACCCTCAGACTACTTGCCCGCAACAGGCGAGACATCACCCCGCATCGCATAAGAAAGCTGCCCGCATCCAACCACCAACCCACCACACCAACCACAACCACATCATGACCGACTCAAAAGAAGCCCTGCTCTCCAACATGGACGACCTAACCCAAGACCCACCCCCAGCCTACCACCAACCCAAACAAACCCGCCTTCCACGCCCACCACCGCTAGGCCTCCCCGTCCTAAACAGCCTCCGCAACCGCCGCGTAATCCTAGCCTCTCAATCCCCGCGCCGGCGCCAAATCCTCTCCTTCCTAGGCCTTCCAAACCTAGAAATCATCCCCTCAAATGCAGACGAAGACCTACCCAAAAGCCTCGGGCCCTTTGAATACGTACTAGCAACAGCAACAAAGAAGGCCCAAGCAGTCTACGCCCAAGAAATCAACAACGAAACCGCCGGCGAACCAGCCCTAATCATCGCCGCTGACACAATAGTCGTCGATCCGTCAACCGGGTCAATCCTCGAAAAACCCCGCTCAGAAGCTCACCACATGACAATGCTCCGTTCCCTCCGCGACGTGCGCGATCATAAGGTCTTCACTGCGCTAGTCGCCATGGCGCCGCTCGCTTCAGCCCGGGACCCTGGGTATGCGCTCGAGAGTACGGTTGAGGAGACGGCTGTGCGGTTTGATGGGGATGTCACTGATGAATTGATTATGGCTTATGTGCGCACCCGTGAGGGCGCGGATAAGGCGGGGGGTTATGGCTTGCAGGGGCTCGGGAGTATTCTTGTTGAGAAGGTTGATGGGAGTTATGATAATGTTATTGGGATGCCGCTTAAGGCTACGCTTAAGCTTATCGAGACTGTTATGGCTAAGGCGGATGATGAGGAGGGGTTGCCTGAGGATGGGGAGGAGAGTGATGAGTTGGAGTGAGGGGTTTTGGTCTGAGGGGGGATTTGTATAGTTTTTTGGTCGTTGGTCGTTGGTCGTTGGTTGTGACGCTTTATATATACTTGCATTCCGTATAGTGATCTCTTAGATAGAAATAAATGCATCCAAATGGACTTGAACGAGATCTGATATTGAGTATGCCTGAATGGGTGTTGCGTTTATTATTATATGTTGTAAATTATGGAGTTCAGTCGATTTATATATCTGCTGTGACCCGAAACATTGATACGCCACGAGGTTCGATGCGAATATCCGTTTATCTACAGCCGGACCCAGTCTCTAGAACAAATCAGATCCATCGGTAACTCATACCCAAACAACAACCCCAACAATCTACAAATGCAACACAAAATATCTTCTCGTACAAGGGTTACATTCCATATTTTTCTATAGCTCAAACCCAACCCGATCACAGCGGGAATTCAGCACCGACAAAAAGAATCGGGCTCAGATGAGACAAACAAAAAGAAAATCAACGACATATACAGAGGCCAAGGTAGAGGCGGAAGCGGAACGCCTGGATAAACCAGAACCAAGAGGTTATAAAAAAAAGAGAAATAAGGAAAGGAAACTAGAAAGACAAGCGGTGCAGCAATCTATGCAGTCCAGATGCGACGAAGAGCCTCGGTGACACCAACGTCGTTTGTCTCAAACTCATACAGACCGACGGCGGTGGTGAGGGTGAAGGCGCGCAGGAGCCAGTTGCAGGTGGTGCGGAACTTCGGGACGCGCTTGGGGGGAAGTAGTCGACGATGGCAGCCCTGGATGAGACGGGACATGTTAGGTGGTGTTCATGTTGGGGTGTAGATTTAGATTTAGATTTAGATCTAGATCTGGGGATGTGCTCCAGGGATGGAAGTGAGGTCTTACTGGAATCCGATGTGAGAGTGGGCGACAATCAGAGAGCACAGGATGGCGTCCATGACGGGGTTGAGGGAGCCGGCGGCGAAGGGAGCGATGGTGAGAGGGACGAGGCCGACACAGACGGCTCTGTTGTCGGTTAGTTCTGGGTTCTTTGGATTGCTTGTCTCCGGATTGCCCGAAGGTGTGACTTGAGCTGATGCTGCTGCATGCGAAGGGGAGTACGAACCTCTCGAAAGTCCAGTGGTAGCTGCCCTCGGAGGGGTGAGTCTCGGGGATGGGAGCAGGGTCGTTCACTGTCACGATTGTTAATATCAAGGACATGAGTAACAGCGGTATCGCGATCCGAATGGAAGCATTTCCCGAGGCCACCACGCTCAGCAGATTGTATGAATGGTAATTTATTCACGTTTTGCAGGCGGTTTGGCAGGTCGAATGCCCGCGAAAGCGTGGGTAGGATCGGGATAGGCAAGGCGCGGAAATCACATACGGGTTCCTTCAACGGACTCTGAATAGCGAAAAAGACATTAGCAAGACTGTCACAGTATCTGGTATTTCTCATTCATTCCGCTTCTCTCAATTCTCCATTCTCTCCGTGGCAGGGCCTACTTACGAGGCAATGGGGGCAGGATCTGCTTCTTAGCCGAGGCGTGGAAAGCCACGACCTGCGACACACCGACATTCTTCTGGAGGAAGGGCCGGGGAGCGAGAGTCTGCCTCAGCAGGGACGAGCGCGCAAAAGAAGCCATTGTGTGGTGTATGGAAGAGAAACAACCTCGCGGATGAAGTTGGAGGCCTCGGGAGTCCAAGTCGGGTATGTCATCCTATTACAGGTCAGGTGATTGGTCGACGGTCCGCCCAGCCGAAATTGGCCGATGCTCGAGAAACATTTAGCCCGACTTACTTTTTTATTGCTTACTTCTTTACTCCCTGGAGCTATATTGATTATTCCAATTTTGACTACTGATTATGGCTACTTGCACTTATTTGCTTCCCTATTTGCAGAAATCTTATTTTGTGCCAATGGCCTGTCTACTATCCTAGCCGAGGTATTCAATACCAAATCCCTTCATATATTGAAAAAAATTATGACGCCAATCTCATTATTTCATCAGTCTCATAATGCACTTAGAACTTAAGGACAGCCTTGCCCATGTTCTTGCCGTAGAAGATACCGACGAGACCCTCGGCAGCGTTGTCAATGCCGGCAGTCTCGTGGATGAGCACCTTGAAGGAGCCATCCTTGATCCACTTCTGCACATTCTCCTGGTGCTCCTTGGTGTAGACATCACCCATGCCCTTGTCACCAACGATGAAGCCGCGCATGTCAATACGCTTGACGAGGACGTTGTGGATGTTCTTGATGGGGTAGGGGGCGGCGTTGTACTGGGAGATCAGACCGCAGACGACGATGCGGCCGAAGTTGTTCATGGCATCGAGGGCAGCCTCGAGATGCTCGCCACCGACGTTCTCGTAGTAGATGTCGATACCCTCGGGGGCGAGACGGGCAAGAGCGGTAGCGGGCTTCTCGGTCTTGTAGTTGAAGCCGCCGTCGAAGCCGAGAGTCTTGGTTATGTACTCGAGCTTCTCGTCGGAGCCGACGGATCCAATGACGCGCAGACCCTCGTGCTTGGCGAGCTGGCCGACGAGCTGGCCGACGGCTCCGCTGGCGGCGGAGACGAAGATAGTCTCGCCCTTCTTGGGCTTGCCGATCTCGTACAGGGAAGAGTATGCGGTCAGACCGGGCATACCTAGGGGACCGAGGAAGACGCGAATGTCCTCGATTCCGAGGGGGTTCTCGAGCTTGCGGATGCGGATCATCTCCTTCTCGCCGACGGCGACGTACTCCTGCACGGCGACATGGCCGATGACGAGGTCACCCTCCTTGTAGTTGGCGTTGTTGGAGCGCACGATCTTGCCAATGGTGGCGCTCTCAATTGGCTTGTTGAGCTCGAAGGCGGGGGCGTACGACTTGGTCTCGGCGGGGCGCATGCGGCCACGCATGTAAGGGTCGAAGCTGGTGTAGAGGGACTGCAGAACGACACCATTGTCGGGGGCAGCAACGTTGGCGTCATAGGCAGCGGCCTCGACGGCCAAGTGCTCGCCGGGGACAGGGTATCCCTGGGGGATGGACTTGAAGACGAGAGCCTTGTTAGACATTATGAAGTAATTATGATGTGGATAGAGGTAGAGGTAGAAGTGGAAGATATAGGTTTGGATATTTAAGAGAGAATGCGGTAACACAGCTCTTTTATACAAAGCTACACCAAGCGGGGCAGTCAATGAGCCGAGGAAGAATGCAAGATCTCAACATTTTATTATAAAGCAGACTGGGTCCGGAGAAGATTCTCGAGAAGGTTATGCTGAAGCTGGTAGACTCCACTATCTGCAAGTTTTGGTTTCAGTTGGCTGATTATTACTTGCAGACTGGCATGCGTAAGCTAAAATGGTCATAAATGTCCACTATGCCATGGTCTCAAAGCCCGACATAGGCAAAATCAGTGAGGCATTGGTGCATAACTGTGGCAACGGGATTCCAGTGGGGACCGGATGAATTGAATACAAGTCAGACCGACGGGGAAACTCCATTATGGGCAGGACGACCGTCCCTCGGCACGTCTCAAGGTTGAAAACGACGATTTTTAAGCACGGAGGAGCTTACCGTTTCGGGAGGCAGAGCCTGCTATGGAGGGGTAGATCAGTTGAATTTGTACATAGTATGGTATTTATGAGAATACAGACATGAACTGGAGTTAGTCGATATACAAAGTACTATTGTTGAGGTCATTATGCAGACTTTTCAAGGTCTATGACCAGAGCTGGGTGTCTGGCCGGGTGGTAGCAGACTGTAAAAATGAAGTCATCCAAAATTATGTATTAGTCATGCCCGGAATGGGAACTATGAATATGAACGTTCTAAATAGCTGGAAGATGCAATTTCAGGCCTTGCCGGCGAGTGCACCTGCTGCCTTGTCGATAAAGAAATGCTTGCTCTTGATCATCTTGACCATGAAGCTGAAAGGCACGAATCCAAAGATCTGGCCAGTGCCACCAGTTTCGCCCACAGGCACCACCATCATAATGCCATCACCTTGCTCGAAGGTCTTGATAGCACCAGTGCCAATAATATCGGCCTTGAGGTTTGCCGCCGCCACATGTGCCTGCTCTATGGCCTTGAAACTGAGACGCATAGAGTTGTTGGTGATATCGCCAGCGGCAAAGATGGGCAGTGATTTGCCATCGCTGGACTGGACACGCATCTCGCTGTTGACCGTCACCCAACCATTCTTGTCGAGGAACTCAGCCGGAATGAAGCTGTTGTTGGGCACCACACCGGTGGTGGGGATATAAAGATCGGCCGAAAGCTTATCGCCGCCCTCTAGAGACACAGTCCAACTTGACCCGTCATCAGCGGGGGTCTCTACACCCATGACTCGCTTCGACGTGATAATCTTGACCTTTTTCTGCTCGAGCATCTTGCGTGCGGCAGAGCTGGCTGATGGCTTGAGCATAGGGAGCACGCGATCAGTGGCCGAGACCAGCGTGATCGAGACCTTGCCAGCATTACCACTTTGTTCCACGGCTTCAGCAAGCTCACCCGCCAGTTCCACACCGATGGGTCCTGCGCCTCCGATAACGATCTCTTTCGCACCAGAAATGTGTCCCTGGGCCGACTTGATCAGCTCCTCCATATCATCGTGATTCGCCTGCTTGAAAGGGATCGAGGTGCCGGTGAGCGAGCCTGACGTGGCCGAGGTTGTACTGCCGGATGCGATGACGAGGTAATCATATGGTACGGCTGCAGAGGCACCACCGTTCGAGTTCACGGAGACAGTCTTGGCGGTTGTGTCGATGGCACTTGCAGTGCCTGCGATAAAGCGAAAGGCGTCAGGGCGGTAGCCTGCGAAAGCATCCTTGATCGGGAGCAAATACTGCTCCGTACGGAAGGCCTTGGGTTTGGCGACGATACGCGGGGCCGCGATGTTCCAGAAGAAGCTGGTTGAAGGATTGATCAGCGTGACCTGAGCGTCAGACACATCACGAAGCATCGAGTGGGCAATATGAAGGCCCGCATAGGAGCCTCCGACAATGACTACATTCACAGGGGCCATGGTGTGAAGTTGAAGTCTTCAAGAAGGTGAGTTTCCTTGGAAGTGCGAGGAAGGTTGATCTTATATGTCTTGGGACTGTCCCGCGTCTATGCAGGGCCTGCTGCAAGGCTTGAAGTATCAACAGACGTATTTCCCCAAGTCTTCCATGGGACAGATTTGAACTGGTTGGTCAGCATATTCTAGTTCCCCCGAGACTTCGGGTGTGGCTTTCTCCTATTTGCCGCTTTTACCTTCACATCTGAGGCGCTTCAGGTCCCTTGAGTACATTCTAGTCCGCCACGTGATAGCAGTCACGTGATATTATTCCAACACAGGTCTTGAAGGCATTTGAACACTCGAATGATGGCCTGAGAATACCGTATTCATCAAATCTGGCAATGCGAATACCAATATCTTGAAAGTTTTGCAAAAATGCATCCTTGCCAACAAAGAGACAATTCTGATGTGGGCACTCTTCGGCAAGACAAATATGCCTTATTTTGTCCAATATATATAGTGCCTCTGGAACTAGCCACTACCAAGGTCGTAGATATTCAATCAAACCTGCGGCTAGCTTACCTGGAATTAATGCATGTAATGTAGTGCTCAGTAGCCCATGAGATTATGAGATGCTCCATTTTAGTCACAGTCTGGGGTACAGAAGCGTGCTCAGTTCTACTGAGCAAAAAGCGGCAAGCGCTAGGCAACTAAAACGGGACTGAACAGTATAAAGTAAGCGGGAGAGGGATATATTTGAGCTCCGAACCGAAGCACAATAAGTAAGCATTGGAAATCCATTTGGACAGCCGTGATGGTATTTCCAAGCCTTTGTCAGTTTGTAGGTTTGACTAATTTGACTGTTTGACTAGTTTGCACCGCTTGGCGTGCTTGACTTAATTGGATTATTTATTTGACTGTTTGGCTTGTTTGCTCTCTCCGTCCCTTTTTCTTGTCAAAACATAGAGCAACGATAAGATGTAGAGCCACACACATTGTAATATAATATGATATTAGTGAAAACCGCGTCAGGAGCATGCGCCAATCACATTCATCCCACACCTTGTGACCTTATGAAACAGAAGGCATAGAGCAACGATAAGATGTAGAGCCACACACATTGTAATATACTATGATATGAGTGAAAACCGCGTCAGGAGCATGCACCAATCACATTTAGCCCACACCTTGTGACCTTATGGAACAGAAGTGGCTTCAGCATTTTACAGCCAATATAGTCCGAAGTCCAAGGCTCATATCTTATCGATAAGAGTCATGTGACCGTGATTATTTTTGCGGTCTCCTGGATCGCCCCAATTGCAATCTGCTTTTTTTATCATCCTTACCCATATTTTCCATCATTCATTCAAAATGCTTGGAACACTTCGCCGATTCGGCGTATCCAGTGTGCTCCGCGCGTCTGCGCCTCGTACCCTCTCAACGAGATGGGCTTCCCAGTTGCCGAAAGTGCAAGCTCTCTCGGCGTCTTCGGTGCTGACGAGATCGCTGCACTCTTCTTTCCCCAAATTCTCTGCCGCTGTTGCCCAAGAGTCTACTGAGACTGAGCCATCTCAGAAGATTGAAAAATTTGCAGAACTAGGAGAACAAGGCTTCATTGACAGCACGATCATCAAGAACATCACCCATCCTTCCAGGATGAACCTCGAGACCATGACTGAGGTGCAATCCATGACTCTTCGCGAGATTGTGAAGGGCGATGATGTGTAAGTTTTGCTATGCGTCAGCTATAAATCGAGATGAATTGATCCGCTAATATGCCAACCTTTTTCAGCCTTGCCCAGGCCAAGACAGGAACTGGAAAGACTCTTGCTTTCCTCCTCCCCACTCTTCAGAACATCCTTAATGATCCCGGTGTCGACGTTTCCAAGGTTGGACGTTACTCCAGAACCGCTCCCTCCGAAATCCGCGCCCTTATCATCTCCCCTACCCGTGAATTGGCCGAACAGATTGCTGTCGAGGCCAAGAAGGTCGCCTTCGGCACTGGCCTCATTGTGCAAACTGCTGTTGGTGGTACCCAGAAGCGCTCCGGCCTGATGAAGATTCAGCGCGAGGGCTGCCACCTACTCATCGGTACCCCGGGACGTCTTAAGGACATTCTCTCTGACCCTTGGACTGGTGTCTCTGCCCCTAAGCTGAACACCCTGATTCTTGACGAGGCAGACCGTCTGCTTGACCAAGGTTTCGCTCCTGATATCAAGGAGATCCAGGGATTCCTCCCTGATCCCTCTAAGATTGATCGCCAGACACTCATGTTCTCTGCTACTGTTCCCCGTGAAGTGATGTCTCTGGTGCGCCAGACCCTGAAGCCAGGATTCCAGTTTGTTCAGACTGTTCGTGAAGACGAGGTCCCCACCCACCACAGAGTGCCCCAAAAGGTCGTCTGGATGCGTGGTCTTGAGAACGGAATGCCTGCTGTCCTCGAGATCGTCAAGAACTACCAAGCCCGCCGTGCTAACGGCGAGGACCTCCGACCTTTCAAGGCCATCGTTTATTACAACTCGACTGCCGAGACCAAGTGTGCCGCTGACGCATTCAACAACCTCCGCCGTTCCTACGACGTCGGCACAACCCCTCTGGGTGAACTAAAAATGCTCGAGATCAACTCGCGCCTGACCCAGGCTGACCGCACTCGCAGCGCCGAGAGCTTCCGGAGATCTCCCTCGGGTATCCTGTTCTCCTCGGACGTGACTGCCCGCGGTATGGATTTCCCCGACGTTACGCACGTCATCCAGGTCGGCGTCCCTCGTGACACTGAGACCTACATCCACCGTCTCGGTCGCACCGCCCGTGCCGGCAAGGAGGGTGAGGGCTGGCTCCTCGTCCACAAGGGCGAAGATGTCTGCTTCCGCTCCCGCCTCGGCCGTATCCCCATCAAGGAGGATACCGCCTCTCTCCCCGCTGCCTGGGCCGACATGTCCCAGCAGGCCACCGATTCTTCCGCCACCAGCGAGACCGTCAGCCAGATGAAGGCCGCCATGGCCGCTGTTGGTCCTACCCACAAGATCAAGTCATACATGGGCCAGCTTGGCACAATCATTGGCAACTTCAGCAGCAAGAGGTTCGCTATAGAAGTATTGAACAAGCAGTTCGTTGACGGCTTTGGCATGGAGTCTCCTCCTCAGATCGCCCCCAGAGTTGCTCAGCAAATGGGTCTCGGTAAAATCCCTGGTGTCAACATTGGCACTGGCTCCCGCCGCATGATGGAGGAGAATGACTCCTCTTCTAGCGGTGGATTCTCCCGTGGAGGTTTCTCTCGCGGTAGTGACCATGGATTCTCCCGTGGTGGTGACCGCGGTAGCTTCTCTCGTGGCGGTGACCGTGGTTTCCCTCGTGGTGACCGTGGTGGCTTCTCTCGTGGAGGAGACCGTGGCGACCGTCGCGGAGGCTTCTCATACGGTGAGCGCCGTGGTGACCGCGGCGACCGCGGCGACCGCGGCTCATCTCGCGGCCCTCGTCGTGCCCTGGAAGGATTAGACTTTTAAATTCGGCTAAATCGATTCTTGATTTTTGCCAGTCACGTTTGTGGCTCCGCTGCTTTTGATATCTGCATTGGCGCCAGGAATGCCTTTTATGGGTTCGGATGAGCGAAAAGTGAAAGGAAGAAGCAATCATCGCATCGGGTGGCGTTTTGTCTCTTTCTTGGATTGTCTGTGTACTATACACCCTTGTTCGGGTGCTTTGTGTTTCTAATTTAGACTTCTCTCCTCTTGTCTTATACTCTCCTCGCTGTTTTGCGGGATTTCGTTCTGGATATCGAAGGGTTGACTTATTTGATTTCATGTACAATATTTCAGTTATCTGCCTTTATCATATCCCGAAATTCATTTTAATCCACTGAATATGAACACACTCTACTGCAACATGATAGAAAAGAAATATAAATTGTAACGTAGGCTTAGTAATGTAGCTTCTAACCAGATCCATTTTGGAGACATCTAAATCGTTGAATATGAGACAAAACGAGACCCTTATATCACACATCCCAAATATATCGAATATGAAAGGAACAATGTGACATAAAAATCAAACAGGCAAAACAAGAGATACACTTATTCACGGGCAATCATGTGCTCTCTGGCAGGACCAGTACCAATCCACTTAACAGGAACACCACCAATCTCACGCTCAATGAACTCGATATAGGCACGAGCATTGGCAGGCAGATCCTCATAGCGAGTAACACCCATAGTGTTAGACTTCCAACCAGGCAGAGTAACATACTCAACCTCAATCTTCTCAACAACGTTAGGATCAGCCGGGAAAGTACAAGTGGTCCGCTTTCCACAGGGCAAGTGGTAAGCAACGCCGACCTTGATCTCATCAAAGTCATCCAAAACATCGAGCTTGGTCAGGTTCAGCGCGGTGTAGTGGTTGATGGCGTGCGAGTAGCGGCACAGAACCAGATCCAGCCAGCCGCAGCGGCGGCGACGGCCGGTCGTCACGCCGAACTCGCGACCGACCTGCTGCAGCTTCTCGCCGTCGGCGTTGAGCTGCTCGCTGGGGAAGGGGCCGGAGCCCACGCGTGTCGTGTAGGCTTTCACCACGCCGATCACGGACTTGATGCTGGAGGGGTTCAGGGCCAGGGCTTGCACGGCGCCGCCAAGGCCTGTTGATGACGAGGTCACGAAGGGGTATGTGCCGTGGTCGAGGTCGAGCATCAGGGCGTTGGCGCCTTCGACCAGTGTGTTAGGCGAGTTCTTGTGCTCCTGCAGGAACTCGAGCTGGTCGACGATGTGCGGCTTCAGGAGGTTGCGGTATTCCTGGTTTGAGGGTTAGTTACATGTTATACAGGTGAACTATAGTCAGGAATGAGGCTTCTTTAGGTCCTCCTTCCGTTCCAATTGTCTTGTATCAGTGGGTTCCGCGAGATTCTTGATCCTGCATGAAGCCCCTCTGAGTCACATACCTTGAAGCGGGCAATCTCATCCTCGACACTGTATTCGATGTCTCCGTACCGCGTGCGGTAAGCGGTGTCAAGAGTGCGCAGCTTGCGCTCGAAAGTCTGCTCATCCAGAATCTCACCAACGCGCACACCACGGCGCGCAGCCTTGTCACTGTAGCAGGGGCCGATACCCTTACCGGTGGTGCCGACCTTACGGCCACCAAGACCCTTCTCCTCCAGACCATCGACGACAGAGTGCAGGTCGAAGCAGACGTGCGCGCGGTCAGAGACGAAGATGCGCTGAGCGGCGCCCTTCAAGCCCTTCGCCTCGATGGCGGCCAACTCTTTGAAGAAGCTGGGCACGTGGAAGACGGTACCGGCACCAATCAGGTTAATACACTTCGGTGAGACGAGACCGGAGGGCAGGATGTGGAAGTCGTAGGTGACGTTTTCGTGGACGATGGTGTGGCCGGCGTCTATATTCAATCAAAAGAAGCGGGTTGGTCAGTCCTTGTCCCGCGCTCACGATGGCTCGTTTCGAAACTCCGGGGTAGAGGCAATGCAATGCATTGAGGGCTTAAACGTACTGTGGCCACCAGCTGCACGACAGCACAGCGTCGCCTGCTGCGACAGCATGTCTGTGATCTTTCCCTTTCCTGTTCACTGTCAGCGGCCATCTCCGCGTTCGGGTCTTGTTCCCGCACCTTCATCTCCCCATTGACTGCCTAAAACGATGGAAACCATGATTGCTCGATTGACAAGGTAGTTGCTCGGTCAAAGAAGTCCGATTTAGTATTGCTCCGCGGTCAATTGCGTGGTGGTGGGGGTAGAAGAGAATATGTCCGGAGCCGATAGCGGGGCCAAGAGATTTGCCGGTGTGCCTTTCTTGTCCTTGACTTTGGGGCCACCCACAAGGAGATGTTTATGAAATTGATGCTGCAAAATTCCGTATATAAGACAGCAAAGCGTTTCTCAAGGTCTTTTTATTCTAGTGAGTCAGACTAACTTCCCTTCATCCCGCATCCGACCTAGCGGGGTGGCGGGGCTTTGCGGCCTTGATGCCTTGGTGCCTTGGTGCCTTGGTTTCGTTACGTTTCAGCCTCAGGCCACAAATTAGGGCAAGGGTTCGTAATTCATGTTCTTTGCATGGCTTGATAGTATGCATATACTGCAGAATAAAGAAGTTATTGGGATATCTCGTTCTATATATGGCAATTACGGAATATATCATGGGTCAAGGGTCTGCATATGACCTCCTATCGCGGACTTTTGCTAAGTTACACTACGTCAAATATATTCTCTATAGTCAAACCCCAGAGCAGGTCGCAAAATCTATTCATGGTTCCCAAGCCAGGACCCAATCCCTCATATCTTACAGCTTATGCTCTACAAGTGACTCCATAGACTTTTTTCTCTTTCTCAGCAGCCAACTCAACCCTTTTAGCCAGGCATCACCTGGAGATTCGACGGAACCAAAGAAGCGAGGATCAAGCTTCTGCCAAAAAATAGCATCAAAAGCAAGGTTTTTCCGCATTGGCCCAGAGAGAATTTGGCCCTCTTCCAGTTGTCCATAACGTAAAAGAGCGTCTTCATGCTTAATCAACACCTTGAGGAATGCCTGCAAACGATAGTCGCGGACTTTCATCCAAGCCTCGATACAATATGGCCAATCTGGTTGTTCGATCAGTAACCACCATGGAGGTGCAGAAGAAATCGCGGTTGGTGCAGCATATGTAAACTCCCAGTCTATAAGCCCAACGATTTGCAATTTCTCATAGAGGAGCACATTTGAGGGCTTGACGTCATCGCACCATAGCTTAAGTGTTCTGGGGCATTGGATCAGGCATATTCAATGTCTTGGTCATGTTCATTTTGTGATTATGCACTCTATGGTATGAAAGGGCCTAAGCCGAGGAAACTTTCCTCCTGGGTACCCCAGTGTAGGATAAAGGGTAGTGAGATTGACATGTTTTCCTGGATATATCGAATCGTTGCAACCTCATTGTGAACTTTCCCTCCAAGGAACATTGTCACGCCTGGTTGGGGAAATCAATTATTGCAGAGCCCCCGTCTTGGAATATCATGCGGAATATAATGTTTAAAACCGGCTTTGGGATCGCATAGCTTTTCACACCCACCTCGGTGCTTCAAGATGAAAGCGCCTATTGCCCGCAGTGTACTTTCTTGAAATAGTCCTTCCAGCCAGCCGTTAGTGATCTTTCCACTTTGTTCCCAGGCAACATCATAAAAGGGCGTGCGTGGCTGCACGCTAAAACGGTATATTGGATATTGAGTGTTGTGGGAAGGTGGGAGGGGAAGTCAGGGGAATTAGAACAATGAAATATTAGAGCCTTTTCCCTGAGTTATAACAAACGCATATAAAGAAGCGCATACACAGTTTCGACGATATCAAATCTGACAGCTCTGTAGAAGTAGATCACGGGTCTCCGCAACTTCCCCAACTTCCCCACAGCTCGCGTCTTCCTTCCGCATCGAACAACGAACAACAACTAAACCATGCCCCAATGCAGTTCTCCCTAGAAGAATTAGACCCATCCTCGACCTATGCAATGACAGACTGGCCCAATCCCACCCTTTCCCATTCCTACACCCCATCTGACTCAACCGATGCGCCTGCATTCGCATCCCCACTAGGCGCCGCCAGCTGGGGCCACGATGGGTTCACGCACGATCCAGGCTTCCTAGCCTCCCAAGAAGAGCTCCGATGCATGCTTTTTAATATCGCGCACTCCGCAGCCCCGACCCGCGCCCCGAGTCCGGATACACATGCGCAGGATGCGGTGCAAATCCGTGATAGCGATCGGGCGGCGCGCCCTGTTCTTTCGAATCCGCGCCGGATTGAGTATTTGAAGAATTACGTTGGACAGGTTGCGCCTTGGGTGGGTTTTTATCTTTCAGTCTTTGAGATTTATGAGTTGCAATTGCTGATGGATTCTTTCTACGGGATTGTAGCTTGATATGTTTGATTCGCAGTGCACTTTTCGGGTGCAGATTCCTGCCTTGGCGCGCTCATTTCCTGCTCTATTAAATGCTCTTCTTGCTATATCTGCCAGGCAAATGGAGAGGAAAGAGGGGATTCAGGACTCGTTTGATAGTTTGGAGCTCTATCAGGAAGCGATTCGTTTGTTGAGTCCGTTGCTGCAGATGCGGGATCCTAAGGTTGTTGCGGCTTGTGTGCTGCTCTGCTGCCTTGAGATGATGTCTGCGCGTGCGCAGGACTGGCACCGCCATTTGGAGGGCTGCGCGGCGCTTTTCGATTCTTTTGAGATTAATGGATTTAGCAGTGGCATTTTGCAGGCTGTTTTCTGGTGCTACGCACGAATGGGTGAGATTTCATATTGAGAGCTAAGATCAAACTTGATTGATGGCTAACTAATTAGACGTGTGTGGTGCGCTTATCTCTGATGGGACACAAAGCACCCTCCTTCGTCCCAGCAAATGGCTGGCGCCCGGATGCCATATAGACGACGCCGCGCAGCTCTTTCAAGCTGCAAAATCCCCGGATATGCACGCAAATTACGCCGTCTATCTATGTGCAAAGTCATGCGAGCTGGTGGCAGATCGTACCCAGTATGTCGAACTGGGCGTGAAGAACGACTGCACTGGTGAAGCCTTTAATCGCCGCTGGCTCCGACTTTGGGACGACCTGCAAAACTGGATGGAAAACCGGCCACCTGAACTGTTACCAGTTCACACGACCACGACAAAGCCGTTTCCACACGTCCTCTTCATGCAATGGGCAGCGATTTCTTCGAACCAACTATATCATACATCATGCATTTTGCTGCTCAACATGATGCCCAAACGTATCAAGTTGCAGCCAGCACCCGCCATCTCTGCGTTGTGGCATGCAAGGCGAATTTGCGGTATCTCTCTGGCTAATCCGCACCAAGGATGCTTGAACAATGCCATCCAGCCACTTTGGATTGCAGGGCGTCTCTTCAGCCATGTCTCCGAACATGTTATCATCATTGATTTAATCCGCCACATCGAGGCAGAAACCGGATGGGGCGCTTGCTGGCGCATCAGAGATTTGGAACTTGCCTGGGGATATCAGGTACCTCGTCCGGAAAAGCCGAGCGCGAGGTACCGAATTCCTGTTACGGGGTGATAATGACGAGTGAAAGAGAATATACTCAAATAGACACCAGTCTTTCATGTCTCGTCAAGAAGACCCCATTCCACTCGCAGACCTTGCACAGAGTCATGGGCATTCCATCCTGTCACTGTGCAGATGCGATCAAACCCTCGCAACACCTCCTGTTGCTGCGACTCGTGTGTCATTCGACGAGCTGCCACAAAGAAGGACGCTAGAAGGCATGGGTCCCAACATTCTCGTCGGTCATTGTGGAGAGAAATACTACAGACGCGCTGCGCATGCCACAACGGTGACATGGCAGCAGATTGAAAGTCGGTGATCCGCGCAGTTCGCGGTTTATTATGTAGTAGCAGGAGCATGGCCGTATGGTAAAGCTGGTTGCCGAACAAGCCAGCTCCATTGGCAAAGAGAACAACCGGGAAGCTCCTCTCCGGCCCAGCCAAACGATCATCCATCTCTAGTTCTAACATGGGTTGAAACTCCTGGGGTCGCTCCCGATACCATTGCTCAAGCTCCTCCACTAGCTGCATCCATGTATGCAGGGGAGGGCGATATGGGGAAACTTCCTCATTGTGCATGAAGTGGATTGCTTTCGCGCAGAGCCACAGTGGCCGGTATGCATAGTAGAAGACCATTTCATATGGGTCGGCCACCATGTCTACTTCAGTTAAACAGGGGAACGTCGGTGGCAGCGGTACCTGCACATCACTATCGCTTGCTAATGCAGTTCCGACATCTGTAAGCGTTCACAAGTTAGATATGACTGTCAATGTGTATTGAGGGCAATGAGATTCCATACCAAGCCTGGCAAAGAGCCAATAGATCGCTGCATTGAGGTCTCTGCCAACTGCGTGGGAACTCAACGCATTCAAAAGACCAGTATTGTAGTGTCTTTTCATCGTCCACGCAGTAGATATATTCGAAATGGAATCCATCACTCGATCGAGAACATCAAGAAGAGCGGAATTTGTAATGTTGTCCAGTATATCCTCGTCGCCAAACTGAGAAAATGACCTGCTTCCTTCTTTGCGTGGATTTTGCGTGTGAAGCTGATTGAACGACGTTTCAGACAGGTCTAGAATTGATTTCCAGATGGCAGGCGATCTCATCGCTACCTGGAGGGCATTGATTCCAAATGATTGCCCCAGGTCACATATGTCCAACTACATGTATGGGTCTGTGGTCAGCACTCGGCATTGAGTCTCGGTAGTCAAAGAAGCTTACCCAGGAGGCTACTTCATAACGATAGTGCCTCAGCAGCGCCTGGGTTTCAGTCGGCGAAAGCTCATCTGCAGGTGATTTGGGAGGAAGCATAGGTTGCGGAGAGAAGGCTGGTCGGCTATGCGACAAACGGGATGGAATCGTGGAGCTCGTCAGAGTGACTACTTCGGGGGATGAGACCGTAAAGTCTGCCATTCCCAGATCGTGTCCATTCATGCTGGTCCCCAGAGCCAACAATCCTGCGACGGCTGATTCGTCCTTGTCACTGAGCACTGCAGTAGAAGGAAGATCGTTCGCAGTATGGGATACTGGCTCCTCTGACCCAGACGGCATATCTTCATTTCTGGGTGGATGGCTAAGCGGGTTCGTGTCGGCAGCCTCCTGCGAGTGCGGTGGTAAATCGATATGAGAGGGTATTTCATCCATATCATCATCTTCAGCTTCGGTAATATCCTTCTGGGGCTCTTCATTGATAAACTATAACGGCAATCAGGTCTGTTTTCCCCGCCTCTCCATCTCAGTAGACCTACCCTGATGGCCTCGTATCTCGCGGATGGAGTGCCGACTTGCGAGGCCTGAATGGTGTGTGCATTTTTTGACAAAAAGGTCAACTGGGGGCCATACTGGCATTGGAAATTGCGGTCAACGCAGTTCCGGCACCGCGGCTTGCCCTCGTCACCTATACCCATTAGCTCAATGAATGTTCCAAAGTCTACGACATGCATACACTTTCGCCGACGCACGCGACAGCGCATGCACCCAGTGCGACATCGCGTGAGTCGATTTTGCCCTGGGCGGTCCGGCATGGCCTCGAAGTGTGAGATGATTCGGAGTCGAATCGGGAAATTGAAGGGTGTAAGTTCCCAATCGGGTAATCATAAGCACTGCCGATGTGGGGTGGGCCACTGACATGCTTTGTCATCAGATATCGAGACCTTGGAGAGTACATTCATGCTTCAACTACACTTAATCCCTTGTTATTCAGATAGAATGATTGCTCGGTATTGATCAACGAGATCTCTTATACAACTACACATGGCCACCGGCCAGACCTCGGCTTTTCTTCCACTCGTCCACAATTCCAGCATATGCCGATGGCTTATACACCCCAGTGAGTTCAGTGTAAAACCCTCCTCCGAGTCGGTATGGGTTCAAGCCCAGGTCGCGCATAAGCAGGTCGTTGTACTAAACAAATCTTAGGGGGGAACAAATAATTTACTTCCTAGAGATAACATACCAGAATAGCATCAACTTCAAGCCCAGTCCCAGTCAACGAACCGAGTACAACATCCTCGGAAATGGAACCCTCAATCGACTCTTCCGAGAGGTCTGCAAATGAAAGCGCCTCGCTTTTTGTTGACCTCACGTCGCCAGATGAGTCCAATGCCCCCGTGAGGAATGCCGCTACCCACAGGGCCTGGACCTCGGCAACAACAGCAATTGTCGACGACAAGAGCACACCGAGCGTCGCGAAAGAGCGGTCCCCTTGTGCAACTAGTTCTGGGGCCACCATACGGCGGAATAGACGGTATGGTAGTAGTTTGTGAGTTGCAGCCCATGACGGAGGATTGCGATCTGCAAGGACACATCTTGTCGTATTTAAAGTGTTCCTGACTTTCAATTCGGAGTGACGGTCTAGGTTCTCCCAATGATCAATGCGGTCCTTTATGCTTGGGTCCAAAGACCCATGAACCGTTTCGGGAGATACCGTTAAGACCTGATCTTCGTGATACTCCTGGGGCTCCGAATCCATTAGGGCGGATAACCCAAGATTCAATCGAAGGCTTGGTGGATTAAATTGAATTGGGACAATTGGCTTATAGCCAGTAGCATGGATGACCAGACCAACGCCGCCAATGCAAGTTCCGTCCGACAATTGAACCACAGCCTTGCCGGCAGAGTCTGTGGTTCCTTGTGAGTTTGGGACGTTAATGTTTTTGACCCCTGCTCGGTAAATTTGCACATGAGGCAATCTAATTGCCTCCCAGAGATCTCCTTGATTTGCGATGCCAATGCCAGAAGCACAGGAAACAACACTGCAAATTGTTACTTTAACCAATGCTCTTCAGACAAAACATCACCAAACTGACCTATTTTCTGGACGAATCTTCGCCATCTTCAGATCTGATCTATATTGCGCTGTCTCCTCCAGGCTTTTATCAATGGAGCGCCACAACATCCGAATCCACCATCGACCCAGTGGGTTGCCATGGAAAAGTCGCGCCAGCCATGCCCCCTCGCACCGGAACTCTTTGAAAGAAAACCGCTTCGGGATCTTGTAGCAGCATGGGGTTAGATAGCTGAGCAATCTAGTACTTGCGGCCTTATCACTCGCAACAGTGTCGCCGTTTGGTAGTGTTGACGTCGGAGGCACCATCCATGAAGGACCTGCCCCTCTATCACGAATGATCCAATGCACCTGAATTGGATTTTGTTGTTTGGATGCTAGACGCAGCTTCGGGTCGTTGCGGTGCAGAGTAGCGAAGAAATGCACCAGATCAAAGGATGATTTTGCGCCTCCGTAGATTGCAACCGATCCAAGTTCTGGGTAGGCAGGCTCATTACTTGGAGGATTGGAGGTTGAGCGCTGGGGTATTTCCAGTGGTTGATATCCCAGGTGTTCACGAGCCCAGCTTCCAACACCCTTGGCGTGGATCACTGGAGCAGGACTGTCTGTCTTTGAAGAGGCTTGAGTGTCCGGCAAATTTGGCACCGATGTTAATCCTGTAGCAAGAATCAATTTATCACATATAATCGTGATACTTTGTGTCGAGCTGGATGTGACTTTGGTGATTTTGAGCTTCCACTGCTTGTTCCCCAAGCGACTGATGTCGTCAACCTAGAACTTCGTCAGAGAGGGTGTAGCGCTGGGTCGGATCCGGAGAACTTTACCGTCCAGTTCAACCTGATATGCTTTCGAAGCTTCCATTTCTCTACCCACGCACGAAGATATCGGTTGATCTTCCACCCTGCAATGAACTGATTTTTCGTGCCATCGTCATCATTCTCCTCTGGGACAACTTCTGAAAGAGCAAGATCACTGAACTCATAAAGCCCGTATGTATTCTGGCTTAGTAGATTTGGATACAGGCGCTCCTCTGCCCATGTACCTCCAATATCCGAGGCGGAGTCAATGACGAGAAGACGTTCGGCGGCATCTTTTGCGGGAATTCATCTGTTGCAGTAAAACATGCGGGAACTTCGGCGAGATCATCTTTGCTACCTTCTGCGTTTCTGTCATAGGCTCCCACGACCTGTAGGTATGTTTTTGCGGCAATAAGACCGTAGAGACCTGACTTGTTAACGAAGATTGGATTAGAAGATGGCTTGTACATACCTGCACCGACAATCACAACGCGTGCCATGGCTGTTGGATTGAAAAGTGAAGAGAAGTAGAGAAGTCATCGAAATGTCCGAAGGCATGTTGATGTTGGGACAATGAATGAGCAACAATATCTTCCGGACGGGAGCCTTGATATTGTTCTTGTGGGACTAGAATCCAGAAATCACAACAGATTCTGTTCAAAGAAACACTACTCTTTGGAGATCAGATGTTTACCTGTATTCCGCTATCCGTGGTCATATACTTGTTTTCTGTCATCATTGGGCTCGTGGGACTCATCGCCGGCGTCGAGGACAACTTGCCGAACCAAATCAAGGCTATAGAATCATATGTGAGGTGTCCGGTGGATGTGCTGCGCTGATCCTTCTCCTAGTTCTACTTTGTCTCGTGGTTCGCGGAGGCCGAGGCCGCATTCCTTTCTTCGGCTGTGCTGCGGTAGTCATCGTGGTTGCATTTCTGTCGGCATTCTGGAGCGACTTCATTCTCGCTGCCATTAGCGTTCGGAACAGAGGCAGCTGGTCAGGCTATCCGAGCTCGGATAATGCTCCCCTGTTTTGGGCTTATTTTATTGCTAAAAGGCTGCCGATCTTTTCTGTCTGAATGATATTCAAGATATCAGTCTCGCAACAGTCGTAAAGTGAACTTACGATTAAGTTACAAATTACACTGCCCTATAGATTTCATCGTAAATTGCATGCCGGTAACTATATATGCTGTGATCACTGAAAATAATTTACATTAGCTCGGGAAAAATGCCATATTGTACAGCTTCATCAATTAAAAGATATCAGACATGTTAGCCCATGCTGCCAAACGGAGAACAGATGACCTCCCAAGAGAAAATCAAGCGAAGTAAGTTTAACTGCAATAAGAAACACATATGATGCTGGTTGAACGGAAATCATAACACCTTATCTCCTTCCGAGGGCTCAGAAAAAAAAGTGGACGCGACCGCAGTCGGTACTGAAATATCTAGACACACGCGCTATTGTCCCGGGGAGCAAGAAAGGAAAGAGGAAACATGTACATCTTAGAAAATGGTAGAATATCATGGACAGGCTCGATGGGCATCGAGATGAGGCAATGAAGTGCGGGATTGACGTGAGGTGATCTTAACAGGCACAGCCGTCGTTGTTGGTCGTCTCCTTGGGGTTGATATTGACATCGATCACTGGAAAGACATAGGTCAGTATCAAGATAGGGGGCGTTCAGTGCAAGTGAACGTACTCTGGCTCTCGCCTTGCTTGGCCTCGCCTTCCATTCCTGGTAAAGCCTGGGCAATTCTCCGGAACAATTGCTTCACGTTATGTCCGACCTTTGCACTGGTCTCGATAAACATCAATCCGTTCTTCTTTGCCTCCTCTTCGCCTTGCGCCGTGGTAACTTCACGCTTGTCGTTCAAATCGGTCTTGTTGCCTACGAGCACAATAATCACATCGTTTCCACGCTCTCCGCGGACATCGTCAATCCATTTCCGGGTGTTTTGGAAGGACTTCGCATTCGAAATATCGTAGACAACAACGGCAACGCTCGAGTCTCGGATGTAGGAAGGGATCAGGGAACGGAATCGCTCTTGGCCCGCGGTATCCCAAAGCTGAAGGCGAACGGTTCGGTCTTCGAGATACATGGTCTGATGAAATACATTTAGCCGCAATTCATAGATGGACAATCTTCTGAGGCGAAACAAGTAGACCTGAACGCTTGTGCGGGGTATGGCATACCTTGGACAGAAAATCGATACCGATAGTGGCCTGGTATGTGTTGTCGAACGAGTCGTACATGAAGCGGGTGATCAGTGAGGTTTTTCCAACTGTAGTGCGTATCAGATCTTCTGTTCATTTGCTCCCCCATGGACCAGGGCGCATGGTGATAAGGTGTAAAGTGACGGATGCTTACCACTCTGTTCGCCCAAGAAGACCAACCTAGATACCATTGTTAACAATTCATTCTAGGTTCAAACAACATGCTCCCAGGACTTACTTGAACTTCTTCAAGGGGTTCGAATACGACCCAACCCCGGAGGAGGCCATTGTACGGAGACGGAGGCGTTGAACGCGTGAAAGTCAGGGGAAGGAGGCACCAGGGGACGATGGTCAGGGATTCAGCACACAGTAAATGATGTGCAAGCAGTAACAAAGATATCAAAGGTCAAGACAAGTGTCTTCCTTCGTAACAAATAAAGGAGGGAGATGTCTGGGGAAACACAGCGCGCTGTCACCGCCCGAGCGGAGCAGTTAATCCGCTCCGGCCACCGAGTCCCCCCATCTCCCTCTAGCTCCAACTTGACTACGCGATCTTGACCTTTTCCATTCATTCAGTTCCCAGAGGTCGTCATGGCTTACCTCTATCCGGTCGGTATTTCCACCACCGCCCTTGTTGTGGTTGGATTGTGTACGTTTCTCAGATGCAAGATGCGAGATGCGATCTGGCAGCTAATACGTTCTGAATAGACATGCTCTTCCATGGTGAAGGAGAAGCTTTCAATGTACGGGTCTATCTCTATCGCAATTTACAGTGATCTTGTTTCTGACGTGGATCGCATTAGGTCGGCCGTTTCCTTGAGGAGGTGTCTCCTTATGCCTGGGCGAATATCGGAATCGCCATGTGTATTGGCTGCTCAGTTGTCGGCGCAGCATGGTAAGCCGATCGCCGCATACACATACTAGCTTCTCCATACTTATCAAATGCCTGTTCTTAGGGGTATCTTCCTTACCGGTTCATCGATCGTCGGAGGTGGTGTCAGAGCCCCCGAATCCGTACCAAGAACTTGATCTCCATTATCTTCTGTGAAGTCGTGGCTATCTACGGTGTCATCATGGCCATTGTCTTTTCTTCGAAGCTCAACCCTGTCGCCGAGGGCGGAATCCACACCTCCAGCAACTACTACACCGGATACGCGGTCTTCTGGGGAGGAATCACAGTTGGTGTGTGCAATTTGATTTGCGGTATCTCTGTTGGTATCAACGGAAGTGGTGCTGCTCTGGCCGATGCTGCCGATCCCAGTCTGTAAGTCATTCCTGTGTTATTGTATATGATAACCCGGATCTTTGCTTACATTGTTTCTTTTCCAGGTTCGTCAAGATTCTCGTCGTTGAAATCTTCAGCTCAGTCCTGGGTCTGTTTGGTCTCATTGTCGGTCTGCTCGTGGCTCAGAAGGCCTCAGCATTGGAGGCAGCTTAAATCGAATCATCTCTTTATAGAGAAGATTCAAAATTGGGCGGCTGGCAAGGGGCAAACTTATCCCCACACAATTTCGCTTCACTTTCAGTTTCGAGTTTATGTTTCGATATACACCGCATTGGGGCGTCTGGGGTCGCTTAGAGCCCTTTTGGGTTGAATTGCATCAGGAGATTATGTGTACAGTAAAGAGTACCAAGGAATAACCTTATCCTAGTCTTGGCGTAAAAGACGTATCATACCTAATCAGGTAGTTATAGCCAAGTAGAGTGCACTGTACATGGTTTGCCCTAATTGACGTTGCTGTCCGGGATTCGTGATTGTCCGATATCTTTCCTTATAAAGGAGCCTTCCCACCCACCCCACTTCCCCAGACCACACCACAACATGGACAAACTTCGAGTTGCAATTCTGATAGTCTCCGACACAGCCTCGGCGAACCCCGCATCCGACAAGGTTTTTGATGCTTTGACGCCCATCTTCGCTGCAGAGGGCAAGTGGGAACCCCCGCATCCAGGATCGTCCCGGATAACGTGGGCCAGATCCAACAGTGCGTCTGCGAGTGGGCTGATGGCCCCAATTGGTATAACCTCATTCTGCTCAGCGGAGGAACAGGATTTGCAATCAAAGATAACACCCCGGAGGTGAGTGTTTGCTTCCCGAATTGACGCTGTCGTGCTAAATGACATCACCAGGCAGTGTCCCCGCTGATTCAACGCCATGCCCCAGGATTAGTGTGAGTCGGCTCGGTATTCTTGGCCGCATTGACGCTAGTAAACTAACCAAGACTTGAAGGCACGGCATGATTGCTGCCTCCTTGAAAGTGACTCCCTGTAAGTGACATCAGGGGCGCCGCCCTGGCGCCTCTCCCGAGTATTTACTTTGTGCTAACCCCCGCTCAGTTGCTATGATGGCCAGACCAGTTGCGGGTGTTCGTGACAAGTCTTTGATTATTACTCTACCTGGGTCTCCAAAAGGGGCAATGGAGAACCTCGACGCTGTTGTGAAGCTGTTGCCTCATGCCTGTATGCAGGCTGCTGGTGCCAATTCACGAAACCTCCATGCTGGAGGCATGGCAAAGCTGGAATCAGAGGCAGGTGTCAGCGCTCAAAAGGACAAGCATCAGCACCAGCATAACCATCATCATCACCACCATCATGGCCATGATCACGGTCACGGACACAAGGTCCCAAAGGCACATACATCGCCCTCAGAAAGACCTCAGTCCAACGACCCAAACGCAGGCCCTAACCGGCGCTATCGGTCCTCTCCCTACCCAATGCTGTCCGTAGACGAAGCACTACGCCGAATTAACGAGCAGACCCCTGACCCAGAGGTGGTCGAAGTCCCGGTGACGACGTCCTTGATCGGTTCAGTCATTGCCGAAGACGTTTACGCCGCCGAGGCTGTCCCAGCCTACCGAGCTAGTATCGTGGATGGCTACGCCATCATTGCACCGGACTCTAGCACCACCGGCCCGTCCACGAAGGGTGTCTTCCCCGTAGCATCGATCACCCATGCCAATGTCGGCGGAAACCTAGAGCCATTGCAACAGGGCACCATCGCTAGAATCACCACCGGTGCCCCCTCCCCCCGAACGCAAATGCTGTAGTCATGGTCGAAGACACAACCTTGGACAGCTGCACGCCAGATGGCAAAGAAGAAGCGACCGTCGAAATTCTCACTGACGACATCGAGCCTGGCGAGAACGTTCGCGAGCCTGGCAGCGACGTCTCACTAGGCTCTAAGATCCTCGCAAGAGGCGATCTGATCTCCCCCGTCGGTGGAGAGATCGGCCTGCTAGCCTCAACCGGCACAAAGACCATCAAGGTCTTCCGCAAACCACGCGTAGGCGTCCTAAGCACGGGCGATGAGCTGGTGGAACACAACGACCCCCGCCCCCTCACAGGTGGCCAGATCCGAGACTCAAACCGCCCATCTCTCATCTCTTGCCTGACCTCATGGGGTTTCGAAACCATCGATCTAGGAATCGCTCGCGACACCCCAGCCAGCGAACTAGAACACGCACTCCGCGACTCCCTCCGCGGCGTAGGCCGCGCCTCGTCCAGCGTCGACGTCATAATCACGACGGGCGGTGTCTCAATGGGCGAGCTGGATCTCCTCAAGCCGACAATTGAACGCTCCCTCGGCGGCACCATTCACTTCGGCCGAGTCTCCATGAAACCAGGAAAACCAACCACCTTCGCGACAATCCCCTTCAAACCCACCGGCGACGCAGAAGCAGCCTCCTCACAATCCGAACGCCAATCGAAACTCATCTTCTCCCTCCCCGGTAACCCAGCCTCCGCCCTCGTCACTCTCAACCTCTTCGTGCTACCTTCACTGCACAAGCTCACGGGTCTGGGTCATAGTTCCCAGGCTCTGAGCTCGAGGCCTTGGCTTGCGCCACAGCTTGGTCTTCCGCGTGTTGCGGTTGTCCTAACGCATCATTTCCCGCTTGACCCCAAACGCACGGAGTATCATCGTGCCGTGGTGACAGCGTCGCGGTCTGATGGGCGCTTGTATGCGACTAGTACTGGAGTTGAGGGGGCTGGGCAGCGAAGCTCCAAGGTTGGGAGTCTTGCTAAGGCTAATGCTTTGGTGGTGTTGCGCATTGGGAGGGGTGTTGCTATTAAGGGGGAGATTGTGGAGGCTTTGTTGATGGGTGATGTGCATGGCTCTGATACTAGGCTTATTTGTTAGCATTGATGATTTTACCTCCGGGGCTGGATCTCCAACTGGTTGGTTCGTTTTGTCTTCTTGGCTATGACTTCTGTGTTGTCTTTATATTTCTTGTCTGGTTCGTTTTCTTTTTTGGTTGCCCTTGACAGAACCGGGTAATATATATCGCCGAGGATGTATGTGAACAGATGAGTGCAAATCACATGTGTCCAACAACTTCATTTCTACATTCAACTCCTACAATAAGTCAATTCTAGATGCTCTATCTGTAGATAAAAGCAAAACACCAAACCGGAAAACCGTAGATGACCCACAGAAATCCCAAAATTAGATTGAACCCTTAGAATACTTCCAACCCTTCTTCTTCTCCGACCGAAAAGCAAGCAAAGTCCCCTCGCGCCCCTGCTTCCTAGCAATTTCAACAACCAAAAAGCGAACGAAATCACCGAGAGTCCAGTAACTACTATGCGCACTCAACATATTGAGGTACTGAATATTCAGCGGGCCCCCACCGCCAGAAAGATAATAATCAATCTGGCCATTATCATTGAGAAGAAGCATTCGTTTCTCGGCAATTTCCTCACGGGTGAAGTCGTGTGTCTCCAGCTCGACGTTCGATGGGAGTTTCGAGACTGCTGCTGGTCGGGTTGGGTCTGCTGAGGGTAGGAAAGATGTTGGTGCTGAGCTCCAGCGGAAGACACTGCCGAAGGATTGCCAGAATGTTGAGCTGGAGCTTGGGATTGACGCCATTTTTAGGGAGTTGGAGAGGTCACTGTCTACTGCTGCATTGACGCGGTAGGCGATTGCTAAAGGGGTTTAGTATATTGGCACATGGGGATGAGGGGGTTTTAAGGTGCTTAACTCACGGTCGGTTGTGTGCATTATGTTGTATAGATTGTCCACTGCGAGACATCCATATTGACCTGGTTCACCGGCTACACCACGCAGTCTGTCGTCACCTTCACTGCCTGGTTTATCTCTGCCTTTCCGGGGTAGAAGACTAGCTGTAGGATGTCAGTTTCGAGCTCGAGGATCGTAAACTTGCTGTCTTACCTTTATTCAGAAGTAGGAAGAAGCCAACCGGGCTTCCACAGAGGAACAGTTGTGTAGTATCAAACTCGAAGATATCGCTGTGCAGTGCAGTATCGGAAAAGTCAAAGCGAGGCACATGTGTTGGCTGATTACTGAGAATATCTATGGCCATGACACTTCCAAGGGAATGGGCAAGAAGATGTACACGGCCGTTTTCTTGGAACCCTGGGTTATTTTTACACCAGAGGCGATACACGCGATTCGCTTCTTTCACTACCGCCTTGACCATCTTCGGCTTGTGATGTGAGAGATAGTACGGGATATCGAGCATCACGTCACTGATCAAAGATCGAACGGCTGGAAGCGTTTGGGGTGTGATATCGTCCAGCGAGAAATTATTAGCGGTCGGGTCCTCGACGCCCGCTTCGATATCGGGGTCATCCAAGGATAGCTTGGTGCGCCAATTTACGGGAAGCACCATGATTCCTCCATGATCTTGGCGCACATGTGGCCAGACAGGTTCATTGTTGAGCTCCATATTGACTTCTCGTCGGAATGCATTGATGGCATGTGTGAAATGGAAGCTTTCCATCCTCTCAGAGAGCTTCTGTCCGATACCGTGGATGACGAGTACCAAGTCTGTCGGAGGTGGCCGCGACTCTTCCATCTTGCAAGCGTAACATACTTGCTCACCTGGAACTGAGGGTTCCTGGGATTGGGTTTTGCGGATGTAATGGCGGACATCGATGGGATTGGGCTTGGATGGATGTAGTTGCTCCCATAGCTTTCGATTAAAGCCTCGGACCACCGGTATCCCTATCTGCCTCCCCTTCCTGATTGCTCCCAGAGGTTTTCGTCCCCTCGAGGATGAGGGAAGTAGGCTTGGTCGAAGTATCTGGGCGTTGACCGCATCGACGAAGATAGCACTGGATGTGAGATAGGGTTTGATGTTCTCGGACTGAAGAGAAGTGCCGCCGGCGGCTTGGTTATTGTCAAAAGTCAACAAATAATCTGCTCGATTCGACTCGGGGTCGCCATTTGCAGGACCTGGTTCATTTGTAGGTTGACTGGTAGAGGCGGCTTCTTCCCTTGTCCACAGTGGATGGACAATTTTCATCTCAGCATCAGCACCGTTTTCCACACAGCTATTCAGCTCATCTTGCCAGGTATCACTCCAAGGCTTCAAGTAGACGTATCCTTCCTCCAATTTGTTAGCAAGCTCCGCCTCAACGGGATACATGGTGTTTTTGTAAAACCAAGTAGCCCGAACAACACTAGATATGTCCTGGAGAGGGCTCCAGTATATCGGTTTCATCTGCATAGTGTCAATACTATTTCAAGCCAAAAGAGACAAGATTTAATACCTTGAGATTCGGCAACTCAACTAAATGAAGCCGCGAAACGCCCACTGGGATCTTTAATTGCGTGTTCGGCTCTTCTGTCCTCTCACCCTCTGAGTCTTGTGTCAACTGATCCAGGCTCACTGTCGTTCTGAGGCCCGAGGGCTTTGGTGCACTCCGGGGAGCAGTGTTGACTCGTACTTCAGACTGCCATTCCTGTCCTCCGTCCTTCGAGGAAGTAGACTCATATGACCGACCGAGTGGCGTATGAGACTGAGAGGTAGGCGCACGTATGAAAGGCGAGCCACTGATGCTTGCATCACGAGAACGATTGGCTCGTATATTGCCCATCTCCTCGTTGCCAGCATCGCCATTCTCTGGATCCAAAGTCGAGCTACTTCTTCTCTTGGCAGCGATGGACTCATTCACAGAAGAAGAACGCGCTCGTTTCCGATCAATAGCGATACCAGTAGGGGTATCATGTTTCATGCCATCATCCGACGATGATCCCACGCGATCTACGTTTCCGAAATCTTGCGCTCGTACCCCAGAGCCGGTCGCAAACGCGAGCTGAGACTTGTGACTTCGAGAAGGTACATCGTCTGGGAATGAAGGAGTATTGCTGACGGTGCTCTCTCTGCTACCTATCCAACCTGGATCTTCTCGACTGGAGGTCTTGGGGCGGTTCTGAATATTTGACCCCGACTCATGACCTGGAACAGCTATCCCAGAAGGCCCTTTCGAGGTTGCAGGCCTGGATTCACGTTGTCCCGCGATTTTGGCTTTCCTCGCCTCCCGTAGATCGCGCCAAGCACCCTCCAGCGCGATGTTATCCCTAGCGGAGAACGGCTTAGGGGGTATCCTCTCATTCCCAGCTCCTTGAGTAGCAGGCGGTGGCAGAGCCGCTAGTGGATCGTCGATTGGCAACGACGAGACATAAAAGAACTGCGCCCGGATCTCTGGTGGATCGGGAAGTGTCTGGAAGCTGGCGAGATCTGGTTCCTCGTCCGATAGTAAGCAGCTTTGACCGTATGTGTGAATCGGGCCCGTCATTGCGAGGGTAGTAATTTAAGCCAGTTGAGCTCCACTCCGATGGTGCTAAACGTGGATCGTAGAGATGGTCATTGGGGGCCGGTATGTTTACTCCACCACGCGATCGGAAACACCCGCGCGCTTGAAGATTGCATATGGAGATTTCAGAGTGTCAAGAATTGAGAAAGAGAGAGAAAATGTGAGCGGTGACCACCTTGGAACACCCGTGATCGATAAGCCGATGACGTCGGCCCACGTGTTTATCTACATACTACCGCGGAAGTATTCATGAGTGATATTCATTGTTATTCTGGCTATTCTGCATATTCTGGAGACCGTTATCAACTCATTGCTCGAATGTCCACGGCACACATTGTTATCAGAAAAGAAAAGAAAAGAAAAGAAAAGAAAAGAAAAGAAAAGAGATAAAAAGAACTGGGCAGCAGAAGAACCACCCGAGAACTGAAGGTCTGGGGACCTGTCATCCTTAGGACAGAGGGAACAGAGTATCGGAAACGTATGAGATCAAATCACCGGCAGTACTGATCATCACGCACAAGTCCACGAGGGCGACTATCCAGACTTGGGAATGCCACGCTCACGAAGTGCAGTTGGATTAACGCGACCATTTATACTCCGCCAGGCCGTCCGACGTTGGCGACGGCCAGCTGCAAGTTCGCCAGTCCAGCCAGCGAGCTCAAACGGAGCATTTTGATCATAATAAAGTGGAAAAGATGTCTCGGGAGAACACGAATTTGGCGAAGCCTCACGACGACGCGAATGAGGGGTCCGAGGAGTACATGAAATGCTCGAAATCGATGAAGCCGTGGGAGTACGCGGGTTGACATAGGCGAAGGTCGAGTCAGAAGAGCTGGGGGTGCTTGGGGTGCTGGGTGTGTCAGGAGCACCAGAGCCATAGGATGCACGGGCGGTACGAGCAGCACGGACTTGGAGGATCTCCTCGCGAGTACGCATGGCCAGAGTCTGCATGGTCTCCATGATGGAGGGAGGGGCCTGCAGAAGTTCCAGGATGCCCTCAATGTCACGCAAGTGCTTGCGCACGGCGGCGTCTGGGAGACAGAAAGAGCGCACGCTCGTCTCGGTGCAGACAGCCTTCCAGTTGCTGAAGATCGTATGCAGTAGCATTGGCTGGTTGGAGGCATCGCCGCCAAACTGGACGCTCTGGCGGTTGGCGAAGATGAGCTCACGCTGGGTGGACTGGTCGAAGCAGAACTGAGGGACACCTGGGCGGTTTTTGGAGATCCATTGCTTGTTTAGGCGGCGGATTGAGAGATCTGAAACATGTCCGTCGTAATATTCGTTCATCAGGAACCGGTTGGCGGTGGTGACAATCAGGTATTCGAGCTCAGCGTAGAGCTTGACCTGGGTCTCGACGCTCAGAGAGAGAGCTGCGGTGATCTCGACTGCGATGCTGGGGTTGGCTGTGGTGATGCGAGCTCGCTTGGCATCTCCAGTCTGTCAAAGCATTGTTAGTTTCTAAACGATCATAATCGATGAGCCATGATCCACTTACCAGATCTTTGATGTGTGCCTTCACAGTCTGTCCCAGTCCCTTGAGGCCTGAACTGACACGTCGCTTGCTGCCCGTCTTTGTGGTATTGGTCTGATCAAGCCAACCGTTACTGCCGAAGAGCTCTTTGTTGAAATGGCGGCGTGGCAACGCATCGCTGTCAGACTCCATGCTAAACTCGTGGCTCAGAGCGACGTTGGCGGTGTCGGTGTCGCTTTCGGCATTGTCTTCGATGGAGGCGGCACAGCTGCGTGTATCGTCTGAGCCCCCGGGGACGTGAACTGCAGTCTGTTGCCCATTGGTGAATTGAATGGGGACGTTAGCAGTCCAGTTGAAGTCGGTGGCGGGTTCTTTCTTGAGCATGTTTTCGATGTCGTCCATGAGAGGGTCCCAGAAATTTTGGTAGGAGTAGATAGCAGACTCAGGGCACGATGCTGGAGTGGTTCCTGCACCAGCTGCAGCACAGCTTGAGATGGAAGAATCACCCTTGGAAGGAGATGTGGCGGACTGCTTTCGAGAAGTGGAAACCGTGTCAGAGAAAGAAACTGTCGGGGAGGGAGCCCTAGAGCGCTCAAATTGGTCAACATGAGTCTCCGAAGCCAAGTCGCCAGAGCCATTGTGTGAAACAAAAGAGGGGACACCACGCAACTGTTGGTACGGTCATTCGCGTAGAAGGCGTACATCTCCTCGGTGGTTTCAAACTTCCGGCCACAGACAGGAGGAGTACAGGCTCGCGAGTCAAGAGAGCCAGCACCGTCAAGGGCATAGCGAGACCAGTTGCGATAGCCACCACGAACAATCGCATTCACATTCGAGTCGCGAGTCTCAAAATGGACACGTTCATTCGTCCAGTAATCTAGAGGATTGCCGGCTGGGAGGGGAGAGACATAATTGGGGATGGCACGATGAGAAAGGCTCCTCACGCCACCAAGGGCATTTGCATTCGCATCAGATTCATTCTTCCAGCAATCAGAAGGGGTGCATGCTCGGTAAGGAGAGACATAACCATCAATGGCGGGATGATCGTCGTAACCAGCATAAGACACTACACGACCATGGGCGCCAGCTTCCTCGGAGGAATAGAACCGTTCACCATCTACGCATTCCCACATCACTTCCCCAGCAACCTCAGGAGCAGCTGAGCGAGAAAGGCAACATTTGGAGGAATAGCAAAAGTTCACAGAGGGGGAATTCGGAGTAGTAGGAAGATCAGAGGAGTGAGGAGAGCCAGAGTCGTGGATGTCAGGAGGATCAAGCGCGTCGTCGGCATTGTGAGGAATCCAAACTGTAACAGGCAAACCACCGTTGATTTTGGCTTGCCTATAAGTGTCGTGAAGTTCACCATCCTCGGACAGATACTTCCAATAACCGTTCATATCGACCTCACGCTCGAGCAAAGGTACCACCTCTTTGGTCTCATCGTCAGTGGTCTCATCGTTGTCGTTGGTTCCATCATGTGAACGATTGAGGCGAGGGAAAGTCCGAGGCAAGTTGCGCATAGAAATATGGGCACTCTGAACCACGGCCTCCAGGTCAAATGTGGCAGGTGTGTGGCTGGATGGTCCGATGGGCGTTGGGGGAGGAACGGTATGAAACTTGACATCTTGCAACTGCTTGCAGACAATTTCAAGTTGTTCGTTGTTAGCGGCCGAGGTGATGTTGCACTCGAGCTTCTCATCGGCAGAGTTGCAGGTTTCGACTTCTGGCTTGGGGAACAGAATGGAGGCACCCTTCCCGTTTGGCGTGGGGAAAGGCTTACCAAGGGAAGACCTATTCGTAGTGTTAGCTCTTAAATCATGTCAGGGCAAGGATACAGACTCGTACTTAGTACCCGGAATCATGGTCTTGTTGTAAGCGTCCGCGTGATCCATCCGGACTTGGTTGGCTTTGCGCCAAGCACTCAACTCAGGGTCAACTTCTTCCTCCATGTCCCGGTATCGCTGAAGGATCTGAGCGGGGGTGGGGCGGCGGTCGAAGTTGGAGAAGTTGCGGCTGTGCCGGCCTTTGGTGGACTTGATACCACTGACGTCGGGGTACATAGTTGCGAATACAGAAACAATTGAGGTCAAAGATTGAACAAAGTTGCGACTGGTGTTGCAAGAAAGGAAACGGTGAAGTATGAAGAAAGATGAAGAAGATGAGAAAGGATGAGAGAGTAGATAGATGGAATAGAATAGTTGAGCAGCTGAAGCAATCGAGGTTTATTGGACTCTTCATAACAATAGCCAGACATAGCTATTGAGGGATCATTCAGAGGCTCGATTGGGGTCATCGTACAGACCTGAGGCTATTGTGGTTGGTTGATATAGGTCTGAGGATGGTGGTCAGGACCCGATGACAAGCAGCATTTGGGTTCGGTTTCTCGAGACTCTCCCCAAAATGACAATGTCTCAGTGTAAATAGGAGCAAACAATCCCAATGGCCAATGGGAGCAGGGAAAATCAAGAAGAAAATCGACAATATCTAATTTGAATAAACGGGCTAATCAGAAATGAAAAGAACAATGAGCGAAGAAAGCTTGAATGCTTATTCAAGTTTCGACCAACCAATCGCCATTCCTTCCCCAGCCTCCTTCTTTCACCCCCCCCCTAACCAAAACCGACGACACCTGCCAGCTCTTACCTGGGCCAGAACATGCACGAATTCCGGGTCAGCTATTTCCATGCTACCATACCTGAGGCCACAACCAGGACATGGCGATGTCTGATACTGCTGCTTTTCTCCTTCTTTCTATGGACTGGTTAGGAGATGATCCTACACAAGTATCCACTCTGGGCATTACTCGTTGTACCCTCCGTATATCGCCCGACAATGTTGCTAACCTGATCCATGATATTGGAAAATGGTCGTCGCTACGCCATGGCAGACACAACAGAGTTCCTTGGCTGTGATAGCCATCTCAAATGTACCTCCTTAACAGTGTAGTCTCCTATCCAATGCCTCATCTGTCTTAATTGTAGTCGATATAGTTCGGCACGGAACAACCTGTATCCGATATTGAAACCGCTTAATGCCTGACAGACGAGGTGTCATACCAAGGTCCCTATTCTGCGTGCCACTGCCACTCCCAATACCGAGATTATTGTTTCTAGAAAACAGTTAACCCAAGGCCATGGAAGAGGCGTTTGGATAGCCGGGGCATCCGATATGCAAACTCGTCCGGACTTGGCGGACAAACTACGTGTACTGGATTTGGAGCAATTTCAGGAGGGGTGGACTAGGTAGTTCATTGATGTTATCTAGTATCAAGCTTAATATAATATAACGATCTACCTGCTGTCTATGCGAGGAAGTCACTACGATGAATGCACTGATCTGCCTCGGGCTGTTCGGACGGAAGGGACCGAGCAATTTGCCATGGATAGATCCGAGAATGACACAATTTAATTGTAGAAATAGGATTTATAATGAGGCAATTTAGGGTCTGGGAGGAAACCTCGGGTTTTCCGCAATGCAAGTACCAGGTTAAACTACCACGACATGGGACCGGCGGATGAGGCGGCAAGGCGCTCTCGGCTAAAATAGACAGTGGCCAATGGATTAGTCGGAAGATGGTCATTAACATTTCGGAGTAGTAAAAAAAGGGAATTAGGGCCAGGAAAGAGCAAGGTCAAGTAAATCCCGGACAAGCTGCCGAGAGCCATGTCACGTGCCACACTCCACATACCGAAGTCGTTTCCGGGTGGAGACAGACTTCCCTGCAGCGACAAGCACGACTCGGCGATCAACGACGGCATTGTGACTGTTCGCTGGGCAGGCAGCTCAGTCTGCACCCCCACATTGTTCTTGCTGTGATGACTAACCACCAGTAACCTCGATTCTCTCGCCGCTGATTGGCTACCCCAGCCCTGCAACCGGTGCTCCCCACGATTCAGCCGATTGTGAATGCCGTGGATGTTCTCCGTGACCTAATCTTACCCCAGCTTCCGCACAGTATATAGAGCCCGCCATGGCCCTGGCTTTCCCTCTTTGTCGTGACTCCTGTGAATACTATTTACTTATACAGACCCTTGGAACCATCACATCTTATACATAACCACCCGATACCTGAGTTCCTTCGTCATGGTCCAAGAGACTTACGACATTGTCATTGTGGGCGCCGGCCCCGTCGGCCTGCTCCTTTCTCTGTGCATGTCACGATGGGGTTACAAAGTCAAGCACATCGACAACCGTCCAGTGCCGACCGCCACTGGTCGCGCTGACGGTATCCAGCCGCGGTCAACCGAGATCCTGCGTAACCTTGGCCTGAAGCGCTCGATCATGGCCTACGAGCCCGCCAAGGTCTATGATGTTGCCTTCTGGGACCCCAAGGCCGACGGATCCGGTATTGGCCGCACTGGCAGCTGGCCCAGTTGCCCCCGCTTCATTGACACCCGCTATCCTTTCACCACCCTCGTTCACCAGGGTAAGATCGAGCGTGTCTTCCTGGATGAAATTGAAAAGGCTGGCACAAAGGTCGAGCGCCCATGGACCATTGTTGGTTTCAAGAATGATGGCGCCAACGCCGACTACCCCGTTGAGGTCAATCTGAAGTGCTTGGACAGCAATGTGATTGAGAATGTCCGCTCCAAGTACCTCTTCAGTGGAGAGGGCGCCCGAAGCTTCGTCCGTGAACAGCTCGATATCAAGATCCACCACAAGGACCCCATTGCTTACGTCTGGGGTGTCATGGACGGTGTCGTGCGCACCAACTTCCCTGATATTGAGGTAAGCAACTGCAACTGCTCGGTTTCACGGAATTGACTAACAAACCTATCTACAGACAAAGTGCACTATCCACTCCGATGCCGGTTCTATCATGGTTATTCCCCGCGAGGACAACATGGTCCGCCTCTACGTTCAGATCGCCTCCTCAACCGACCCCGACTGGAACCCTCGCAAGACTGCTACCGCCGAGCAGGTCCAGCAGACTGCCAAAAACATCCTTAAGCCATACTGGATCGAGTGGGACCGCGTTGAGTGGTACTCGGTCTATCCCATCGGACAAGGTATTGCTGAAAAGTACACCCTGGACGAGCGTGTCTTCATGGGTGGTGATGCTTGCCACACTCATAGCCCCAAGGCTGGTCAGGGTATGAACACTGCTTTCCACGACGCACTTAACATGGCCTGGAAGCTCCACGCCGTGGAGTCTGGCTTTGCCAACCGCTCCATCCTGAGCACCTACGAGAGCGAGCGCAAGGATATCGCCGAGACCCTGCTGAACTTCGACGCCAAGTACGCCGCCCTGTTCTCCAAGCGCCGCCCCAATGCCGGCGAGGTTGGTGAGGCCAGCCACGCCAAGATCGGCGGTGATGCCGAGGAGGATGAATTCGTCAAAACCTTCAAGTCCTCTTGCGAGTTCACCAGTGGATACGGAGTTGCTTACCAGCCCAACATCTTCACTTGGTCCCCTAGCCACCCCGCCAAGTCCGCTCTGTTCAACATCCCCGGTGTTCACTTGACTCCTGGTCGTGCCTTCACCCCGACCACCGTCACCCGTCTCGCAGACTCCAACTTCGTGGAGCTTGAGCAGGAAGTCCCCGCTAATGGCTCATTCCGCATCTTCGTCTTCGCGGGCAACCAGGCCAAGAGCAAGAAGGCCATTGCTGACTTTGCCGCCAATCTGGAGAAGGAGCGCTCATTCCTCTCGGTTTACCGCCGATCCGACATCGCCGATGTTTCATTCTTCGAGCGTCACAATCCCCACTCCAAGCTCTTCACTCTCTCCGTCATCTATGCCGGCTCCAAGAACACCGTCGATGTCGAGTCCATCCCCCAGATTCTGCGCGACTACCACCACCACCTGTACGCAGACGACATCCCCGATGTCCGCGTCCCCCAGGCCACCTTCGCTGCTCACGAGAAGCTCGGCTTCAACCCTGAGCAGGGTGGTGTCGTTGTAACCCGTCCTGACAGCCACGTTGCCTGCACTGTCCAGCTGGTTGAGGGCAGCGGCACTGTCGACGCTCTTAACGAGTTCTTCGGTACCTTCGCTACCAAGCCTCTGGGTCAGGACTCGCAGCAGAGCCGTCTGTAAGAATCTTGTTTCACGTTTATGAGTTTGTTTATTTTTCATGATGTATATAGCTTTGTTTCGTTCATTGGGAGCGACAGCTCCAGCATGACTGGCGTTTATCTTCAAATTTCAGATATGAATAGATTTTCTCTTCAATATGCATCCACATTCCCAAAATTAAATCTTTTGTATGTTCGTAGCTACTTAAGCCAGTCCAACTTCGTCGAAGTCACATGCCAAGCCTCGATCTAAAGACCTTTCCAGCTCCGCCCCGCATCTGCAGACGATCTTCACAAAGCACAACCCCAACGCCCAACTCCCTTCGTCACATTCAAAGATGTTGTCTCTAACTCTGGAAGCCCAGCTAGAGGGGTAAGTCCCAATGCTCTCCATCTCCAACCCCCAATCCCAATCCCAATCCACCAAATCTCTGGTATCATCGAATCTCCCCGCACTGCATTCCAACACAAAGAACCTCGCGCGAGCAGAACCCTTCACCAATTGTATCAGGGACTCCATCCGCTAATATGAAAATCCAGCGTGACTGCCCTCCAGCCCACCGACACAGAGGAAAACCCTTACTACTACACCTTCCGCGTGTCATGCACTTCTTGCCATGAGACGCACCCGAACTGGGTTTCTTTCAATCGTTTTGTATGTGCGCGCTCTGAGGTGGAGATGTTTCTCCTCCGAGTTCGCTAGGATAACTTATTGACTGTTCTTCTTTTGTTATATAGGAAACGCATGAGATCCCTGGTAGTCGGGGCGAGGCTAACTTTGTGTGGAAGTGTCGCCTTTGCACTGTAAGTCTCCTTGTTTCTTCCTTTTTTTTTTTTTTTTTTTTACCTTCATATTTTGGTACTTGAATTGTGGTTTTACTTGTGGTTGTTCCGTTTGGAGCCAGGGTCTACTTGATATCATGCTTCATGCCTTGGGCCATATCTTCTCGATGTGTTTCCTCCTTTGGCTATCTTTCTTGCTTTTTTTTTGTGTCCTTCGCCTGTTATTCCCTGCACACCTTGTCCTGTTTTCCCTGCTCCCACCGCTAACACCAACAACACAGAAAACCCATTCGGCATCCATTCTCAACGCACCCAAGGCCTACGAAGCTCAGGAGAAGCGTAACTCCCAGAAGATCATCGAGATGGACTGCCGTGGCCTCGAGTTCGTCGAGTTCAAGCCTGACGTGAGTGACTACAAACGAGAGATCTTATGTCATATACTGACTTCTCCTCCCAGGGCGATTGGGAAGCCAAGGCTGTCGAGTCTACCACTACCTTCTCAGGTATTGACCTTCTCGAAGGCGAGTGGTATGACTATGACGAGAAGAAGGGCGAGGAGGTTAGCATCAAGGAGCTGACCTGGAAGGTTAGCCGCTAGGAAGATTGCAACGATGCAAAGTCGGCTTGAGTGTGGCCGAGGTTTGCTTAGCAAGCTGTGATCTTCATATGAATGTTTCTTTTGTATTATTAATGGTGCCTGGGGATGATTTCAAGCAGTGGTGTTGGGGTGATGATGCAAAAGGATAATGACATGTCCGTAGTGGCAGAATGAGCCAAGAGATGGCCATTTTTTTTCTTGCGTAGCTTGAGTAGCTTGAAATCTTTCAAACCAAGCATGAACTGTAGCATTTCAGCTTTCTATAACCAATTACTTAACCAAAGAACAAGTCCACTGCCATTTCTATAAAGAAGCTAAAAGCGGTGTGGCACAGCGACCTCTGATTGGCCTACAATCACCGCCCGACCAGCTCACATTTTCGCGATGTCGCCGACTCCGATGTTCTCGCAGCCACGCGACCAGCACATCCAAACGGCGTGAAAGATCCTATTGCCGACTTCTTTCCCTTCACCCCTCTCCCGAAAACCGTACCGCACCACCTAGCCACTCATCACCGCGTGCACCACCCCAGTCACAATGAGCGTACGTCTCCCTTCGCCCTGAAACACCAGTATCAAGCTTAAAGATACAACTCACCTTCATGCCACTCACATCTGATCGCCAGCGATCCAATTGCTAACCGGGCTCTATAGTTCCAACCACTCAACCCCCGCCCGTTCCTACAGGCTCAGTATGCGACCCCGTCCAAACCCAAACCCCCAACCCTGATCATAATCCCCCCACATCTTTCTATGAACTATTGTCGCAACCATCGAGAAAAAGTACTAATAATATCTCCTCTATAGCGTCGGCACTGAAGTCCTCATCCGCCTCAAGTGGGGCCAGACGGAATACAAGGGCAAGCTCGAGAGCATCGATTCATACATGAACGTCTTGCTGCGCGATACGGAAGAATTCATCGATGGGAAGCCTACCGGTTCGCTGGGCCTTGTGTTGATCAGGTATGCGACCGGACCCGTTGATACCTCATATCTCGTGTCCCGTTGGAATCGGGATCATTTGTGTTTGAATTTGATTGGAATCGCTAACTCTTCTTTCCATTTAGATGCAACAACATCCTCTGGATGGGCTCCGCGGATAGTGTCGAGATGACGGATCTCGGATTAAAATAATTCTTGTCGCATATGTTTCGGCGGGATGGGGATGGATGCAATGCAATAAAATACACTGCGATGCATGAGTGAGGAGTGAAGTCTGAAGGTGTGAGGTGTGACAAAACTGCTGGATCTCCGTGTCGTGGCCGTCGAGAATGAGACCGACATCTATTCTATTTTCATTTTCGCGCTTGTCGGCCTTGGACCTGTACATCCGGCGGGTTGGATATCGAATCGTTAATGTCACCCCCTCGGGATGCTCAGGTTACATGTACATGTGCCCGGCGATCAGAGGGACGAATTCTATTCTTCTTGCGTCAGGTATCCACTGCACGACCGGGGATCAGAGCTCATTGCTGCACACACAGACACAGATAGAGAGGGAGATATGGCGACGACGATGTCCACTTTTGGACTGGGTGTGCTAGGGCTCACTGTTTTCAATTATCGCAAGGCGTTTTTTCTTGTTGGCTTTTCAAAGTGGTTTTTGTGCATGGTCCCAATTGGCCAAAATCGAATCAATTGCTCTTTATTCTGCATGTTGCACAGGACACTTGGTATGGGTGGCCTGTGTTGCTCTTCTTCTTTCTCTTTCACTTTCACTTCCACTTCCACTTCCACTTCGAGTACGTACCTATATCCTCGTGTAGATAGATCAAGCATCCATGTCATCCTGTCGCTTCTGGCATCTTGCATGTAATCCGTTTCGCTCTGCGCCTATGTAATCCAACTATCCACCACGCTAACATCCACCACGAAACCCGGGTATACAATCCTCGTGTATCCTACTCGATACGGAGTGCAGAACAGCGACGATCACCCAGTTGAACCCACATAGCCAGAGACAGAGGGAGTCGGTGAGAACAACTTGGCTGATTACCGAACAAACCCAATCGCACTACCCAAAGCTATCGCGTATGCGTGTACACCTGCGCAATGAAAAAAAGCTGAGGCGGCAACGTGATCGATGTGGCGACCACTCCAATAAAAAAGTATGAGACAGCGACCGCATTGATAACAGCTGTATACCGTCGAATTGGACCCCCGGTTTCATCTTTCACATCTCCACCGCCAACTTTACTGTGGGGATGGATGGAGGCGATGGTTTGATGAGGCCCACTTGGTTGTTGAGCACGGCGTGTCTGCTATAGTGCAGTACGTAGCTGGGGCGAACGGCACTACGTGGATTGTTTCGTGTTTACCGGGGGCTCAGGTGGCTTATAGCTCATAGCTCATAGCTCATATGGTACAAGTCACAGTACATGTACATGTAGGTGAGTGGCTTATGTGTGGCGGGTTTCTTTTTATAGAAAGGAAGCCGATCACCCGAGTGCTTACAAACTCGCTGAGATCCCCAGAGAGGGCGTGGTGTCTGCACTATACATTAGTGTGCCTCCGACGTCATGGTGAGAATGATTACTGCAGGCATCCACTGTCAGAACTACTGTGAACTACCGTGAGAACTACTGTAGGGGTAAACGCTAAGCCCCGTTTACTATAACCTGAGGGAATTTCACTGTGATCATCGGAGGGGTAGCGTGCACAGAAGAGAAAAAGTATACAGTAGGCCGATCAGATTGGGGCCACACACACACACAGCTCAGGCCTCTCCAAGGGTTCTTCACTCGGGCCCTAGCAGTCAATGGTCAGCGGTGGGAGGGTTTGGTGGAGCAGCTAATGGGGCGATGATCAGCATTTGGTGGCGTCCAAGGCATTGCCTCGGGTACGTAGTCTGTGGAGATGACCCTACACGCATGTGCAGAGTGCAGAATGGGGTCTATTTTGATTCTGTGGTATAAGTGTGGTGTTCCAGGTACTACAACCCACGTACTACCCAGTGTGATACTCTACAATATCGAATCAAGCTGATTCGGGTCCGATCTTCAGTCTACGGATCTTATACCTAGGCTATCGAATCATCTTTTCTTCTCTCCCCTGATCTTCACTCGGGCTCCACTACAGGGATCGAGAGTGGTTAGTTGCATATCTCACGCCGTTCACTGGAAGTCATTTCCAGATCCCTACAGTATTACCTGTGACCTTTTAAAAAAGTCTCCTTCCCCCTCCATCTGATTTCCTCATATCCTCTCGCTTCTACACGTTATATACCCCGCAACTCTGCAGCAAGCCCAAACCTGCAACGCTCTTTGTCTCATCTGGCGCTCGTATCCTGCATACACCCATACACCCTCGTGACCCCTCCGTCTCTATATACTTCACCTCTACCTCCACCACTCGCACTTATATTGGTGTTCGCGTATTATTCACATCACATCAACATGCGCGACACCCCCTCCAAATTCATCGAGATTCTCGATCCAAAGGACACTTCCCGCATGTCTGACTCAGACGTCCGCCTAGAAGATGTCCTCGCCGACCACGAAGCAATAAGCAGTCGGCCCCGCTCTTCAACACAATCTTCCACAAAGCCCATGGACAAATCCATGTCGCGTTGCAACTCGACCTCTCCCACCCCACGCTGGAAGCGGCTGAGCAATATCCTTGTGCAGCCTCGTCGCAACGCTTAGCTACACCGCCTCTTACCTATACGGAGCTATCTCCGTGGTGGAGAAGCTTTGTTCTGCCATGTGTTACGAAATTGAAATTACGGATATATTCACGACTTGACTTCGCTGTAGGATCATGCATCGGATTCGGTTCTGGTAATCGAACCACACAGTCAAAAAGTGGTGCGGTGTCAGACCGTTCACAAACGACATAACGAAATAAATGAAATGAAAGTGAAAGTGGGGGATTCGGAAGGAGTTTGGTCCAGGGCTGTTTTTGGTCCAATTGATAAGTTTGGGAACATCCCCCACTTGGCATGTTTAACTTGCGAATGGGTTGGACTGGATTGGAGTTGCATATGAGTATCGGGTTGATGTCCAGCGGACATAGAGAAAACGAAATCGCCTCACTAAAAAAAGAAGCTGAAATGAAGGGAGTCCGCGACTTTGGGGAATGGTGTTCATTATTCACTGCTTGTTGATACTTTACACATATCCTTTTTCTCTCTTTTTTTTTCTTATGCTGTTTTGCTGTCTCGCTGCTCTTCAGTAGCCTGAGCAGATTTACTTTTGATACCCAATACTCAAAGCAGCGAACTACACTACACTACATTCTCCATGTTCCACATAGCCACCTAGCTATTATTTCCTCATCCCCGTACCTGGCAAATACCAAATCAAATGGGCCTCATAGACAATCCTCTCACCCCTCTCACCCCCCTGTCCAGTCAGGATATTCCGAATTAGCCGTGAATACTGCCATTTGCCCAACTCCCAATCCTTGTAACATAACATATGCATGTAAGTAAAAGATCTAACGTGTGGACCCTGGCGATGAGGGGTTATCTCGGAGTGGACCACTTGTACTACAAGTACAACTCCTCGGTTAATTTCGATCCAATAGAAATGATTTGGCTAAAGAAGTTTCAGCCGTTGGGGTAGGGTCAAGGTGAATGTCGGTGAAGCTTGGATCTATATTACTGTTAAGCCTGTCTCTGTTGAGACAGACCTGACACAGCAGTTCTGGTACTAAGTGTTATTATTTGCTTGGTACAATTCTGGTGCCTCCGTCCCTGCGCCGGACCATTCCGAACTTCGGGCTTGGACTGGGGATGGGCGAGGGTTGGTGAGAATTTTGTACGAAGTGGTAGGTATCTTTGCATCTAGATCTTGATGGATCCGCGTTGTGGAGGGAGCTGTGTGGTGTTTGATAAGGGGATTGTTGTACAGCGTTCGGGATGGAGGTACTTTTTTGGTGGCCCTAGAGTAAAGCAGCGGATAACTAGACGTTAGACTCGGCCTCGAAAGCAGAGTCGTCTAAGCGCGAGATACAATCTGATATATCAATATCACCATTAACTATAGCAGAAGATGTTTTAGCATTAGTCAATCCACATAGTGTGCCACAGTGTAGGCTGATAAGCTCCACTCAATGTTTTGTTCGAGTCATTAGCTTTACGCGGGAACTTTATACTGTACCCCTTGAAGTGGTTATATTCATTTGTTAGATTCACTTTTCTATATCGTTGGCTACAGTATCACGTTCCAAGGGAGAAAGGTTGCGTGGGCCCTCGCTTGTTATCTCCTTACTGTCTAGAGAAGCGAGGCTAATGCCACAAACGGGCATCAATAGCCAATCAATCTACACACACGTGCATGTACCACTACGGAGTATCGTACAGTGGTTGCGGAAAGGTCATGCATGGTATTCGTCGTGGTTTGGGTGATTCTATAAAAACCGGCCATTACACGGGCTGCACAATAATGAACCAATTGATTAGGCTGTTGACGCGTCCCTTGGTGTCTTATAAATCAAAAGATCGTCTGATTCTCTTTATCGTAGGAAAAACTACGGTTTCTGCGAACTACGATTTTCTCCCGAACGCGGGGGTCCTCTAATTATCTCTATCATTGGAGAAACCACAGATTTCTTATAATCTAAGACCCCTCGGGGGAGCCTACACATCGTTGGACAAGGTAGATCCTAGGGAACACCTCGGTTTCCGCGCGCTTTAGGCTCTTACGAACCAGACGATCATCTGATTATCTGTATCATATGGGAAACCATGGTTTCCGCGAGCTCTGACTCTCTTGCGAACCGTAAGAACATACGAGTATCGCTATCGTAAGAAGTGTCACGATCCTTTAGCAACTCTAAAGGTCTTCCTATGAATTTAGCGCCCGTTAGAACTAGTGGTATCATAATAAACACTACGATTCTCGTCCACCATGATAATCTCACGAATCAAAAGATCACGGGACAATATCCATCCCAAGATTTACCACGATTTCGCGACCTTAATCATTTGTTAAACTAAACAAAAATTGATTTTGTATCTCAGATACTACAGTACTTGATTTGTTATTCTTAACCAGGCTCTTTTGAGATACCGAGGAACGATGCCGGGTAGAGCACAAACTAGTTCTATATTAAAGTGTTGGACTACGAGTCTTGTCAAGTAATAATCAAATAAAAAGTCACCAAAGCCTGAGTAGTAAACACAGGCAGCAATATGCGATTGATCACGTAAAACTAAACTAAGTGCATGTAGTGTCCTTATATATCCTTCGATTGCTACTCCTAGGTCTACCCCCTAAGGTAGCTTCTGGAATAGCTGGTGACTCCCCATATATACTAGAGTCACGGTCACGTTGTGCTTTACCGTCTACTACCGTTGTGGTGTAACGGCATAGCTCATGATCAAAAAGCGAGCAATAAGAGCGGGCAACAGAAAGAAGAGGAGATTAACTAGGCAAAAATATTGCGTAAAGACACAGTTTGAAGAGAATGATATTTATAAACGATCAGATGACGAAACATGCATCTTCAACAATGCTTTCCAAGCTATCAGTGATTTTTTAGCGCCAAGATGTCTTCTATCAGCAACTTCAGAAACCTGGACTAACCAACCCCTTGCACCCAATGTCCACTCCGGGTAGCACTTCGACCATCTATACGGCAAACACACGTTTATCGTCGACGAACCGAGCTAAAGCCGATTCGCCCCAGGAACCTCAAGAACTGCAAAATAGGCGAAACGACAGAAGAAGGCAAGGAGACCATGAATCAGTGGACAAATGCAAGCATAGCAACATAGGCCCGAAAGCAGAAAACTCGCTATAAACAAGAATGGAGAGCCCTCCCACAGCCTTTCGATGCTGATCCCATGCTGTGGACTCCAAATTTGGAAACAGGCATTGACTGACGAGGGTATGAATGCGCCACACAAAAAGGTTGGCATTTTTGTTCGGTTCCCTCTTTGCGTGGTACTCAGTTAACCAAGAGTGAAACGTAAACGCCTGTCGATAGATCAGAATCCAAATCCTCTTGGAATATTCTCCGCTCCACCAGCTTCGTGACCCCATTTCTCCATCTACTTGTGATGGCAGTGGCAATGACCACCCTCTCGACTCCTGGAACTACCCTTTTCACAGTGAGAGCTGCTTCTCCCAGCAGGAAGTGATCACCAGGAAGCATATTGTCCGCCTGATTCGGTGACGACCGAGTAATCGTCTTGCATCGATTGAATTCGTCCGCGCAATTCGATAATACTGGAGGAGTGAGCAAGACCCGAGTACACAGAACTGTTTCTGGAATTTCGGTATAAATGTTCTGGCAAAGAATCGAGCAGGGTCGTGCATTACTCTGCTGTCGAAACTCTAGACAATGCTGGCTTGCAACGGCAAAGGTTGCGACATCCCGTGTATCCTTTATAACCCGAAACCAGTTGTTGATCTCTATGCGAAGGGTCCGCGGGCTACCAGTAAAAGGCCAAAAAACCTGCAGGTGCCCATTATGATCGACTCCTGTGTCTTCAAGGGCAATGATCGAATTGATAATTAAGCGTCGAATGGATTCTTTGGTCATAGCTGATTCTTCTAGAATTTGGTCAGATGAATCAATGTCGTCATCGGTGGAAAAGCATCGAGTCCAGCAGGACTTGATACAGTTTCGGTCGGCAACTCGGTGATCACAACATGACGTTCGGCCTGAATCCCTTGCTTTGGTTTGTGATAGGCGAAGAGCGTCCCAGAGTGTTACTCTTTGGGCGTTACCAGTACATGCGCTTACTTCCAATCCGATGGAATGGTTGAGGAGCGGCATGAGCTTGGGGTTCCGATATTTGCACATGTCAATAATCGAGGCTTTCCATTTACGCCCTGGGATTCGCTTGTATTTCTTGATGATGCCCCCATTGATGTATTGACCTCCCGTTATCTGCAAATCGAAACCATCGGGAGTGTAATATGCATCGTGTGTCCCAGAAGGTTGGAGCTGATGTCGAATGTGCGCCTGTAGGCAATCAATTTTTGATTGGCATCGGTGGTTGACTGTCAGTCCGGCTGCAGTGATCGAGTCAGTACCGATCAGAATACGTGATGTGCTGCTTAACAGAGTAGTCTTATCGCAATGGATATGCTCGGGAAATTGCCTTGTCCAATGGCATTCAATCTCCCCCGAAGCTGTATCAGACTGCTCCTTGTGTGGAAGAGGGACAATATATCCTGTTTCAGTTTGGAGAATTAGGCCTTCGTCTGTTGTTCCTCCAACCAGCCAGACTGGGCCCCAAAGTTCTTGGAGGTCCTGAACGGTCAGAGATATTTTCAGTCCTCTCTGTTCTGATGTTGCTCGGCTCTTCCCCAGAACCCATGCAGGCCCGCCGATAAAGTCCTTAAGGCAGGCCAATTTTCGCAGAGTAAAGTAATATTCTTGCCCAACAGAAATTTCGTTTCTCGTCTCTTTCCAAAGATTAAGATCAAACCGGCAGACGTGTGAGCCAGAGAAAGACACAAGGCCAACTAACAAGGCCGTGCTTAGGAACTGCCAGTAGGGCAGCCAATCCAATTTCCCCTCGACGTGATCTTCTAAGGACAATTTGCCAAGCAGCCTGTGAATTATTGGCAAAGAAGAAACGTGGGCAGGATTTGGAGAAGGCCGGAATATGCTTTTTGCGACAAGTGACTGTGAGCTGAGTGGCGATATATCATGCGGCGGATCATCCAATATGCCGATGGCACTCGCAATTTCATCCTGCGATATACGGACAGCGCTCGCAACATCTAGTCGCGATTGGTCTTCGACTAAAATGGACAGCACGCCCTCACAGAACCCTTCTGCCTGTAGGTTTTGGAGCGCAGCCATACTTCTCTTCAAGCTCATCAGGCATTCAACGAACGACCCCTTTTGCTCACTGGGTCCCTTCCTGATATCGCAGATGTCCGCAGTTTTGACCTCGAGCAGATCCAGCTTCTCGTAATAGGTAACTGGACTTAGAATATGCTCCATCTCATCGGAATCTGCGAATCCAGCATCAAGGTCATCTTCTTCCTCTTGATCGGGCTGTGTGATACCGGTCTGCGCCGAACGCGTTTCCTCCTGGTTAGATTGCTGCGAGGATTTGCTTATGTTGGAATATTGTTGTTTGAGGTTGTGATGGTATGGTTGATGGCCATCGCTGTACTGGATTTCTCGAGTACTCTCGCTGCAAACATGACACCATATCCCGGATCCCTTTCCATTACGACATGTAAGGCAGTCCTTGGAGGAGTGTGCACATCGCATGCACTTTTCACAGGACTCTTTGCTGGTCTGACCGGGACTCTCGTTAGCTACACCCAGGCATAATTCCCAAGACCTGAACTCCAGGTCCAGCATATCTTCGTTGCTCGCGGCCTTTCCCGAGCCAAAATCCTTCAGGTTCCACTTCTCAATACCTTCAAAGCCGTTCAGCTCGTTTTCGAATTCCCGGAACAGGTCGGTATTCAGCCGCTCGTACTCGCTGTAGTCCTTGGGCCAATCACCCAGGCGCTGCATAGCAAGCTTAAACAGTAGCAGGTGCTGACGGATATGCTCGCCATCGGAGACGGTGTCGTCAGTGATGTGGTCGGCGAAATTGAGGTCGTACTCAGAGCCGTCCGTGCTGAGGCTGTCGTCAAGGCCGCCCTCAAACTCGGCCAGGGATGGATCCACGAAAATGCGGAGCAGATACTCGTGAACAATGGCACTCTTCTTGTAGTACTTGGATGCCATGTGTTGACCACCCTTCTCGGACTGATAGCGCTGAGCGATACCGGCGTACAGCTGGGAAAGCAGGGTAGACATCTCGAGGGTGCTTTGGTGGCGGGCACCATTGACACGGCTGCATTTGTACACAATGTCCTCGGCCAGCCGTGTCGCTTTGATAGCGTCGCCAACTAAGTAACGGGCCAGAATGTAACGGCGAGCCAGCTGGAGGGTGATCGCAGGTGACCAGTTGATCTGCTGATTACGACCGTTCCAGACACTGGAAAGGACCCAAACGAGGTTCTTATAGTCCTTCTGTTCGCCCAGCACGCCAATCAGGATATTCAGGTAGTCCAGATTGACCTGAGCCAGGTTGATCTTCAAATCGCTGATGACGCGGAGGACCTCCTGAATAATGGCCGAAGAGACGCCGAACAGCTTCTTCTGAGCAGCTTGATCAGGCTGTGGAACAATGGTACGTCCGGTGATGAAAACGCCCAGAGTGAAGACAAATTTGACGATGGCAACGGAGCGATACACATCGTGCGCAGAGATGTACCGGAAGGAGGCGATAGCAAGGTCACAAGCACCATCGTAGTTCTTCTTCTGGAGGAGATCAAGAACACGGTAGTTGCTTGCGATACCAACCGAACGGACAAAGTTTGTGGACTTGTGGGTGCTGAAGTGCTCCAGGATAGTTGACAGGAAGATCTTTACCTGGTTAATCTCGGTCAACTTGGTGTGTTTGCCCTCGGTGGCCAGGAAGTAGGCAACATAGTCGTCAAAGACACGAATAGTAGCAGTCTGGCGGTTGTTAGAGAGCAAGGCGTGGTACAGATGGGAGGCAGAAACCGAGACAGTGTGGAAGGAGCTGCTCTTGGAGAAGACATGGCTACGGAACTCTTCGAATTTTACGTATTCGGTGATCAGTGCGGCTAGGATCTCCGTGATGCTCGAACTTCGTTGGCAGAGACTTTGTTCTAGCTGTGCCAAGAAGATTAGGCTCTGTCGACCCTTCGAAGTGAGATCAAACTTGGTAGACTTGACATTGGTCGTGTCCTTCATGACGACCTGGTGGTACAGTTCCTGTGTCAGCTCAGTGGCCTTGGACACCTGGTTTGTGGCAATGTAGCTGGCGGCGATGGTCGAGGCAGCAACGAGAAGGCTGGTGGAGGAAGACTCAGCCTGCAAAATCTGCACAGCCGACTCCTTGAGCTCCGAGAGGACAGACTCAGACGACTTGGCGTGCTTGGAATGGGAGGAGATGATCTCCTCCAAAACGGATTCAGAAATGACGGATGAAGGCGAGCTCGATTGGTGCATGGCCTGTTGAGATGTCTTCTCAACGCTCTTCTGGATTTCCGAGTATTGCGAGGACTCAGTGCGGTTGGTGCTCTTGTAGTAATGTGCACAGTGCTTGAAAATGCTCAGAGCTGCTGAAGAGAGACCGACAGCGGTCATGACCTTCGCAATCTCCTGGAAGTAGGAAGAAGTGGACTCGGACACAGACAGGTTAGTGTTGCGATACTCCTCCCAAACACTTAACAAGATTGAAGAGGCCTCGTTCTCGCGCATCTGAGACTGAAGGAAGTTTGAATAGACAGTGACTGACTCCAGCTTGATCTGCTCCCAGTATACAGAGTACTGAGTGCGACACTCCTTGCTAGCCCGATGCCAGCTCTCAACGTAGATACGCTCGGCCTCGGCAATGTCACCCTCAGAGACGTAATTTTGAGCCTGCTTGAGGAGGGCCTCAAAGTCGAAGGCTTCGGACTGGTATTCATCGACCTCGGTATCCAGAACGAAGCGAGTGCCAGTTTCGCCGTTCTGCTTATGACCGTTCTGGTGAACATGAAGATTACCGTGAGTGTCGGTTTCGTCGCGATAACAGCGAGCCCCAGTAATTTTCTGGATTATGATTTCAATCTCTGTGACCTTCTTCTCCTCCTTGAGGAGACGGTAGTGATCGACCAAGTTCTCGAGAGTAGCAACGACCTTCTCCGGTTCGTTGCCATAATGGATCTTGTAGCACTCAACAATGAGAAGAAGAATCTCCTCGCGCTTGACCATTATGTCAGTCTTGGTTGTGGTCGTCTGCCCAACTGTGAGATCCATGAAGAGGATAGACGTCTGCATGGTAATGATGTGCTTGGCAGTAAGCAGAGTCCGGCTGAGAGTAGTGATCTCGTAGAACAGCGGGATTGCCTCGGTAACGTGGCTGATGTCACGACGGAAAAGAGCCAAAGAGATGATAGACTGGAGAGTGACGACATTATTTGGAGTCAGGATCTGACGGCTCAAGTTGCTGACAATAGATAGGTATGTCAAGAGCGTCGGGGTGGAGATGTTCTGCCACAGGCTGTTCTGGAGGAGCAGCAAAGTAACATTGGCGGGGAAGAGCTTGCCGAACTCCTTGGCCGTAGGAGCATCACCACCAGTGGTATATACAGTGGTATTCTTCAAGTGGTGGGGCCAATAGCGCACCGCGAAGTCAAGAAGCTGATGCTTTTGGATAAGAATGCTGGTATCGTGACGGTCCAGAGGGGTCAGCGAAGGCTCACGCTGCTCAGTCACAGTGGACTTAATATAAACCAACAGTCGAGTCACAAGGTCGGCATGACGGTCCTTAACGGTGGTGATAAACTTGCCCTTGGTGTAAATATCCAGGACGGCCATACGAATGAGGCCGTGGCGAAGGTATACTTGGCCATCCTGGAGGAAGATAAGAGAGGTCAAGGGCTTCAGGATAGTCAAAGTGTCAACCTTACGATCGGATATAGTTTGTTTATCAAGCTGAACCGAGGCCAGTGTAGCCAATTCCTTTAGCAACAAAGGCCGCTCGGCAGTAGCAAGCCAAAGAAGCATAAACTTGGCATCCTTACTAACGTCAGGGGAGGCAAGTATGTAGGTGACAAAGTCTGTCACTGTCCACTTGCTGTTCACCACGGTCTCGACAGTCTTGCGGAAGGCATCGGCATGATGCTCGTGGCGAACACGCTTAGCAGCGAGCTTAGCCCATAGGAATGAGCCCTTAGAAGCCTCGGTAATTTGGTCCACAACTGTTTCTCGCTCTAACTCAGACATTTCTTGTAAAGTGCGGCTGTGCTCAAAGATGTCACGCACAACAGCAGCGATGTCATCAGCAATGCGATCCTCAGTGATAGGAACTGCCATCACATTCTCCTTGGTAGTAGGCTTCTCGGAACCAAGAGTGATGAGCCTGACATTAACAGCGTTGGAGGTGGCGGCAGTCAATCTTTGGAGCAGAGCAGTCTCCCCGCCGGTAGCCTCGTCGAGGCCATCAATGACAATAACCAGCTCCTTGGCACCACGGAGAGCAGAAGCCAAAGCACGCTCCAGAGCATTCCAAACAATGTTCTCATAGTCCGCGGGGCTAGTTTTCTTGCGGCTGCGCTCATAGGCATCACCCAAGATGTGCAGGAGCTGTACATTGCCAATGCCCTTCTCGAACAACTGGAACAGAATAGTCTTTGCAATTGGAATGGGGGTAGTCTCAGCGAGGATGCGGGAATCTATTTAATTCAATGACTAAGTTAAATGAGAGCCAACACGTGATAGATTCACATATAATTCGACACGTACTGATAGGAACAAACAAGGTCTTGTAAGGAACTCCGTCAATCCGCTCCTGCAGAAGGTCCACGATGACCGAAGCAAGAACGGTCTTGCCGGATCCAGGCTTGCCGTAGAATGACAGAGTGTGGTTCTGACTCTTCAGGAAGCGAGTCAAATATGGGCTCATCCAAACGCAAGTCATCTCCTCACGCTCGTGGGCGAGATGCGAGGTGTTTTCAGCGAGGTAGCTGAGGACGCGGTCTTCTGGGGCAAGCCAGGATCGGACGAACTTGACAATGGCAACTATACAGAGCCAGGCGTGATCAGTAACTGCTATAGCCTAAGGCCAGATATCGTATCACAAATATTCTTACCTCTTTCGGTGTCAATGCTCTCCTTGGCAAGCTGGTGCCGCCACATAGCTTCGGCGATCTTTCCGCAGCGCTCACAGAAGGATTGGATTTGGCCAGGGAAAGTGTCATAGACGTTGACTGACACCGAGGCGGTGCTTAATCCACGAATGGCCTTGTGAAAGTGAGTCGACACACTGGCAACAAGGGTAACCAAGTCAGCCAGGGCTAGGATCAGCTGCTCTTTGATCTCCTGGGATACCGAGAACAGCTCGGTCCGCTCCAGTAGGTTCACCAGAGCGGATGAGGTACTGTAGAAGAAGCCGAAAGAGATCATCAAAGCAGGCGCGTTCTTTATACCAAGCTGTTTAAAGAAGAGGAAAGTTCAGTTAGTCTACAAAGACCTGGTGAAAAGCATCGCAATGGAGCATACCTCGAGCAGCATAGAACAGTATCCGTAGGAGAGCTGAGCGGCAAGATAGCTATCGCCAGCAAAGTCTTGGATGCCAGTGTCAAAGGAGTGCAGTCTGTCAACAAAGAGCTGGGCCCAAGTGAGAACCTTGTCATAGCAGCTACCCTCTGGGGGCAGGTGGCTCATCCGCTCGGAACGAATCCATTCGATAATGGAGTGATAAGATGTGTTCAGGAGCTGAGATGAAACACCATTGCCCAGCTCATCACCGCTGCGGTGATACAGAGACTGCACCACGCTGGTGATATTGGAGCTGCCCATGCCGCTAAGCTTGCGGGCGAAATCAGATCCTCCCTGCGTGGAGCGAGCATTTTGGGAGATGCTATCGCAATCAAAAGCGGCAGAGAAAGCAGACAGTTGCCGGGATTTACCAGGAAACCCGGGGTAGAAAGCAGAGGAGCGGTTACCTGGCACAGGGCGCACGGTATTGGAGCGCATTTTGCCTGTTTTAGGCTGAGACGTATTTGGGATGGATTTCTGGGTTGGGTAGTAGGGACCAGTCACTCTTGAAGGAACAAAGTAGACTCCATGGCCTAAGGACGAAAGGTAAGCTGAAGCGGCATCGAAAAAGCAAAATCGGTCCTAAACTGATAGAGTAATGCGACCGCGCAAATCTCCTGGGATTATGAGGCGGAGATGACCACCGCAGACCTAAGTCCCGTGCTTTAGTGTCATATCCCGGACGGCCAACTCAGAGGACCCTCAAGACCCAACTATTGGTCAGGTATCGGCGACAAGCCGGCCACTTAAGTATCACGAGCAGTGAAAAATCATGGCGTGTGCAAGGAACACCAGCCAAGCCAGGCCTCGCATTCCTATGCGGTAACATCAGACCCGTGAAGGTTCAATGTCGCCAATGCCACGATTGACCAGTTGTGATACCATTCTTCAACCCGCTAAATTCGTTTCACAAAAAGGACTGCTTTTAATTTCAATATCAGTTCTAATGCTTCAAGCGTTCTCCCCACTTCATTACCGTAAAACAATGAAAAGTTATCTCCTAGGGGAAGCGAATCTTGTCATGTGTCCCGGTCGGGCAGATTTGCGTTTAGTCACTGCTACCTAAGCCCCTTGTTATTGAAGTCATTGGGAGTATGTGAGGGTCGGGAAGCACGACGCGTTCTTATTGGGGACTGACTCATAATATACTGCTGGCTAGTCTTTGGTGTCATCAAAAGTTCTTGACCAAATCCCGATCTGTATTGGCTATAGACCGATACACGATTCGTTCGGCTGATAGCATCCATACGTTTAGTTTGACCCTAGTGGGCCTCTGCTTAAAGACCCTGAACATGCCGATGTGCGCTCTGAGGATTTACCTACCATACTGTACAAAAATGGACAGTGCGACTACCAAGAATGATCTTTGCGACCACTAAAGCCAATACTCCGCCATGACAAAACGAAAATGATCAGTTTTCTACGCCTGGGGACTGAGTTGAATACTTCTGGGATTGATCTAATGCAGACATCCTTAGGTTTGCCACTGAACTAAAGCTTTATTGAATTCCCTCAAAAGCTTTTTGGTCCCGGGATGGGCAAGTCTACTACTAGGAGAGTTTTACAGCTCCCTGGAACACGGGTAAGCCTTCGAGAAGTGTAAAGTCAATCTCCAGGAACATGAAACCATCTGATTGATTGATTTATTCATAGACTGTCCCAGCCCCCAATTAATGGAAGCTATGTAGCGTGTGACTGTAAGTACGGATGTCCCAGCCCTCGCTTTCAGAAAACAAGCCGTTCCTTGTCCGAATAACTTCCCCGTCCGCTCCAGTATGCTACATCCCAACTCGTAGTCTTGTTGACCGTTCTGTTTCTATGTACCTGTCGGGCCTCTCCTGGCTCTCCTCTACTTCTATATACCAAAAATCACTCATCTTCGCTATGTTTATCTGAGTACCGTGGACGGCACTGCTTGAAATTGTCCTAGCAGTCCAGTCCTCAAGATCATCTTGGCTGCTTGTACTGCCATTGGCGGGCTACAGAGAGCGTGCTTGATGTCAATGAATAGAGACTTGCCTGCCTACATTCGATGTCGTTCTTCCACCCGGTTCCGGCTTCGAGCAGGATGTGTCGAACCGTTTGGGGTCCATGGCCACACTGACATTGGTCTGTATCGGCCTTGTTATGGCGTGGAGGTAGGCCTGTAGGCCGATCTTACCCGTACGCATCTGTGTGATTGCCGAGCTAATTGCTCTATGTGCCCCGATGTGTGTTTCGAGGGTCGCTTTTTCCGGTCGCACTCCGAGCCTAAAGAGCTCTCTGCCGTGTTTGCATTTCTCCCAAGCTAGTTCCCACTCGTTTCTCATCGCTTGGAGAATGGTAAACTTGGCGGTTGCTGTGAGTATTCGCGGGCTCTTTCGCAGCTTGATCCGCAGCCTCGTTACCTGGCACTCCGACGTGTGCCGGGATCCATCTAAACTGCACCTCCCATCCTTGGCTTCGGGCCTCGTCAAGCGCTCGTACCCCTCGACTAGAATATACAGTATACAAGACTCAAGACAATGTTTTCTTGATCTAAGGATTCAGTGAGGCCTGGATCAGTGCCAGATGATATCTGAAGTAGTAACCGAAGCTCCCAGAATACCTGCTCTCGTTCCCGGAGGCTATACAGTCCACTCCAAGGAGCTGTAGATCCTCTCATACTGATGATATTATTGAATTGGGGGATTTTCCAATGCCCAATAGGCCACCGATCTGAAGTTCAGCCCTTACGACCCGGATCTTGATCCAATAAGTACTGTAGCCACATGCTTCTTTGCTTATTAGGTTAATAAGCCCGCCCGGTCGTTGATTGCCAAAGGGCCGGGCTGGCCCACCGTCTACGGCTCGTGGGCTAGCTCGGCCCTTTGGCAATCAACCGGTAACCGGTGCTCGCGATCACTAGATCTCAGCGTCTATCTCTTACACCACCGCCTTTTAACCATGGCCATTTGGCATAAGCTCTAGAACAGTAGGCGGTCATCTCCAGCTTACTTTTATCGGACATATGATATCTGATCATAGGCAAATTTGGATGCTGAACTCCTTATATTAGGCCTCGTTGGCCTTGAATCGATGTATGAGAAGCTTTAATAGCTAGGTTGCTCATTAGGCCTTTACTACTGTACTAGTTCTGATGCCTATTAAGGCGGTCATGCTATGTGCAGTGGATATTCAAGTGGAAGGTAGGTTTTAGACGCTCTTTGGCCCATACTGTATCAAAATAGATTGTTTATACCTTATAATTGAACAAGGAGCACCGAAAGACGAGTCGAAAAATACTTGTAGACATTATATCATAAGCTATCCTGCTTGATCCATATGATCACTAATAGACTAATCTTCGAGATGTGCGATCCATGATATCCTTACATTCCAGGAATCATTTGTTAATTCCGGGGAGCCCTCAATGCTCCCGAGATTCGTTATGCATTGGCACCGATCTTACTAAATGCACTAAAGCTTGAAAACCCCACTCCTCGTTCCCTAGAGCTATACCACTCACTCCCGGGAGCTATAGGTCCCCTAGGAACTATGACTCTGATTCCTAGGAGCGACCAAGAGCGTGCCTAGAAACCATGCTATGGATCCTAGGGCCGGGTATGATCCCAGGAACGTGGGTCTCACTCCCGAAATAATAAGCGGAATCATGGATAGGTATCATCAATATGAATTCCAAAACGCGAGCAATAGGAGCGGGCAATGGAAAGAAGAGGAGATTAACTAGGGAAGAATTTTGTGTAATAAACGGTTAGAAGAGGATGATATTGATGAACGATAATATGACGAAATAAACATCTTCAACAGTGCTCTCGAGCTAGCAGTAGAATAAATAAAAATAGACACCTAGTGGTATAAAATCTATAGTGGTGAAACGATGAAGTTCAACGGGCAAGAAAATATTTGTAGCCGGTCAATAAACATTTAGTTGTTTCAGGAATTCGACAACAAAGCCGTCGAAAGAAATAGTCAATGATTAATCCTTCGTTTTCGTCTCAAACACAGTGAAAGAAGTAGGTTGTTTAAAGTGATTGTGGGAACAGTCTCCATCCAAAATCACACGTATTCTTCAATACCCAGGCACCCAGAAAGATGTTCCTCCTAGACAAGTCAGTGATAACAGATACATCAACATGGCTACTATGTAGTCCTCACTTATGTCACACGGCCAGTCAGCTTATTGGCCAAGGATGGAGAACTTCTCATCCGTTCGGAGAAGTACTACGTATGGAGAAATACATACATCGTGTGGAGAGCTTAACGTCTCTAATTCTGAACCTTTCGTCACAAATTTGAACTGAATGAATACAACACCACGAGCAGAGATGCGAAAAGACAAAGCATGACGCTATTAAGCATAGGATCAGACTTATGAACAGTCGTTTATGACTAGAAATGGAGACATACAAGACCGGATGCTGATAGTACCCCATCTTTTGTAACATGAGCTCCGGCAGACCAAGATGAGGGACAGGGCGGTCGTCCATTGCCTTAGATGCAGAAAGGAGAACAGAGATTCCGCCCATGACGAAGTTAAGGATGCACAGAAGCGGAGTGGAAATGAAGTCAAGTAAGTTACCTGCGTGATCAGCGCTTATTTAAGCGCGCCATTGGAAAAAAGAGGAAGAAAAAGAAAAAGAAATAGAAACAAAAACCAAGAAAAAAAAAAGAAAAACAGCCCCCATCACTTGGATCCACCTTACGTGGAGCCCCAAGGGAGTAGGGGCCCAACGCCCACTACGCCTGCATTTGCCCACACGCCCGTCCACAGGCAATGTCGCAGTCCACCGTCACCTAGCGTTGGAGTGTGGTTTGGATATTCGTGTTGTGACATTCTTTTCAGTACATCATTTCACCTTTTAGTATTGCAGTCGCTCTAAATGTTGGAATTCTTGATATTTTGTGTTTTGCAAGATGGTGTGTCTCCATCAATATAAAGCACCCTACACCAGTGACTGGTAAAAACCAACCCAACTAGATTATGCCCAATATCCAAGTTCAGCTCAGTAACTGCCAATGTACAGATACACAGCTCTGTCTCTACTCTCCAGCATAGTCTCCTTGTTGTATCGAAAGTTCAAGAAACTTCCAGTTTAAAAAGAACTTCATTCCCGCAAAAAGACTGCGATATTCATTGTCTTCACCATCGGGATCAAGGGGCACATACATTCCGATGGCCTGTTCAGCCAACTCACTCTCCCAATGAGACTCCCTGAATCTGCTCTTACGATTGAACAACTCAATCCCAAACTTCACGAGGTGGAAGCTTATATCTTAGAATCAACTTGAATCGTGCAGTGGTGTTCGAGGTGCATGAATATCTCAGTCTAGCCCAGCCGAATTCAATTCAGCGCATCATTCAAAATCATTGCGGGAACCGCTTATATGTCTCACCGATGGCATGGATCTCGGAACAGTCGCGTTGACGTGCCAGTTCCTCCTGCAGAAAGGGACCAGGGAGAAACGACAAAGTAGTTGTAGGTTGAAAGGTTGACTAGCGACGTTAGTTTTAGTTTAGTGATGATGCGTCACAACCGGAATCACAGGGTGAAAGTAGCATGGCAGCTCCTGCACAGAGAAGGCCATGGGAACAATATAGAGACACCATGCGTTCAGCAACCCAGCTAGGAAAGCGGACCTCCTGGATGACCAAGAAGCTCGCTGTTGAAGCAACACTTGATTCTTAAAATATTCATCTTTCAGAGTAAGATATCCTGTATCCCACGTCATTGGTAGTGAAGACCTCAAAGCCTGTCTTTCCACTTTAATCGTAGGGCTGCTGCAAAGTTCCCAACGGAAGGTGTTTTCTCAAATAACTCCGTGACTCCAAGCCTTGCCTACATCACGTTCGAGGCAATAGAGAGGCTTCGGACAAACTATGTGGACAGTTCCTCTTACGAAAGGCTTAATAAACCCGTTGTTCTTCTCACGCAGAAAAAGCTGCATTCTCTTGCACCAAAAAGTCCCGCCGAAGACCCACACATTGTGGTGATATTCATCGCTTTAGGCCAGGACCAACGGCGGCAACAGCAGCAGCAAGAGCTACAAATACGAAACGCCGAAATAATAACAAAAAACCAAACCCATGTGCATGCAGATATGACGTTAGATGTTGCAACGTCAAGTATGAAAAAGGTTACACCGGCTGCTCTGCGCTGGTTCGTATAACTTTTGCGGTCAGGCACAGGATACTCATACCGCAAATCGAGACAAGGAAGCTAGCCTACTACAGATCAAGAAGAAATCACTTGAAGAATGGGTAGTGGCGGAATCGTTGTATCTCCTACACCGAGCCTCTTGGAAGTGTGTATATTTAAATGTAGACTTCTCCTCTCTAAATGTATGCTACTGATATACAAGGCATTGATTTATTCGCAGGGCTTCAATTCAAAGTAGAGTAACCTTGCTAGAAATGAGTGTAAGATAACGCCGTTCAGTGATGTTTACTTCGGATATCCAAATCTCTTATCACTGCCCCACTATAACTTCCCCCGACAACATCAACTCCATCGCGCACCCTTAGACAACAACCCGCTCCCATCGGAAAGTACCTCCAATACCCCGAGTTTAGCATCCGCTTCCCTCCTCGCCAACTCTGCTACCGTGAGAACCGACCCGAACCCACGCCTCAAACCCGTCGCGTCTCCCCGAGGCATAACTTGCCGACAATACCCAAAGACCGCACCAGTCGCGCCTATCTCGTTTGGCCTGTGACAAATACTTCCAATTACTCTTCTGTCCCATACATTTCGAAGATATGGCCTGGCTTCAGTCAACACCAGGCTCAGGTGGACGCGCCGCATCCCCGACTGTTTTCGAGCAGCAGCGGGAGGAATTAGTCCGGGACATTGCAGTGGTAGGTTGGATCTTTTGCTTTTGCTCTTGGGCCGACAGCTGGTGGTGTAAATGGTGCTAAGTTATATGTTTCAGGGTATGGAGCAGGTTCTTCAAAATATCAACCGTCTGAATCGGAATCTGGAGAGCGTTATCGCGGTGAGTATCAGGACCGATTGCAGGTTGCTTGGAGAAGATCTCCCGCTGATAGATTGATTATAGGTTGGGAATGAATTCGGGTCTGTGGAAGCTCTATGGTCTCAATTTGAGAACTTTATGGGACGGCCGGAAGAGGAGGGTGAAGAGGGCAGCAATGGCAATGGGAATAGCCATGGGAAGCGGAAAGTGAGCGGGGAGAGCGATGTACCGATCAAGTCAGAGATTAAACAGGAGCCTGAGGAGGGTGAGTCGACTGTCATGCAGTGATTGTTTACATTTAGTCTGCATAGGCTTCGGCGTCGGGCTGTTTTGTTTTACCTTTTAGATACCACGCAACACTCAAATTTCCTTTTACAAGACAATTGCCGAAACATAAGCTAGATCTACACCCTCTACTACTCGGGAACGGAATGAACATAAGTCAGATGGATTGTTCAGTAACACATAGGGGTCGCTTCGCCAACAGAACAGATCAGATAACATAAACAGAACACCAGTCCCATGCATGCCAATAAAAAAAGCGGCAAAGACCCGAGTCATGAGAGACATCAATTGAAAAAAGTGGACACGGGTCATAAAACGGCCAAACATAAGACAAACAGGGAAACAATGGAATAAAGGAAACAGCCTCCAGCAAAAAAAAAAAAAAAAACAGTCGAGATCATTGTAGGGGCCGCACAGCGTATCCCCACGGACAAGGGGGTGTGAAAATCATGTCTAGCTTTGTCCAGCTTACCACATGTCAGATGTAGAGATGCTGAGGCAAGCAAGTCGACGAAGCAACCAGGCTTGTGGTCCGGCCAGGGGAGAAGGGAAGGATAAGAGGGTGTTTGAGAATGGAAGTGGAGGGACAAGCCGTTTCCCTGAAGAGTCAATCTACAGGATCTTGCAAGTGCGCTTCTTGATTTTCTTGCCGGGACGTTGACCTCCTCCGGAGGGTATGGCACTGCTGCGATCTTTGCGGCCGATGCGGCCTGGTTGCTGTGTCGAGTAGCCCTGTTCTTCGATTGAGATGACCGAGTCGACGGCCATGGAGAAAACCTCATCCACACCGCGCATCTCCTTACTGCTGCATTCAGCGTAGGTTGCACCCATCCGCTGGGCTACGTTCTGACCTTGCTCTGGTGTAATTGGTGTCAAGCCTTGGGTCTTTAGAAGTTCAATGCAGGTCCTCTTGGTGCGCAGGTCGGACTTCAGGCCGACAAGGATTATTGGGGTTGTGGGACAGAAGTGCAGAACCTCGGGGTACCACTATACACAGGTTAGATAAATTGGGGCAAAGGGATTGCAGTTAGCGACTCACCTTATCGACAACATTCTCCAATGAAGCGGGGCAATCAATAGCAAAGCACACAAACAGAAGATCTGTCTCAGGATACGACAGTGGGCGCAAACGGTCATATTCCTCCTGGCCAGCAGTATCCCAGAGTGCTAATTCGACAGTCTTTCCTGAAGCCCGATGTGTGGTTTGTGTAATGTAGTTCTCGAACACCGTGGGAACATATTTCTGCACCATGGTCAATATCAGGGATGCATAATATATGTTGTTGTGGACTTACCTCTGGGAAGTAACCTTGCGAATAGCTTATCAGCAGACAGGTCTTTCCACAGCCACCATCACCAACCACTACAAACTTTTTGGAGAAAGAGGGCGGCTGGGTGATATTTGTTGCTTCGGACATCCGTCCGCTGGAGAAACTGGTGTTTGTGCTGGCAGTGCCGTGGCTCACTCGCACGCTGTCGCTGCGCGCTCTGCTGTGACGCGGTGTCAAGGATGGAGGAGGGGTTGCAAGAGAGCGGCGGCGCGAAGCAGCATAGTATTGGTCCTCGTACATAGCACTCATGGTGAAGAGGTGGATACGTGGAATGTGGTCCCTCGTTTGCCGGTGAAGTATTGACGTGTTTGACGTGTGGGAATGTTGACAGGTGACAGTTGACAAACTGACAAGTTTTCCGGGAGATATGTTGAGGGGTTCAGGTTGTTGAGAAGGGAGAATACGACAGATCTAAAAGATCTCGATGAGGATCGTCGATAGAGGGTCTGTCAGGGCGAGACCCGTGTTTACATGAAGCTGCCATGGCAACGGCCGTGTCGTGATGACGCCACGGCTCCGCTTCCCATGAAAGTCTCGATATCTTGTCACTTTGAAGCACGGCTACTCCGATCCTGTTTCTTTTCTTGGAGAGGATCCGCCTCAAGCCTCCTCATTTCCCCACCGTTCAGCTCGCCAGAACCGGGTCGGCCTATATACAGATTACCGGATTGGGGCGTCATGTGATTGTATCTCACTTCCAAGGCCTATTTGGTTATAGATTAGTTACATAGGCAACTAGATTTCTTTAATTAACCATTGAAAAACAGGTTGTAGCCGGATTTCATGTAGAGATATGTATAAGCGAAGGAGGCTCTACCTCATGCATGTGCTAATCCTGCGAGTGATCTCCCTCGTATCGTGCCCACAAATCCGACTAGTAGGTATAGAGTATCCCACAGTGGACTCAAGGATCTGGAAAACAAACTCAGTTTGCTGTGATGTGTCTTGTCAAGCAACGGTCAACCTAGGTACCCAGGTTACCATGATAATGCGCTTTGCCTCTAATGTGTTGTCCAACTCTGTGTACTTCTATGTGTAAGTTAGATGTCTACTTTCTACATGTGAATCTTACATCAAAGATGACAAAGTTGAGCTCAGCTGAGCCTTGCGGGGAGGGGCTGAGTATTAGTGTTAGTATCGCGGCAATGGTATTCGTCAATAGCATTCACGCCAAACTAGAGGCCGAAAATATATTGAACAATATATAACAGGGGTTGCGTACGACCTTGGGAGGATACATATAAAGTGTGTAGCAAGCAAGAGAACACATGCAGGAGCAAAGCCTCATAAATGATCAAATGTCTGAAGTATAAGTTAGTCAACCTCGGCGATTTGAGGTGACTAAGCCACACACACATGGCCAGGGGAGGATGATCTCAACTTCCGAGTCCACGTCGAATTCCATTGCTTCAATCCAACTTCTATTCGCTCCTTATGCTCCGGCCCCTCTAAACTTCATTTCAACCCTATCGGCAGGTAGCTGTCTGTCGATCTATGGAATCCGCCCGATAGATAACACAAAATGGGCCACAAGTCGGACCAGCCTGATGCTGGACTAAAGAGTCTCAACCATTGTATGGACCCCTATCGACTGCACATTCTCCACCTCCCATCTGAAATGGCCGCTGACCCCGCGCGTTCACGGCATAGACTCAAACCGTTTACCCCTCTGGCGGTATTGGCCGCGACAGCAACTCATCCCACTGATTCGATATGAGACTCCATACCTTGCCTGGGTGCAGGAGAAAGTCCGCACCCCGACGCTCGATTCGTACTTCGCGTTCACGGCGAACCTCGGTACCCACACGTTCTTCATGGTTTTCCTGCCCTTCCTGTTCTGGTGCGGCTCTCCGAGCATGGGTAGAGGGTATGTGTTTTCGTCGGAATCGTATAGCCAAATGCAAGCCGGAGACTGACTTGTGTTCTTTCTAGACTCGTACACATATTAGCATCTGGTGTCTTTTGGAGTGGCTTTATTAAAGACTTGCTATGTCTCCCACGGCCTCTGTCTCCCCCACTGCAGCGCATTACGATGTCCGGCTCTGCAGCCCTCGAATACGGATTCCCCTCGACACATTCTACAAACGCTGTTTCGGTGGCTGTCTATGCCTTGGGATTACTTGGATCGCCTGAGTCGACTCTCAGTGCGCAAGCCACACTCCTTCTCCAATGCGTCACCTATATGTACGTCGTGTCTATCGTTCTGGGCCGTCTGTACTGCGGGATGCATGGGATGCTGGACTGTACTGTTGGGTGTGCTTTGGGTGCGGGCATTGGTCTCATCCAGTTCCACTACGGACCAGCCTTTGAAGAATTTATTGTGTCCGCTTCGTTGAAGGATATCTCCCTGCTCGCGCTTCTGATCATATCTCTGGTCCGCGTCCACCCTGAGCCGGCCGATGATTGTCCCTGCTTTGACGACAGTGTTGCATTTGCGGGGGTCATGCTTGGCGTGGACGTATCCTCGTGGCATTTTGCCGATATTTGGGATGGATATCCTGCTGGGTCGATCCCATATGACCTGAACACCGTGGGATGGATCAAAACTGTTATTCGTCTGGTTGTGGGTGTACTGTGCGTGTTTGCCTGGAGGACTGTGATGAAGCCCGCTCTGCTTCGCATTTTACCGCCCATATTCCGGACCCTGGAGAAACTTGGACTTCTTCTCCCTCGACGTTTCTTCACGACTGCTTCGTAAGTTCACCTTTGTTTGAAGTAAAGGGATTCTAACAATTGCAGGAAATACACCACTGTTCCATCTAACCTTAAGGACCGCGATGTCCTCCCTAATTTCTCCGACATTCCATCCATCATCACTACCATGCGTCATCCTCGCCGCAGAGCCATCTCTGTCGGCCCTCAGTCAGAGGCTGATGCGTACGAGACCCTGGCTTACAGGGAAAAACGTCGACGTGAGAGCCAATCTGGAAATCGTGCTTCTCCAGTTGCAGAGGGAGAGACAAAGTTAAACGGGGCGCCAACTATGTCAAGAAAGGCGACAACCGTGGGCGATTACGAAGGCATGATGGGAAGAGGCAGTCCCCATTCGTCTGCCATCGACGTCAGCCCCGAGACAACACCTTTCCCCTCGGCAGACTTTTCGATAGAGACAGAACTCGAGGCCGAGCAACGTGATGAAAAAGAGGTATTCTCCCAGATTAAGAAACCCCGTGTCCGTTATGATGTGGAGGTCGTGACCAAGCTGGTTGTATATGCAGGTATGTTCCAACACCAAGGCTTCTCTTCTCATACGGCAATTGCTGACAGTTGCTTCTAGGTATTCCTTGGGTTGTTATCGAGGTCGCACCCCTACTATTTGACCTAATCGGGCTCGGAGTTCCGCATGTTGTATGAATGTATCATTATTGAATGGGTCATTACTACCTTGAATACCCTCCTCCTCACCTCCGACGGCTTCCAAGACTGCTTCCAGTTCAGCAGGCTGTGCTGGAAGGCGCCACCTCATACGTACATTACCCTGTCCATGTATATAAGCATCGCAAGTGGTATTCATAGCATATGTGTGTTTCATAAGACATTTATAAGTTCTTCACACTCCGCTCGCACTGGGTGCCGCCATAATGAATCCCTACTAGAGATTGTGCTTCATAGCAAGCCATCTAGGTAAAAGCGACTAATGTCCAAAGTGGAAGATCACATGGTTGCAGTCCTTGAAGCTGGTTTCGACGTCTTGTGGGATTTAAGCCAACCGAATAAGGTGCCTCTTCTATAAATAGTAAATGTCACCGGTCTGTTCAATAGATATTCGAAAAACAGAAGAAAATAGGGAGAACGGAGCAGAGAAAGTGTAGACTGGAGACCTCGGGAAATGTTTCACTGGGCTGAGTCAGCAGAATGATGAAAGGGAACCGCGTCTGCTCATATTGTTCTCATGAACCTCTGGAGTGTCTGTCTTCGACTCTGGCTTCTCAGACCTTTCCTCCGGTCATGCCCAATGATGGACTGTGACCTTTCATTATTCCACTTTTCATTCTCTCCTCGCTCAACCTCTAACATTCATTGAATCGCCACCCTCGCAATCTGGAAGCGCGTCATCGGACGATAGGTTACCTCGCTTTCGCTCAGCTGAGATATCTCCGGCTCACATCAACATGGGGCATTGCTGGGCTCGACTCAAGTCTCGCCTTTCCTATATCACACCTACGAAGCCTGCGCCTGATACTCCACCCTCTTTTGGAGCTCCCAAAAAGCGCACGATTGGCGATAACGATGGTGAGGAGCTCAGGATGCATCCAAAATGCGCATGCAGATACTTACCTACTGTGCACATGTAGACTACAGCAACCTGCCTATCCCGGGAGCTTTCCCAGCGACTCCTCCCGAGTCACCGACACTTGCGCCAATCGATCCACATGGCGAGACTATCGAGGCCAAGGGCATTGCGCCGGGGAGATTGGAGTCGATGGACATAGACTCTCTCGGATCGCCGTCACTTCATACAGAGCTTGGTTCACACCTCCATCCTCGAGCGTCCAAATATTACCCACCCACCCCTCCACGCTCGCGGGCGGCGCCATCGCCCCGCCCACAGAAGATCCCAAAGCGCGCCGCAGAAGATCGCCTGCTCATCGACGATCCATGGGAACAACATACGAAAGATTTCGAAAAATTAGATCTGGGGAGACCTGTCTCAGCTGTACAACTATTCTCCCTCACGAGAAAGGACATACCCGCCAACCGCGTTGCATCAGTATACGCGGCCGAATGGGAAAAACGCGAGAAGGAAAGGCAGGCCAGGCTACGCGATTCTCGGCGACCGACAAGAGTTGTCCCGCGTGGTCCTCCAGTGCGTGACCTTTCATGGGATTGGCTCGACAAATTACAACGTGCGTCACAAAGCGCACAGGGCCAGGCTGTCGCAAGGTCTTTAGCCGGGGATGATCTCTACCAAAGAGACATTGTCACATGCATTCGACCACTGGCTTGGCTGAACGATGAAATTATCAATGCCTACCTCCCGTTACTTGTTCATTATCTCCGTCAATCCACCGGGAATCTCAAGCCGAACGAAAAGCCGCGCTTCCACGCCTTCAACACGTTTTTCTATTCCACCCTTCGCGACAAAGGTTACCAGGGCGTGCGACGATGGGCAAACCGGGCCAAGATTGGTGGAGAATGGTTGCTCAATGTTGACACTGTCTTCATCCCAGTGCACGAGTCGAGTCACTGGACTCTGATGGTTGTTCGACCAGCAGATCGCACGATAGAATATTTCGATTCTCTAGGATCTCGTGGTGCTCGGCAGGTGAAGAGGATCAAGGAATGGCTTGGAGGCGAGCTCGGCTCTAAATACAAAGAGGACGAATGGACGACCCTTCCATCGGTCTCCTCCCAACAAGACAATGGGAGTGATTGTGGTGTATTTCTCCTAACAAACGCCAAGGCAATCTCTATCGGTGTTGAGCCAACTGCCTTCGGAGCAGGCCATACTCAACTTCTTCGCAGGAAGATTGTCGCTGAGCTCATGAATGGAGGGCTTCATGGCGACTTCACTCCACTGGATAAAGCTACAGGTTCACTACTGCTTTGATCACTGAATGTCGACATATACGTAACCATCGATACCAGCCCTGTCGGTCTCGTGATGGCATTGGAACGTGGGTTCTGGCTCTGTTCTTGACCGATTCTACACGTTCGCAATCCATCCTCCTCACCTCCCTCAAATCACATACCCGTCCATCATCTTTCCCTAAGGCGTTCTCGGCAGCGATTTACATTATCTGATTTCGGCGCACAAGGCGAACACAATACAACAAGACCGAGAAAGCACCCTGCTTTTTCTGTTGGAGTTGTTTCCATTGAATGTCCGCAATGAATATGAATGATACCCCTGTCACTACGGCATTGACTTCGTTGACACAGAGAACGAAGCCAGTGCTGCTTTTTTGATTTTCCCAGCTTGTTTTCTGCATTGGTTCGTGGCGTTTTCCTGTCTTTTTGGCTGTATCAAGTCTATCTTATCGCTCTCCCAGAGCTATGTACTTTAATGCAACGCACTGGACCTGCAATACCTGTAACCCCGTTTCCATGTGAATTCTATACTCAAATAGTATAGCAATATATCCAGTACCACCTACTTGAACTGTATACATCATCATCCCTAAACAAACATCTAAGGCTTACACCACAACTCCTCATTGCCCCTAACCGAAATCTCCCTCAAACCCTCAGAGCATAATTAACATTTCCAGCCCTCCAAACCACCCATAAATGCCCAAAACCCTCCAGAATAGCAACCCTCTGCTTCTCAAGCTTGGCTTCAGCACCAATAGCAAAAGCCGGCCACACAAGTGCCTTGTAAAAAGCATAATGCGGACTAATCGCATTAAGCTGCAATATCATCGCGTCAAGCTCAACATCAAATCCACCATCACTCGAACCAACCTCTCATTCCGAGCCTATCCATCCAATGTAACCTGCGATATATAAATCGAGACAGCGTCTTGGTATGCACTAGCGAGATGGTAGCGAGGCTAGCTAGCCCTTTCATATTGAGCGTTTTTAGAAAAGTTATACCAAAAGCGAAGAAATATATATATAGGATCAGATAAATGTAAAGCTATCTTACATTTCCTAGGTCGATCGATTAGACTAGGCATACTCGTCCTAAGATAGGAGTCGTCGGCGACGCCTAGGCCGTAGAAGAGGCTATTAAGGTGATTATAAACCCGCTAGTAGTGTATTAGCGGTGCTAATATTGACCTAATGATGCTTCGTGAAATACAAGTACGGCCCCTTACTAATTAGGATTAGATAAATGTAAGGCGGGGTCCATTCGTCGAAAATAGGGTCCATTTAGTAAAGCCCTAGCTTTACGATGGCGAGGTAGCGAATCGGCGAATTCCTAGCCACTAATGTGAAGACGACGCGTAAAAAGAGACGAACGGAGGCTTAATAGTTTATAAAGGTAGCCTACTTATAGAAGCGCTAGACAGAACGGTAAACTAGGAGAGGTGGAGGAAGCTTTCTTAGACTATGCCGGAGGCTCATCGCCGACACCTATCCTGGGCCAATAAGAGGAGACCAAAGCAATACAGCCTTTCTAAAATGCCCCTGGACATAGTCTGGTCATTGCCTCCTGGCATTACCAACGATGGTGCACGAAACAATGCTGTTTGTCAGCCGCCGATTCCGAGGACATCACAGAAAGGACATGGCGATAATGTTCAAGTCAAGCAATACAACCACTGACTCGTCAGTACCACTTAGTGCGTGTTATAATGTTAGTCAAATTGGATACACGAATATCTCTATTTATATGCTTCTCAAACCGGCATCTTTGGGAAATGCTTTGGCAATTGCTTTGGCTGGATGGGTAATCTCAATGACTATCTTGGTAAGCTATATCAGAACGCTCGTCTTTGTGGAGGATGGCTATGAAGTTCAACAGTGTGCATGATCTTAGGAGAAACAAATACCACACATGAGTCCCATATAGATTAGGCAAGTGTGTTTATGGGGCGCATGCTCTATAACCAAGGCACACGTTGAGCAGATTTTACGGGGCTAAGTAATTTGGCGCAGGGCGTCGATCAACTCGTACTATTGCAACGATTTTTATTTTGACTAATCTGTTCTGCCGCGTCCACAAGCGTCATATGCATTGCATATTCCGTCCCAACTCGCTCAAGTGCCCGTCCTGGGATAGATCTACCCAACACTGATGAAATAATTGACCAAATTAAACACAACTGGCAAAGCCAAGGCAAGAGAGTTGGCACTCGCCGGGTGGCTGATGCCATGGCCACTAAATCCCGCGGCCGATCAAGCGGGCCGGAGCACGAAAAACCGGGAGGGTTGAGGGATATCGCGTGTCTCGGACCGTGCTCGGGCTATATTGTTTTCTCGGTGAGTTACATTCGGTATGTACGGGAATGCACAGCGAATTAAGTTGGTCTCGGTGTTTCATCGCGGAAACTTATAGACATATGATTGGTTTATATAAGTTAACTCTAAAAAGTGGTGGGGCTTATAATTATACTCTTAGCCAATAACTTATAAGCTCCGGCAGTGGCGCCCGATGACGCAACGCGGTTTATTCATACTAGAGACCAACGTTAATGATGCGGGACCCCAGAACCCCAGATTAAGCAATGATCCTAGATATACCCAATGCCTGTAACGGTCAGACCAATGGAGCATTGTTGACATTCATTGAAAGCGAGTCTTGGGAACTCTGTCTAGTACAGAGTCATTCTCGTTCCAGAGTATATCAGCCATCATAAAATGGACCTTGAAACTTGACCTTGCCTTCTACTCAGGAGTCGACTCGCCTCCAAATTGTCCTTGGTTCAGGGTCTAACTTACCACGCTTTACTGGCCAATCCCGAGTCGATACGTCCCTGGTTACATGCTTCTTTATTCTCTGGGAAGCCGCCACTCCAACTTTATTTTCTTCATTCTCCTGTCGTGCGGGGGTACCCCTTGTTACAGTGGGTCAAGCTTTGTTGTGGAGATTCCTGGGGCACTGCAGCTAGGACAAGTAGGGGAATGATTCTTGAATATCACCGCTACTACGTCTTGGGATTTCGTCATGCAAGAGCGTACCTATGTTGCTAACTTTTTGGTCAAAGGGTTATTCTACTTAAAGGATGGAAGGTTCCCATCGTCCCTCACGGCCTGATTGTGCTTCCCATTACTGCCTTCCATTATGTTCAGCAAATTCAAACCAACTCAACCTTACTTTGGCTTACGCGGTGGATGGCTGACCTTCTGGGTCACTGTCGCCTGTGCCACTGACATGATGCTGTTTGGCTACGATCAGGGTGTTTTTGGTACCTTTCCCCTATGAACCTTTTCTGAATTCGTGATGCTGACCCTTTAGCCGGTGTTGTTGTGACCAAAGACTTCCTCAATACCCTAAACCTCAATGACAACGCCACCCTCCTTGGTACTGTCACTGCTATCTACGATATCGGCTGTCTCTTCGGTGCCATAATGTCCATGATTTGGGGCGAGAAGTGGGGTCGGAAAAATTCTATTATATATGGAACAACCATCATGTCCGTGGGAGCCCTCCTCCAAATAACAGCCTACGGAGTCCCCCAGATGATCGTAGGCCGCATCATTGCTGGTCTGGGCAACGGAATCAATACTTCAACTGCTCCTGTGTGGCAGGGAGAAACCAGCCAGGCTAAATGGCGTGGCAAGTTGATTGTCATCGAACTCACTCTCAACATAGCAGGGTTCTCTCTCTCTAACTGGATCACCTTTGCGTTCTCCTTCCTCCCTGGCCCTGTTGCCTGGCGCTTCCCCTTGGCATTCCAGTTCATTTTCATTTTTATCCTTTACGCAACCGTTCCCTGGTTGCCTGAATCACCTCGTTGGCTCATCGCCCATGACCGTTCCGAAGAGGCCCAGGTCATCATCGCTGATCTAGAGGATAAAAACATTGATGAACCATACGTCATCACTCAATACACTGAAATTGTGGCTGCTGTTCAATATGAACGCCAGCATGCCGTGTCCTGGGGCGACCTTTTACGCGGCAGAACTAAAGAGGGTGGCACGTGTGCTATTCGCCGGATGATCTTGGGTGCTGGCGCACAGTTTATGCAACAGGGAGCCGGTATCAACGTGACTAGGTAGGTGGCGCATATACCCATTGAGAGTAGTTCGCAACATATACTGACGATCCAATCAGTTATTATCTTCCAACCGTGCTTATAGAATCTGTTGGATTATCGGAGACGCTGGCCAGGCTGCTCGCAGGCTGTAATTCTATATCATATCTCATTGCAGGTACCGTGGGTATTGCAAACATCGAAAAATGGGGCCGAAGACGCCTGTTTATGATTTGTGCTTTAGGCCAGGGTCTCTGCTATCTTCTCATCACTGTCCTCCTGCGATTCAGTGAAAAAGAAGGATATGCTCACACAAAGGAGGTGGCCTCAGCTTCGGTCGCCTTCTTCTTCCTCTACTATATCTTCTTTGGCTGCGGATTCCAAGGTATCCCGTGGCTGTTGCCTGTGGAGCTCAATTCGCTCAGCATGCGAACGAAGGGAGCCAGCTTGGGCACGGCAACAAACTGGGCGATCAACTTTTTGGTTGTCGAGATCACTCCCATCGGAATCCGAAATCTTCGTTGGAAGTTTTACATCATCTGGACCGTACTCAATTTGGTGTTTGTACCGACTATCTACTTTTTCTATCCTGAGACGGCGAACCGACAGCTGGAGGATATTGATTTGTTCTTCCGAGACAACCAGTCAGTGTTTATTCACAACAACCCGGAGGCTGTGTCTCTTGCACGTCCAGAGCGGTACATCGAGATCGAAGAGGACTTGGTACATCGGAACAAATCAGTGTCCGAAGCAAAGAAAGGAGTGTCTGGACAGGGAGAGCATATGGAGGCTGTGTAAATACCTTTGGATAGCCAAGGATCTTAGATTTTCTGTTCTTGCCGAGAAGCAATCAACGGCAAGGTACGAGGGATACGCAAGATCACCCTTTGTTTTACCCATCCCCTCTTCCAACCCTTTTGCTTTGTTTGTTTTCTCCCTATTTCTTTGGAGCTGGATTCCACTTTATTGCAGTCGTGCTTGACTCACATAACTTTATGTTCTTATTTCTTCTGAACTATTATAAAATACGCTACAGATCCAATTCCGGTGCAGAACAGGATTAAGAAAGAAGGAGAAATGGGCATTGTTAGTGTCAAATGTCTGATGGATTTCTTGTACTCTGTAAACCGGCCGTCTCACCCTTTTCTTGGACTTCGTTTCCCACCATTCTGGGCGGAGTGGACCGACAAGTGGTTGCAGACGCTCGCCGTCGCCCCCGTCGATATTGCAGCATAGACCTGCTGAGCCGTCATAATAAAGCTTATGACGAAAGGAAACAACGGAGCAAAAGAATGGTATTGTATTTGCGACTAACAAATATGGGGAAGAAAGGATAGAAGATCTTGGCAAAGGGACAGGAAGCAATCATATGTCAAAGGTATTGGTAGAAAAGGACGGAGAAAGAGACTTGGTACGCGAGCTCGCTAGTTATCTAATGCTCAGTTCTATTGCTGGGTCACGTGACCCATGATCTCGACAATAGCTTCCTATTCGAGACTTAGATTTAATCGGAGCTAACAGCGTAGCGCCGGCACCAAGAGTTGCCACGGCAAGATCGACGACCTACGTCAGATCACATTTAGACCCCATTCTGGTTTGTCATGGCTCACGAGTATGCAGAAATATCCTTAAAGTGACGTTATGTAGTTACACAACATCCACGGTGTACACACCATCGGAAATGCTCCGAACTGTCAACCATTTGAGATCATTTACACATAGGCATTTAATACACGGACTTTTTTGTAGGATTCACACCAATTCACATCAATTTACGCCATTCCCGTTTTCATCGTCCAAAAGTATGGAATGTAGGGGTGTTTTTTTCTTCTAAATCGTAGAAAGATTCAAGCTTGGTGAGGCTATGAACAGTTGAACTGATCTACGTCTTCGCTTCCACTCAAATCGGATATCACTCTTAGAACATCGATGTGCATATTTAGTTGCATTTGGCCTATGTGCTGTAACGTCAAGATGTGAATATACCGTCTTTGTATCAATGCAAAGCCTATGGGTCTGCAAATTTACCAAATCAGATCTCCTTGAGTCTATTCTCCTGTCACCTATAAAAAAGTCCCTGTTATTCCCCTCAGTGCTGTGAGGTGAGAACACCTCAAAGTGAAAACATTCGGCCTGCTCCATTTACATGTACCGTGCGACTCATTATGAATATGACCGAGACCCTAATCTTGTTAGTGTGTACACTATTTGTGTACACGGGAATCAAGATCATCTATCGCCTATTCTTCTCTCCACTCGCGGGATTCCCAGGTCCACTCTTAGCGGCCGCAACCGGTTTTTATGAGATATATTTTGATGTCGTGAAAGGGGGACAGCTAATGTGGGAGATTGAACGCCTACACAGCAAATATGGGCCTGTCGTCCGAATCAATCCTTCGGAAGTACATATCCGAGATCCCGACTTCTACGATACTCTCTATGTTGGAAAGTCAAGGAAGAGAGACAAAGTGCCTTGGTTTGTCTACATCGGTTTGCCCCGGTCAACCTTCTCAACTGCGCAATATAGCATTCATCGCAAGCGGAGGAATATATTAAGCCCCTTCTTTACAAAACGTGCGATTTCAAATTTTGGGCCTGTCGTCAGCTCCAAGATGAGTATGGTTTGCTATCATCTATCCAAGAAAGTCGGCACAGGAGATACCCTAGAATTGCAATCTCTCTTTGCCTGTTTCGCCGCAGACACGCTTTCTACATATGTATTTGGTTCCACACAGTCTTCTGGGTACCTGGAGTCACCAGACATAACAGATGACTGGAAGCGAAAGATCAATAGTGTCTTCGAGCTGTTGGTGCTCGTTAGACATTTCCCATGGCTTTTACCATTAGCACGCACGCTGCCGTCAGTTGCCAGTCGGATCTTACCCACATCCTCATGGGTTCTTCAAGCAGAAACGGTATGGCTATGGAGCTACATCAATCTATCAACACAGGAATAATACTGATCATGAACCAGCAAATTCGTGAAAGTGTTAAAGCTGTATGCGATAACCCAGACGGATGCCTCTTTGACGGTTCACGAAAAGCAATGCTCTCCACTATACTTGCCAGTGATAAAGCACCAAATGAAGAAAAAGACTTTGAGCGCCTGGCACAGGAAATGACTTTTATCATGGTGGCTGGGACCGACGCGCCATCCCAAGTAATCGCAATCACTATGTTCCATATTCTTCGGAGTCCGGAGATACATCAAAAGCTCAAAGCTGAGTTAAATGATGCTTTTCCTGTTCCTGTGTCCAATGCAGACTGGAACAAATTGGAACATCTACCCTATCTCGTAAGAAATATTAATTAGTTCTTTGTTTTTCTTATACCATACTAACAGCTATATTAGAGTGCCGTGATCAAAGAAGGATTACGAATTTCTGCTGTGGTGACAACAAGACTTCCACGTATAGCGCCGGAGGAGACCTTATATTATAAGGAATGGAGCCTCCTTCCCGGGGTATGTGTTTTCAGTTCTTGGTATTCCTTCTCAAGATACCTCAATCTACGTCATTTATTAATGCGCCATACAACGTGTTTATAGACTGCTGTCAGCATGTCCAACCACTTCATCCTACGAGATACAGGAATCTTTCCTCGGCCGATGGAATTCCTCCCTGAGCGTTGGATGACCTCTCCTAATGAAGTTCGTCTACTGGACAAATATCTCGTCCCTTTCGCCAAAGGAACTTCAAGTTGTCTGGGCCCATAGTAAGTACGCTGCCCCTTCGTGAGACGGTTTGTTTTGACCTATTCAAGTATGGCCTATTCGTGGCTATACTCAGCAGTGGGAACCGTGATACGTAAGTTCGACCTGGAGCTTTACGAGACTAATGAGGAAAATGTCCGCATTGTTCGAGACTGTTTCAATGGACAGACAGCCCCCGGCCTTAATTTGATTAGGGTCAGAGTTATCAAAGAGCTCGATTAGCCAAATATTCGTCTGCCTCTCAGTCTACCTCTATGTCAATGAAGCATTTCGGGATACCAACTGGGGTATTGCGGAATTCCCTCGATTGTCATTGGGAACCTACGTGGAAGCGACTGCCACGTAATCGTACAGAAGGATAAAAAGACGTTGTCTGCATTCAGTGTATCCAAGGATTAGTTCGGCTCTAGTTGTAACAGTGTCACAAAGTCCGGACCTCTCTTTAAGAGCCTCGAACATGAATATGATAGCTAAACCAGTGTCTCCGACCAAAAATGGAAATATCGAGAGCAGAGTAGCATGGACGAGACCAAAGCCTGCAGAAGATCTCGCTACGTTCTAGCAAAGATTCGATTGCCCAAGTTCGCTATTTCCGACGCCATGTATGTGGCAAGGAACTCTCATGTGCACTCCTCGACATCTTGTTTGGCGTGCGAGTTCATGAGAAGGGCGACGATTAGACCGTACAGGCCTTATACACGTATTAGCTTCTCATTCGGCGTATTTCCCGAAGATATGATAGTATCAGAATCATGCCGACATACAATCTTGGCTGCTGAGCTGTTCCACGAACCCCGGCATCACCAACGAAGCCAATAGCGAAACTGAAATCATGATGCAAGGGTCATCTCAGCTGTCTCGGGACTTATCTGTTACGCAACTTACCCAGATGCTAAACCGGCAAGGCCGACGGAGAGACCCGCACAAAACTGAATCAAGCCTGTATATAAGGGTAGATTCGCGACAAGAACGGAAACAACTAAGCCATAGATCCCGATAATGCCAGCCATCACAACCGGAACTATGTCTATTGAACCACGTCTGCTTTAGGGTCGCAGTCTCAAGTACTGAAAATAACTCACTTTTTTAACAGCAAAACCCTTCTGGAAACTCGTCCGGCACTCAGACGTGACATACTCTTTACAACCAAATCGGGTCGCAAGACAGCCGTCGAGTAAACGCCAACGCCGGCCTTAGCAGTTCCGTAGGCAGCACAGAAGCAAGTGAAGACAATTGCGCAGACGCAGCCCATAGAGCCAACAAATGGCTGGGGCTCTCAAAATTAGCCACTTAAATTGGGGCAGCGGATTTAGACATGGTGAGGGACGAGGACATGAACTTTGGCTGATGCTTAGGTCGTCACGTTCGAATCAGCCACGTGGGAGGGCGAACTCATGGCATAGACAGGACTAAAAGAAGATCCAGTGAGTACGAATCAGATGCAGGACATTAGAAGTGCAGAGAAACGGATTGCATGCGTAAGGGATCAGATGAAATGCCCGGGCTCCACGAGCTTTGCTTACCACATTCTGAAACCGTTTTGCTGATTGCTTTGTCTATTTGAGCGCTTGAGGCGGACAGCTTTTAGAGAAATGCTAGGAAGACAAGGACACAATCTTAAGAGGGAGGTTATTGACGTTGCCCCAAGTAACTGAGAGAAGAGGTTTGAGTGGCAAGATTGGACGGACTGAGACGGACTTTCCCAAGCCAAGTCTGCCTGGGGCCACGCTTCCAGAAGGCACCCCTGTTGAGCTCACTGTTCTCGTATGTTATACCATAGTGACTGTACAGTTGGCGTATTCTAAACTTGTGTTTTCCCACTATAATTAACTACTACGCTACTAATAAACTCTCTACACTCACCATGATTATGGCTAAGGAATACGAATCACCGTGGAAATCTCAAGGTCTCTGTATTCTGTGTGCTCGATAGAGAATACAGTATACCCATGTCGCCAATCCCCGCCGGTGCTCAACATCCTCCAAGAAAAGATAATAATGTCCAAAACGACTGATAGCACAATGGTCACCCAGCATGCCAAGGCTCAATTCCATCGATGTTGCATGATCTCTGGCAAAATTCATGATGAGGCGGATTCCTGTATCCCCCTTTCTACACTCGCGCCCCTGTCTTCCTGGGGGACAAGCATGCTTTTCATCAGAAGAATTCCCGTGGCTCGAATCGTTGTCAATGATGGAAGTATTTGCGAAAGGAAATCTTTGCTGGTCATTATGATGCTGAGAAGAGAAATTCCAACCGGGGGCATCGGTAGAACGATTGTAGACCAGCTCGATATATTCAATGCCCATGTATATACTTTCGCCGATTTTGATGTCGCCAGTCCACGCCCCGCCATCACTCCAAAGATTGAGCACAATCATGCTTTCCAGCTCAGGGACTCGATAGGACTTGGCATCTTGTATCTGGTCGTTCACAAACCATCGTGATATGTCCGAAAGCCAGTCCAGACGATGCGTGGCCCATGATGTCCACGGGATGGGGAGATCCGCTACCGTGCTTGCCCCAGGGATTTGCTGATCGGTCACAGGGTCGTAGTCTGGCTGATTGGCATAGCGCACACGATGTGTTGGGTCTCGTGTCAGAATTTCAATATCTGATTCAGAATGATGATCGTGGTAGGTAAAGATGCCGGCGCATGCGCCTGGGGGCGGGCTTCCCTCATGGAACGGAACTGTTCGGTTGCCCATTGTAGTCCGGTTATTTAAAGGCGCGATGGCGTGTTTCAGTGGATCCCGCGGTGGCCATTCTCTCGGCTGTGGTGGCTGGGACACGATGAAGTTTGCCGGCAAGAAGCGCAGTCGGACACGAAGCGAACAACGGTAGATGTTATGGACGCGAGTTTCAATCTCTGCGGTGGATGTGTAGTTGTCATGGCGGGTGGTGCGCAGAACGAGGTAAGTTGCATGAGGATCTTCACGCTCATAATCCTTGGTGAGAAAGACGTTGTGTTTCGAGTTGACCATGTAAACTGGGGCTTTGGGGGAGCGCTGGCGTTCCCAGTCTTGACTGCTCCAATCTCGCTCGAAGGCGGTTTTGAAGAAGACCAGGGAGCTAGGGTCGGACTTCTTCTTGCCGTAAGGTGGAGCCGTGGTATAGGCTATGTTCTGCCCTTCCTCATCGCCTTCGTCATCATCATCCCAGTCCCTTTCACCATCTGAAAGAGAATCTGTGAGATTGAGATGGGCATGTTTGCTTAAATCGACTGTTCGAAAGTCCCAGAGTTTGTAGTGCTGGAAGTATCCAGGATCAGGACCAGAGACAGTGAAGCAGTCGCACCCTCGTGGACGTTCCTTGGAAGGCAACTGTGGTGGTGTTGTGGCAGTTGGTTGTATAGTAGACAAGGCAAGTGTCCCGAGACAAAGCACAGCCGCCAGTCTTAATATGATGATTTGCATGGTGAGCTGAACAATAAGATGCGGAAGATGTAGTAAAGTGAGAGGCTAAAGGATGGCCGGGGAAGTGCCCAGTGGTGAACGTGGTTTCCTAATTGGAATATCAGGCTGAGTAATTGTAAGCCGACAACTCTACCTGGGCAGGACTGGAGAGTCGGATGCAGTTGAATAATCTACAGACAATTATCTGCCAGTTTTATCGTCCATGTGCCCATCTGCTTGGCTCTGCTCAGTATTTCTAATCATACTGGGCGCTCAGTTACCGGGACTTCCTCAAACAGATCCTGCTTCAAGACCTCCAGCACTTGCTTTTCGTCGACATCTTGCAAATTCACAGCGGAGCCAGGTAAGGTTACATTTCCAGCTACATCATCCTCGTCGCTTGCGGTGGACTGGCCGATCTCTTCTGGTCCCGCAGTTCGGAGATACTCTTCTTCCAAAATGAATGGAGACATATCTTGTCCTGCAAGTGTCTTTGGAGAGTCCGGGAGGGCGTATATCGTAGGAAACTCGAGAACCGTTCGACCACGGAGGACTTCATTCAAAGTTGAGGATGGCGATACTGGAGCTAGAACTGGCTTTTTGGTGGTGGTTCGTGGACGGTGGAGATAGAAGTAGAGTTCGCGGTGAGTAGTGCTATGTTTAAGTGGCTGCTCTATCACGTCGGTAGTTGTGTCTGCGGGTGTCTCTGTTGATCTAGGAACCGAAGCTTGGTGTAATTTCGTATCTTCCGGTTCGACAGCTGCCGTGGCGGATTCACTGCGTGTGTCGGTAACTCCGCTTTCCTTGGTATTATTCGGAGAATTCAAGTTCATTTGTCCTTCGCTCTTTTCCTTGACTGATTCGGAAGTACCTTGGTCCTTCGAACGTGGAATGGAACGGTCATAAGCCTCGGAGATAGAACATGTATCGACAATGGCATTCCGAACGGTCTTCACTCCATCACCTGCAATCCACTCCACGGTCCACGCAAGACATTTATGTCTTAGCACTTCAGTCAGCACACCATCCACCAAAATATCAAGACAAACTCCAACTTACTTAGGATGTAACCGCGACCCATTTTGCTTACTGCGCGACATTCCCCTCGGAGCCCGGATGACATTGACACCTCCAGCCTCGGCAGCGCGCAAGAAACCAGCTTCTCCTTTGACAAGGCCCTGACGCGGGTGTTTCCTCTTACGTCCATCGTTCAGACCATGAGAGCCATCGCCGGAATCATCGCCCTGGATACCACGCGAAAGATCGATACCGCGAATATCGGCATCTCTATCCGCTCGCTCGAGATTGCGCTCAATGCCCGTGATAAAATTGAAGTCGCGGTCGAACGCAGATTCTGTGGCTAACTCGCTGCGCTTCAGATAGGCAGCTGGATCACGTACACCGGAACATTGCGACCAGAGTTTGTGACGTCGTGTACAGGGAAGAGAGCAGGTGCGCGTTGAGCAGCGAGGGCATCGGTATTTTGGGGGGTTAACATGGCTGTAGGAGGTTCGGAGGTTAGATTTGAGCTTGACGTATGTAGTATATAAGCCAAGACATACCATATTGAGCACAGTTCACTCAACAAAGCGTCAGAGTCGGCCATGATGGGTTGTGAAGAAGAAGTTGTCGAGTTGGGAACATTTGGGAAATTTGCTGTCTTATCGATAACGGCCTGAGGCGGAAAGTTCGTTATCGATAGATGTCGGGGCCCGATATACGCACAGGCCTCCGCTAACTAAACACTGATCGCTCGCTAACTACGGAGTAGTAGACCCTTAAGCCTGCTTTCGAGCAAGCCATTTTAGATCCTAATTAGGGAGGTGACCGCCCCCCCCCCAGGCTTCACGCGGCTTCCCAATCTTAACAGGAGAATACAAGGAACGCTATAGGAAAGTTGTGCCATTGAGCTTGTAGATTATTCCAAACATACTATTTAAGCCTCCCCTCTAACCATTGTGTCAACGACATAGCAAATAGGCATGTATTGTCTATATCGCCGAGTCTCGCGTCGACCTTGAAGGTCCACATACCGCTCCTCAAAAACATTAGAAGAAACTGGAAATCTACTAGGATGTCACTGCTGGCGCTGCTAGGCAAGTAGTCGACCTGAACTCTACGGGCGTCGCGAATGCTGAGGTGGGCTAGAGCATTGAAGGGCGTAGTCTTTAGCGGAAATGTAACGGAACGTTCGTCGTCGTGACTACCATCCGCGTAGACAACAGAGCCGCTCACTTTGAGGGTCGCATTGACGAGGCCCTCGTCGGGAATTGCTAGCTCCTTTTTTTTAGATCCAGGAAGATAACCGCTTAGGAGGACGAAGAGGACACGGTCGCTTCATCAGGATGTCAAAACGTTATCATCAAGCTGCACTCCAAGGAGAGGGAGGATGTTACGCGAAAATAGGCGTCGGGGCAATCTCGAGAAACTCGATGCTGTATAGCTGGTCTTCTTTGGTCACGATGTCGTATATAGCATCATTGTGGCCGGGGACCTATCTTGTTGGACCATAACGTCCTCGCGGACGAGCAATTCTTGCTATGTGGGGTTAGTCTTGCTAAGAATAGCGAGTGCAACGGTGCAAAGAGACAGGAATTGCGGGAGAATCAATTTCATCACGTGGCAGCAGTGTGGTAGATTTTGAGACAACTTCTGGTGAGCGAGCAATAAGGGACGAGAGGAGTGCTAGCTTTATGTCAAATAACTACTGCCCGATACTAGTAGCCGCCCTAAACTAGCGCCCAACCACAGGCCACAGCGCTACAAACGCTCCAGGCTCCGGATCGCCCGCACGGCCTTAATTTCACGTTCCCAGCCGACGTCGGCCTCGGTTAAAGAGCAATAAATACTCCGTACTATCGAAAAGTCCCTCCTCTCATTTAGTTTAGTCACTTTTTATGTCCATAAATATTGTCATTCGGTTCCCGCAGATGTTCAGAATGCCAGACCTTTCGCCGCTTTCACTTGTGACCTCTAGACCGCGCCAAAAACCGCAATTGGGGGCGGCAGAAAAATAGATCCATCATTATTCTATCATTGTAGTGAAACTGACCCTTAATTAACGATTATTCATCTGGATTGTCCCATTTATGCTGTGATTTCGTCTGCGGGGATACACCAGTCCCATTCTCTGCAGATGATATCATCCGCTGAGGTGATTATCAATCCCCACTGCATTTCTAAGCTTCGGCGATAGTAATCTGCTTTATATAGCTCCCCTCAATTCTGCTTTCATTGCACTCGCCTAAAAGACTTCATTCCCATATCAATCATGACTTCAAAGTTTCTCGCAATTATCGCCGGCGTTGGCCCTGGCACAGTACGGTCTACTTATACATACACCCCCGCTATATAAGAAATACGGCACTAACAAAACGTATAGGGCGCCTCGATCGCCAGAAAGTTTGGTAAGGCATACTCTGTCGTCGTTCTGGCTCGAAACCCAGACAATTTCGACCCAGTCGTTCAGGAGATCAATGCCAGTGGCGGCCAAGCCTTCGGCATTAGCACTGACGTCTCCGACTCAAAGAGCGTGAATGCGGCCTTTGATAAGATCGCATCTCAATACCCATCATCTAAGGTTGTCGCCGCGGTGTTTAATACTGGCGGCGGCTTCGTCCGAAAGCCGTTCCTTGAACTTACCGAGCAGGATTACTCAAGCGCACTTGCATCTCAAGCGAACGTTTCTTTCACATATTTTGCTCTCGATGATAACAATTCAAAAACATGTGGAGTTTGAGTTTCGGCACTAATGCGTATAATAGACAAGGTGCTTTTAACTTCGCTCAACGCTCTCTCCCGCTCCTCTTAGATTCTCGTGAATCCTCCGAGTATCCTCCAACTCTGATCTTCACCGGAGCTACAGCGAGCCTTAGGGGTTCGGCTAACTGTGCTGGTTTTGCCTCGGCCAAGTTTGCACTGCGCGCGTTAGCACAGTCGCTTGCTCGTGAGTTTGGACCGCAGGGTGTGCATGTCTCGCATACCATCATCGACGGTGTCATTGACATACCACGGACTAAGGCATGGGTCAATGAACACGTGGATGGGAAATTGAGTCCCGATGCTGTAAGTGTTATTTCTTTTGGTATATCGATTTGGTCACTGACTTGCTTTAGATTGCGGACTCGTATTGGTATCTGCACACTCAGCCACGAACGACGTTTGCATTTGAACTCGACCTACGTCCATATGTTGAGAAGTGGTAAACATTTGATTAAGTTCCGGGATGTCTTTGAATCAAGTTTACGGACCCTGAAAGAGTCGATTCACTTTGATTTCTAAGCATCGATGCAAAGAAAGAGCCAGGTTACTTCCATGGACAAGCCTAGCAGTCATCAGCTTTCTTAGTGATCAACATCTAGAGATGAATCTATGATGTTGGTAGTCTTTATTTTAATTTAGTTATTATGTTGTCTCATTGTGGCTGGGAATTTCCAACCTCCTAATATGTTGCGTATTTGATTTCCCATTATGCAGATTTGGCACCAATATGATATAACTACCGAGCCAATTTCTGCAGCAAAGCAAGCAGCATAGGTATAGTTTATGGTATTTGCATGGGAGGAATTGTAGAGTGCCAATTTTCAATTTCTTGCCAGAGTGGCTGCATGGCAACATGACGGCTGTGTGTGGCGGAGCTAAAGCTTTCACTGTTTGAATAGATGTGTTTGGGTCAATGCTAAGCACAGGATTGTCCCTTCAACGCCACAATTTGTCATGCACCTATACACGTCAGGTTCAGCGTACCTACTTCCCAGTCTCCTTAAAGTCTTTATTCTCTACTCCTAGGGAATTTGGCCAACTAATATTGCGCCACATAGTTTTGAGTACGGTGTGTATATGCAGTGTTATGGAAGAGTTAAAGACAGTAAAAAACGATAACTTGATATCTAAAACTAGAGCTCCAGAATTTGCTGCACAGTCTCCTCGACAGCTTTAATCACTCGATCTTTTGACTGGCATGAATCCAACACTATAACGTCATTCTCCAGGCGGGTGGGAGGCTCTTGGACAGCAAGCTGTGATTCAACCATTTTCGAGTGCATATAATGATTCTCCGCCGCAGAACGGGCGTTCAGCCGATCTTTCAACTGAACTTCATCACTGATAGAGAGGGCAAGGAAGGTGATTGTGACGGGAAAGTCGAGGAGCTGAGTTAGCTTCCGCAGCTCGTCGCGGTGTACTGTTCGCAACGCGGAACAGGTGACGGCAATGGCAGGAGCAGTTGAGTTTTGCAATCTACCCATCAGCGCACCACGGATATGAGCAATCCAATCCCAACGATCACTATCCTCTAAAGGGATGTTATTAGCCATCTTCTGTCGCGATAGATGCGAGTGCAAGTCGTCGCCCTCGATGATAGGGATATCAAATCGCTGTACTAGAGCTTGGGCGGCTGTGCTCTTGCCACATCCACAGGGGCCAGTCAAAAAGATCACTTCCCGGTACCGTGCTGAGAGACTTGAAACACTTGTGTCTGTCCAGCATTGAGTGCGGAAGTACTTGATAAAGCGTGTCACCAATTCGGCTCTCAGACCTCCTGCTTGGCGCAGTGCAGGAGCCGCGGCTTGCGCCTGCTGGGTACTGTAGAGAAGAACTTGACTAGGACGGTCATGGTCATACTTGCTGGCAAAGAACTCGACAAGCTTGATAGGTGGGTTTTCTTTGGGGTTGCGGTTCGAATTGCGCAGACGGTTCAGCCACTCGCGAGGTTTCAACTCTTCAAACTCCAATCCCGACTGTCTCAGAAGTGGTAGCAAGTCTCGAGTCCAGTGACTAAGAGTTGGGTTCGTGACATTGACCACCTCTCCTGCAGTTTGAGCCAGGGTGAGATCAATAACGCTGTTGGCAATGATATCTACCGGTGTCCACGAGATGAGATCTTCTAGTTGGGGCAGTGCGTGGATTGTCTCTGCTGTCTGGAGTATCATAGGAATGGCCTCGGTGGCATTCCAGATGCCATGAACGGTATCTGCAATAATCTGCCCTACTCTTAGTACACGTGCTGTCATTCCTGTCTGGTGGGCAGCTCGATTGATTATATGCTCCGTTACTAGCTTGGACTGCGCATATCCCATTTTTTGCGCATAACTGAGTGATTCGGGAAGGGCCTCTGGGACCCAATTGCCGGGTGTCCGTGCAACTGTGCTAACTGAGGAGCAGAAAGAGAACTTGGCAGGGGAGGGCCGTCGTGCCTGCAAACAGAAATCCAACAAGTGTCGAGTTCCAGCAATGCAGCTTCCTTCGAAGCTCTCCAAGGACCAGTTGAAATTAACCGACCAAGCGCAATGCATGACACCTGTAACTGATTCAACTAGCATGTTGTAAGAGAATTCATCCATTCCCAGATGGTTGGAGTTACCCAAGTCAGCCGGCAACGCGACGATCTTCCGTTCATGAACTGGGGCAAGGGTATATGACAAGCCTCGTGCCCGCAAAGACTGTTGAACACGACGACGGGCAGAATCACGAGATTTTGCACGAACGAGACAGTAGACTGTTTTGACAAGATCGGACTGAGCCAATTGAACCACGACATGAGCACCCAAGGAACCTGTCGCACCAGTCACGATGATGTGTTCGCCGTCATCCTCGCGGGCAACTGGGATATGGGCTTCAAAGTTTGCGCTATACTTCTCAATGAGGGCTGACATCCGTTCTTCAACGGGTATTTCGCCCTTCGGAACCTGACCTAGGCGCATGCGAGTCAAAGCCTCGGCCATAGCTTTCAACGAGGGATTCTCGAAAACAAAATTTTGGGATGGTTTCTGACCACCAAGATAGAGGGTTTTCAGTATAATTGTTCGCAGTCGAGTAGACTGTAAACTGTCAATTCCCAAACTGAAAATATCGGTCGTCTCTTCCAATGCGGCTGGTTCGAGGGATGGTGCTACTTGGAGAAGATGTTCGCGTAGGAAATTGATCAGCGCGGCACCTTCGCAAACCTGGTCTCCGCTGGCATCCTCAAGATCATATATCTGCTCAATCTGTGACTGGTAGTCACGGTAGAACGCTGAGCGAATAACAGTTCCCTTGTCAGTCTTGCGATAGACAGCATCTGCGGGCAGGACGTGGATCATGTCACGGGACATGTAGGCATATCCAGGAGATTCCGCGTTGCATTTCTCAATAGCTGGGAAGATCAGATCTACCAGATCTTGCTCCTGTTGGACAACACCGTTGGCTGCTGGAACAATAAACATGCCAAGCCGTGGCTTGTTGGCTCCGAAAGCAATCGCTTCAGCCACGTTAGGGTTATTTCGGGCGACGCCTTCGATAATCAGCGGGTTGGCTTTCTCGCCGTTTTCCAAAACCAAAGTATCGTCCAGACGTGCGTAGTAGCGCCAGGCATTTGGTGTGGTTGGGTGCTTCTCAAAAAGGTCTTTGGTTGCGTATGAATTGTCAGGGCGGTTGCTGGCGACTTTGGATGGCCAGCCTTCTAAGACACACAGCTCGTAAATTCCAGCTGACTGCTCTTCCCAGCGGAGATATGGTAGCAAAGATGGACCTGGGCGCACATAGTCCCAGTCCAAGTCCGAGCGGTCTCGGAAAGAAGTCATTAGTTGACCTGTTTCGGTGGTTCCGTAGTGAGAAACCAGGCGGACTCCGTTCTGCACCAAGGTGTCACCGATAGGCTTTGGACAGGAAGAACCACCAAACATGACAAGTTCCAGACGTGAAAGAACCCTCAAGCCGTCTTCCGACTCCGAAAGGAGCTTCAAGGCGTATGGAACCGCATAAAGCACCTCGATCTCTTGGTGCTCTTGTAGAGTGGCCATGAGATGCGATGCTGTCAAAGGCAGGTTTGCATTGTACATATAAATTAGCTTTTGCGAGTGAACCGCACGGAAGAGGCAGCTAATTCCATGGGCGTGAAATAGTGGCAGTGTGATAAATCCTCGAAGTCCGAAGTTGTTTGCATAATTTCGTAGAGCACCGGAGTGGGTTTGATAGATAGGCTTTGGGTGGCCCGTTGAGCCGCTTGAGTGAATAATCTAAGTAAAGGCATCAGCGAAATGAAAACCATCAAGGAAACAAACTACTAACCCAACAAATGTTACCAGCCTCTTTGGTACCATCCAGGTGAGCTGATGGTAGCCTGGCTGCACTCGCAACGGAACTGTCATAATGTTCAGGAGATAAAGCAGCATGCAGCGCAATGTTTGTTCTCTCGGCGACCTTTTCACCCATCGTATGGAACTTATGGTGGACTATCAGAAATGAGGCAGAAGTATTTTCTACCAAACTGACGTAGGCATCTTCTGCAATCCGTGTAGATAGTAACAACACGGTGTGGCCCAAGCGGGAGATAGCCAAAAGAGTGATCGTGTACTCAAAGTCAGATGCACCGAGCAAACCTACCACCTTGACGGGGTCTTCTGAAGAGCGGCGTTGTGGAATCACTTTGGACAGGGTGACAGATGCCGCCTCCACAAAATTGTCCAACTGCGTAATTGAACATTAGCCACGGCATTCGGTAGTATTCAAGCACGAATTTGCTCTGCTGGGCTTTGTTGGAGGCAAAACTTACTTGGCGGGGTGTATAGTAGTCATAGTCAGTTCCCGATGATGGATATGCAACAATGGGCTCATTGGCCAAATGCCCATTAGATCGTGCTCGCAAGAGTCCGTCGATGGTTTTAAAATCATGCTCGGTGGAATTTTGTACGATGGTTGCTGGGGAGGCTGAGCTCGCTGGGGAGGCTGAGCTCGCTGGCTCGGCTGATGAAAAGAGAGGTTGCGATGCCGGCGGTTGTACTGTAATTACTGCCATGGTGGTCGGATTGATTTAATTTGACAGTAATGCATCAAAGGGAAAAACAGTGAGGTTTTGAGGTTATGGTTGCTCCAGGCATTAATCAAACTTCCAGAGTTGCATCACTGTTATTTCCGAATTATAGAGAAACATGGGGTTCCGTTCCGCTGCGGAGGTGTCGGAAATGTCGGAAATACAAACAACTAAATATTGGATACCGCCATGCGGGAGGTAAGATGTAGCTCAAATAAACCCCAGGTATGAATGATGGAACTGAAGCGATTCTAGAGTTACCAATGTAGATATATTTCATACCGATGAATCCGGCGCAATGGGCTCGGCATTTGCGTGTATGGATGTACGTCGGAGAAGCATCTAACACCCCATTTCGATGTGTGTTCATGAACGAGTTGCACTCTAAACTAAAGGACGAGTTTAGCTAGATATCCTGGAGACTCACTAAAGGCGGTGGAAGACCATGAGTCTACCATGGAGCCCTACGCGGCCTCCAGGACAATGCACCCATACAGCAAATACCACTGCCCAAGTATAGAGTATCTTGTAGCCACCCAGGGGATATTTCCAACGGGACCTCATATATATTAGACTGTAGTAAGTAGTGCTACTAAACCATCCTCTGGGTTTGGTACTGCAGATGGCCAAGAAGAAGGCGGAAAGAAGATGGAGCTGATATCAAAACTCGATCTGTATCTCATAGCATACAGGTGGAAGTTACTCGGGACTACTTTTCTTACCTAGCATGAAATCCCATTTGTCTTTTTAACGGCTAGCTGATGCCTAGATGTACAGGACGCAGTTGGAATTGAATGGCACTTCTTTGTTCTTATTTTGTCTAAGCTTGTTTTATATACATGAAATAGCCATGGAATTCTTCAAGAAGTCCTATACAACAAACTTGGTTTTGTTTGCCGGGCCCGCCTCCAAGGCAGCTTTGCGAACAGCCTCTTCACCCACTTCCTCGAAAATGTCATAACCCCAAATGGTAGGGAAGTTGAAGCGTTTGTGTCTCTCCAACGAGGTGAGCTTTGCAAAAGCGGCCTCGGGTAATTCCCGGACCTGTAGATTGGACGCAATACGCGAGGGAGTGACACTCTTTGACAAGACCACAGTTCCACGCTGGACACCCCAGCTGGCAAGAAGAGCACCTGAGTCCAGACCAACATCACGTGAGGCATCGTGAACAAGAGGATCATCAACTGTTCGGGGCTCCCCGGTCTGGTTGTTACCCAAGGGCGAGTAGGCTTCAACGATGATTCCCTTGCTCTGACAAAACTGCAGTAGCTCTGTCTGTTGGAGGTATGGATGGGCTTCAATTTGGTTGGCTGCGGGAACCACGCTGACTTGACCCAACAGCTCCTCCAGGCGACGGATATTGAAGTTCGAAACTCCGATAGCCCGTACCTTGCCGGTTGCCAGCAACTTTTCCATTGCCTTATAAGTGGTGATGTAGTCAACATCTGCCAGCTCAAATACACCATCTTTGTCAAGAGGGAACCATTTATCTCCTCCCTTGAAAGCGCTACATTTCACTCGGTTAGCCCTTATTTGATGATGGGTTCTTCAGAGAACTAAAGAATGGTGAGAAGATGGAGTGATTACCAAGGCCAGTGCATAAGATATAGGTCAAGATAATCAAGGTCCAGGTCTTTCAAGGACTTGTCCAAAGCGGCTTCGACGTCACCGGGGGCATGCTTCGTGTTCCACAACTTGCCAGTGACGAAGATCTCGCCACGGGCCACCCCTGACTTGCGAATTCCGTTTCCGACCTCTGTTTCGTTGCGATAGATAGCGGCACAGTCAATGTGGCGATATCCTTGCTTAAGGGCGACTTCAACTGCTTTCTCTACCTCCATAGGCTTGGCTTGCCATGTTCCAAATCCCACGGCCGGGATTTTGGCGCCAGTGTTCAGAGTGAAGTGAGTGGCGATAGGCATAGTTGCTGTGGGCCCAATGGAATGAATGATGTTGAAAGAAAAACAAAATGGAACTGTCCAACAACTGAAATAAGTAGCTTGGTATCCCAGGGTCAACAATACGTCGGAGGCGGAGGAGTGGATCTAGGTTCGGATAAGGCGGAAAATCGAATATAGGCGACAAAAGTATTAGCAAAATAAACTCCTTGGTCTCGTTCAAGCAATCCGCTTAGCAATTTGGTACAAGCCGTCAGAAATTGCTCTCCGTGTGGCAATCGTTTATTGCGGGAATACAGTTGCCAACGGCTTTGGTGGATTACTAGCCGCTGGCATCATGACCGGCTTCGAGGGCAAGGGAGTCTTGCATGATGGAGGTTCGTGATCTACTATAACATCTCCATGGACATGCAACTGAAGAGATCAGATGGCTCTTTATCATCGAAGGCGCCGGAGCCATGGTGGCTGGCCCAGTCGCAGTGGCCTTGTTGCTCGACTTTCCTTCATCGGGCAAGCAAAAGTGACTAACCGAACAGGAGCAGCGCTTTGCCAAATGGCGCCTGGCTCGCGCGGCAGACGATGAAGTTGACGATAATGGCTCTATCAAAGAAGCGCTGCGTGACGCTTTCCTTGACCCCAAAGCCTGGATTCTCGTTCTTATTCAAGTTTGCCAGCTTTCCTCCCAAACACGGACCTACTTCTTCCCTGTATGCGCCTCCACTCACCCCATATTCTTTCATGTCTAATGAGTACAGACAATTGCCAAAAAGCTGGGCTACGGCAACAAGATTACGTTGCTGATTATCGCCCCAATGTATATTTTTAGTTTCATCACTGCCCTGGGGAACTTCTTGATTGCAAGCCGTACTGACCAAAGATTCATTCTGATTGCCTGGCCTCTTTGTGTGGACATTGTCGGTAACATAATGGTTATCTCGTCCCGGGTAACTGCTGTGCAGTACACCGGTATGTTCATCATGTGCGCAAGATCTTATTCGGCATTCAGTGTAGTGCAGGAGGTGGATTACCAGCACAAGTCCTCGCACACGAACGAAGCGAGCCATCGTATACGCCTTGGTAAATCTGTTCGGCAACTCGATCAACGTTTATGGCTCCTACTTCTTCCCCACGAAGGATTCACCCCAATATCGCCCAGGAGGCATCATTTTATCCTCATTTGCTGCGGGAGCCATCGTGTAGTCCTTTGCCTTCGTAGCTTATCTCCATTGGATGAATGTAAATGCAAGAAAAGCGGAGGAACAAGATGGCCAGACACGCTACAAGTATATTTGGTAGAAATGATTATAGGGGTATCAAGAATAGATGATAGAATGATTCCGCACGCTTGTCATACTTTGGCATCTTCGTCCATATAGCGCACCATGGTATCTGAATGTCGAAGAGTTCGAACGTGTAATTTGGGCTGAAATGGCTGGTCGTCAATAAATGACCACCTCTTACCCAAGATAAGCTGGAGCGGTCAGAAAATTCAGCTACAGCGAAGAGATGAAAAACTCACAGATAGGCAGGCTGTCAAACTGTGGCCAGAAATCAAGAACCAAGTCCTCATCGGTCGCAAGATTGTCCAATAAGATTTCGGTTTGCGGATCAAGTAGGAAAAGCTGAGCATCATTGTCAAGACCAGATACGCCACCTGCTCCGTCGTCCTCCTGCGTTGATAATATTTCTTGCATAGCTGATCCATTCTGCTCAGCTTGCGCAAAAGCAATCATATCACGTTGATGTGCAGTAGAAGGAGAAATATCACGGTCAGCAGTAGCGCCATGTTGGCTGCTGTGATTGTCAGGATAGATGTCAGTATGACTCGGGGCGGACGGGTATGACTTTGTCAATTCTCGCCGCAGACCCTGTAGTATAATGCTATATCTCCACGGTGGCGCATTACGAACAGTGGCATCGGCAAGGTGGGCCTGTGCGGTCTCCGATAATCTGTAGAGCGTGGATTCGTCCAATGGGGAGTCAAAGGGGACATCCTGGCTTGAGACAAAGCGGAGATTGACTGGCGAAATTCGGCCTCTTTGGACTTGGATCAGGTAAAGGTAGATTATCGACAACGCATTGAAGGCGATATATTGAGAGTACCAGAAAGACTGGAAAAGTTGCTTCTCCTGGACAAAAGTGAGAATCAACTCAATTGCGTCTCGTGCTGCCGTCAAGCACAAGCTGAGGTAGTATTGGCAACTTGCTTCGCATTCAGGCCAGGTCTGACCATAGTTCCGGAGTAGTAGAGGCCGAGTAATGAATAGCAATGCGTGGTACCGCGCTAGCTGCAAAACTGTGAGTTGGCGTCTCAATCCAGGGACTAAGCTATCTGGCTGAATAATGCCTGATAGAAACGCCGGTAACTCGGCCTGCCACTCGGCGACTCTCCCACAAAAGAGTCGAATAATATCAATTTGTGCTTTAGTAGAGACACCTGTGACTACATACGGTTCTTTGGCGGCCTGCGTAAGGATGCGAGCCAGCATGGTATGAAACACAGGGGCATCCATCAGACAATCCCGCTTAGACATTCTTTTTTCGTGCCGGCTTAGGTCTTGATCGTTGATTCGATCAGGGAGATCTTCGTCCAGGTCCTCATCTTGCCAAAGACGGGGCCGGCCCAAAATAACACTGAGGTATTTGTCCAATGTATATGAGCACCAGAGGACGCGACGTTGACATTCCTTCTGTATCAAATCCTCCTCATCAGTTCCCAGCCGTGGCCGCTTACTATGATATCCCAAGGCCATCATCAGCTGAACTGTCGTACCAAATGTAAACCACGCTTTGTGAGCCCGCGACGAGCTTAGAAGATAGAGGACCATCAGAAAGCGCGCTTGTACCGAGGCCAGACTTGGTGCGCCCGTTTCATGTGACAGAAGAGCATCTGCCTGTGTGTAATACGTCTCACTTGTTTGCCAACCAGACGTGTCAGCATCTGTGATATGCCCTTCCGAGTCTGGCTGAAACATTGTCGCAATACTGAATATCAGGAGCAGAGTCGCCCGAGTTGCAGTGGGGAGCGAGGTTTCTCTTGCAACGTTACCGCCTCGAAATAGGTCATGAACCAGTAGTTCGACTGTTGGCTGATGAAGAACTCGATAGGTCGGGGATGCGAAGTCAAAATATCGTCGGACCAAGATGTCCGCGGTTCTCCGACCAGGCCATTCAAATTCGGCTAAGCCATTGGGAGTGACCCGGTCCCCAAAAGAGAAGATCGAGACACTGGATGACGTGCCTCGCTCCCGTTGCTGGGCCAATGTTTTTGATGGTGTTGAGGGCAGGTCTTGAACCACGCGGCCAAGAAACGAATGCGCCGAGGTTGGCCCCCAATATTGAGGAGCGATATTTGACGATTCTGATTCATTTGGCGGGTCGGCAGGGGTCCCTGATGCAGTGCGCGCGAAGGCAGGGGCTGGAGATATGTGAGCGCTTGGTGGTTGAACCCAACTCTCCGAAGGGGACTCTATTGCATAGTGCTGATATCGAGATCTGCCAATGGTCTGGGGTTGGTTGATATCTGCATTGGAGCTTGCCGAGCTTGGCCTCTTTATTTGATGGCCGGAGGAAAGTGGGCTCACGGCAACGCCTCTGTTGTAAGCCGCATTGTAGGTGCATGGCATCCGCCGCTGCGCGCAAGGGCCACAGGGGAGCGTGCCTGTACACGCCTTTTTCTTCGCTTTGCAAGCATCGCAAGCGCGTGTCACTTTGCGCACTTTACGTGCATCGCTGGCCATTTCCGACTAGCGCAAGTGGAGCGGGCGATTAGATGTAGCCATAGCTAACCCTCTCGAAAACGGTTTGATGTTGTTCAGCTTGTCCGGAGACTTTTCCGCTTTTCCGCTTTTTCCGGACCACGTGTACAGTAGTCAACAAAGTAGTAATCCCATCATTGCGCGAACTTGTACTGCTTGAATCAAAGGACTTGTATATACCGTGACTCTATCAATTTTAATCTTCATTTTGTTGGGGAATCTATTGGGTGCATAGTATCTTCCATTGGAACAATAAAGTTTTAAACGTTTCCATTAACGGGTTACAAATCCGGCCCCTAGAGGGAGTTTCACGATCTTGGTATCAAAGGAATGGTTTCAAACTTGCCTCTACAGCATACGGCAACCCCCTTGACGCGAAAAGCTCCCGGACAACCCGCTCAGATCCCATACCTTTGCATGCGGATGCGATAGCAGAGGCTTTCAAAGCAAGCGCCCTGTAAGGGCCTTTGCGCTTAGTACTGCAGGGATATATCAGTACTTACAGACAAGTGATACCATCTATGATACTAAATAGGATAGACTATCCGTTTGTTTGTGGACGAGGTGATTCGGGCTGGTCCGAACTTTGAAATTCAGAAGGCACCTAAAACTCTCAGCCTTTCTCTCTCGACCCTTCTGGTACTCCCTAGTAACGGCTCAGCCATCATGGAATTTCCGGCATCTCACATCCAACCTCCCCTAGCCCCTCACACCCATACGGTCATTCTCCTGCATGGTTCGCGCTAGCAATGGTGAAGAATTCGCCGAAGAACTCTTCTCAACAACCTCGAACGGCAAAAACCTACCCGCATGCCTACCCAACTATCGCTGGGTCTTTCCAACTTCATGCGACCGATACAGTACTACATTCCAAGAGGACATTTGCTCTTGGTTTGACGCCTACTCCTTAGGCGATATCAACGAGAGACAGGGGTTACAGAAAGAAGGATTGACACAGTCAGTTTTCCACATTCTTAATGCCATATAAGAGGAAGCGAATCTACTTAAGCGGCGACTTTCTCATGTCTACCTCGGTGGGGTCAGCCAGGGAATGGCAACCGCTTTGTTGACTTTCTTTGCGGCAGTCGGTACAGGAAGGATACAACGTCCACTGGGTGGCCTGCTAGCTCTTTGTGGTTGGCTACCATTTGCACAAGATATCGAAGGGATGCTATGCGAGCCAATCTTCGACAGGCCCTGCACTCCTCAGGCACTGCGCCTTGTGTCTAGATTCTTCTTTGACGAAATCTCCGCCCAAGGGTTATCACAGGCCGATCAAACGGTTGACAGCTCTGTTCTTTCCACTCCGGTCTTTTTAAGTCATGGAACGGACGATGCCTGGGTATCAGTCGATCTTGGACGACAGACATCTCGGATTATACGGCGGGTTATGACGCACGTTGATTGTCACCAGTTCACTGGAGCGGAGAATGATGGACACTGGATCAAAGAACCTGAAGGTTTTGACCAGATTCTGCAATTCCTTCAAAAATGATTTGTCTCCACACGAGAAGAGACTAAATTGTTCGATGGTTAATGCAGGGGTGGTACGCAAATAGCTACACGCAGGCCTTGGTGAAGGTTTACGTTCATTTATTGTTCGATGAGGCAACATGTTATCTAGTCATCAAATGGCAAGTTTAACTTTCAATCACAGAGGGTGCTAGAGGAATCCACAGGGACATGGGGTCAGGATCTTTATACCTTATTTTTAGCTAAAGGGAAATTCTTAAAGGAACCACGTTTGTACTATTCGGACCACCTCTTACCAAACCGTCTTAGGGATGCCGTAATATTTCTTGGGTATCACTAAAAGGACCCCCATGTTGAGCGTTCGGACGCTACCTACGTTCACTAAACCCTATTAGGTCTCAGCAGTAATTGTATTCCCAATGCATTATCGCTTAACCATACTTCTGGTTCGCGTGCTGTGGGAGTTCTATATATGCGGCTTTTTCTTTGGCACCTATATTGCGTTGCGATTTTGATTTATACCCCTTGGTACATATCTGTCAGAGCCAAGGTAGTGGTGAGACTGGAGCAAACCTCGTGGAACTTTCTTTGGTAATGTAAACAAAAATCGTGAGATGTCTCGCTGCTCGTTTTCCTGTATAACAGTTTGCTATTATTTTCCGAAAAAATTGATTTCCTTCATCACAATTGCATTCTCTCGTCTCTTGATTATATAATATCTGTATTTGGATTTGTTTTAGATATGGATAGTGACTCGAAGCCGAGAAAAACGTGCTCAGAATTTGCGTGCGAGGTTTGACAGCCGGAGTACCTATACCAAGTTGCCCGCGGACCACTACCGAGTTACTTTGACTCCGACATCAAAAAAGTCCCAGCACAACGGAGATCTTCAATCGGAGAGCTCAGGGAGAAGGCTTCCTTAAAGGTCACCCAGAACTTCAGAATCGTGCGCACTCAGTCTGTAACCCTTAACAGGAACACGTATATTGTGACCCTTTTGTGAAGCAACTCTGTACGCACCCTATGTGAATAAGGACTACCTATACTACGAAGGGGCTGTCTGATGAGGATGATGTGAGCGAGGAAGCAGCAATTGCTGCCGTATCGGCCATCTCAATTGGTAGAACAATACACCCACCATATCTCAAGATTCCCAGATATAGGCAGGAATCGACATGGCCATAAGGATGAACAAGTAATATACCCCCTGATAAAAGGGAGGAGAAATACATGGCTAACCTTACATCTGTAGGGCTGTAAAAGCTGGAGAGCGCTTTCCCCATAAGTAACCTCAGACATACGACAATCTAAAGTCCACTGAGACTCATAAGGAGGAGACTGCGCAGAGAAAAAGGGAGGCAAAAAAGTATTGAAAGAAGACGAAAGGCTTACTGGTACTTTCAATGCTTGGGCTGCACAGATAGACAAGCGGGGGATTCGGCGCTAAATGGCTCAACATACAGGAATAATCCATGTTACTTCCTTCTGTTCCCTATCTGTGTGCTTTGGGCTTTTCCTCTATACGAGAACCAAAGTGAGGGGGGAAGCTCGTGCGGGAGAGACATGACTCTCGAAAGTACGCAAGAGTATTTGAATGAACTCGTGTTTGATAGGCTCTTTTGTATGAAAGGGCTTCGGGTGCGTTTACAATTTACATGTTGGAAGAGAAAGGTCGATGACGATTTCCTCTGATTACAGCATGTTTTCATCATTTTTCTCTGTTTCGGTCTTTTGTTTTTGTTGTTTTACTTCTTGCAAAGGTGGTGGTCATTAGTTTCGTTTATTAGTAACTTATTAGGTTAGTCTGAATCTAGTTGCTTGTTAGAATATCTCAAAGACCTTGATCTACTATGCTCGAATGCAACCGTCTATCTGCCCGTAAAATCGGACAAGTTAGATACTCAACCTACTGCTGGTGTACTTAGTCTTTGGTAGTACTGTTGTAAACGATAAACTAGCTCCAAATGATCGCAGACTTCGTAAAGATACAGGAATCCATTTGGCGTTCGTGTGCAGGTAAGAAAATGGCTCGACCGGGTTCACCAACATAGGAAATACCCTAGCTTATGAATGTCAACTACTTGGATGTTTATGTTTTAGGCCCACTCACACGTTTGGGGTTTGATCTGATATATGTCGAAGCGTTTTAGCCGAACCAGTTAACCCGACAAACCTCATCGAAAGTTTACGGATGACGTCCCGGGACAAGAATAGCACGGAGGTGATAAAAGGTAAGTCGCTCGTGTGATCTCGTATTCGCAAGATAGAAAGAGTATAGCCCGAGGCAGGATATTGTCCCAGACTTATACCCGGTTATATTCATATGATGGAAGGTAGGAAAGACAAAGGATTATAAGAATTGACCTATAGTATAAGCTAAAATAAGCAAACTGCATACTCCGTACTGTCGAAGTCCGATATCGCGATGACACATTCCTGCCTGATCGGGGCCTTGGCGTGCGCTGACGCTAGTCCTGAATAGGCTTGGCGCTGTCATTGAAAGGGCGCGCTGCACGCTCCATCATTCTCGGACTTGCTGCTCTTCTCCGTCTGCTCATTGTTGGCCGGCAATGCCGAAGTTCATATGCGGATACGAATGTGCTTGGGGTTCCACATGATCATGCTCTAAAGCCACAAAATCTGCGTTCCCAGCGGCCCCCGAATCTTAGGTCAATCGTTGTGCTCCACTATTCCTCCCTTTCTACCCCAGACCCAAGGTGCGGTTTCGGGCAGTTTTCAGCAGACCGATTCTTCCACCTTCCATCCTCCATTTCCCTGCAATTTTTTAATTCCTGTTCGTCTCGGTGCAGGAGTTTGTTGAAATTGCACATTACAGCATGGAGTATTTCGATTTCGAGGGCGCGTCGTCAGCTCATGGCTCTAACCAGCAAGACGACGACGTCGCTTCAGTCGATATTGAGCTTGATGAAGCCGAGGAACAAGCAGCCAATTTCAACTCGCTGGCCCGAGATCAGCCATTAGAGTTCCCTGATCTGTATGTCGGACAAGCCATTGCCCCCGACGGGGTGTACCCCATGTTCCGCGCCCAGGAACCATGCGACTTCTGTCGCCGAATGGGACTGGACTGCTTTGTTGCCAAGCGTGGTGTGATGCAAAATGGCTGTACTTGCTGTATCTCCCTCTACCGCGAATGCAGTTTCACACATGCCAAAACGCCTGGCAAGTTCCTTCAGACCCTACACAGTGTGTCCGAAAACGCCTACGTCCCTACGGGCAGCCTCACAGGAAAGAAAGCTCTCAAATCCGTCTCATATGGTGCATATGCCGATGATCCTGATGCACGTTCTCGGAAAAATAGTCCTCGATTTTCTCGAAAGGCAATCAGTATCCTGAAGAGCTGGCTGCGAGATCACAACGAGAATCCCTATCCTACTGAACAGGAGAAAGATGATCTCAAACAAGACACTGGTTTGACCCGAACGCAGATTTCCAATTGGCTAGCAAACGCCAGACGACGCGGCAAAGTGCGTTCTTCGACCGATAACACTCCTGTTCCCGGCGCTGTGGATATTCCCAAGAAACAATCCGTCGACGTATCTCTCATGACACCTCTGGAGCGTTGGAAATACTCTCCTCCCGAGAACGAACCTGCTACGATCAGCGATATTAACCGTGCCTTGGCAAATCCCCCGTTTGATCCCTCGCGTCCACGCCGGGCCCCATCTGGTCACGTGAGGCCCCGTCGCCCTGGGTCCAGTACCAATGAGTCAAGCCATGCCAGCTCCGAACATAAACTGCGCACCGCCTCTGCCAGTAGTCTGGATACTAGTCGGTCATCTCTCTCTGATCTCTCTTTTGCTTCGGCATTCTCTCATCGATCCTCGCATTCATTCGGCTCAATGGATCGTAAAGAACGTCGCCGTCGCCGTAAGGCCTCGGTACCTGTCAACACATTGGCCCATTCCAAGGCTAAATCCGCTCGTCCATTTCAATGCACATTTTGCACTGACTCCTTCCCTGCCAAGTATGATTGGCAACGACACGAAAAGTCTATGCACCTTATCCTGGATAAATGGACATGCTCTCCTCACGGTGGAGTAGTTGAACAGAATGGTATACCTCTTTGCGTCTTCTGCTCGGCAGCTAACCCAGATGGAGAACACCTAGAAACTCATAACTTCATCAGCTGCCAGGAGAAGACTGTGCAAGAAAGGACATTCTATCGGAAGGATCATCTGAACCAACACCTTCGCTTGATGCACAATGCCAAGTTCCAATCGTGCATGGATAAATGGCAAAGTAGTATCACAGAGATCAAATCTCGCTGCGGCTTCTGTGGCTCTATTTTCCAGACCTGGAAAGATCGAGTCGATCATCTGGCGGGTCACTTCAAGAACGGTGCTGTGATGGCTCACTGGCAAGGGGACTGGGGCTTTGAGCCTTTAATTCAAGCTCGCGTGGAAAATGCAATCCCGCCATACATGATTGACTATGAATGGAGGAGTCCTGATCCATGGACCACACAGCAAGCCCAGGGCGACGGCACCTCACCTCAGCTCCCCGTCCCCAATGATGCCAACTGCTACGACCGTCTCTCGCAAGAACTTGCTGCGTACATTCATAACCAGAAGTCACAAGGTGTGGTTCCGTCCGACTCGATGATCCAAGAAGAAGCCCGTCGTGTCATTTATGGATGCGATGACCCTTGGAACCAAACCTGCGCAGACAACATTGTGTGGTTGAGTGTTCTCAAACGTGATTGCGGGCTGGAGACAGCTGTACAAAATGATACGATCCAATTCGACGACCTAGGCATGCAACCTCCATTTGCGATGCATGGCGGCCTGCGGGCCCCACCCCGGGAGATGAATGTCCTCGCGCGAACAGTATGTCGAGGTGGCCTATATAGCCCTGCAGTCTCTAGCCCGAGCCTCCGCAGCCCCGCCTTTCCCGGAACTGGTTTTTCATCCGCCGGGCCTAGCCGTGGGGGAAGTCTCTCGGGCAGCTACGCTGGTAGTGCAGGGATGATATCAGCCGGTGCGGATCCATCATTTGCCACGGATTGGGGCAGTAGTGTGCCAACCAGTCTTCCGACCAGCCTTCCAACCACTTCGTCTATGCCAAGAGAAGGGTCCTCTGATCCTTTGGTTCAAATGGGGTTCGACCCGGAGTTCCTCCAACAACTGAATGATAGCTATGGTAAAATCAACCCTGATGATCTTGAAGGCATGCATTTAGATGAGGATGATGGCCACAGAGCGGTTGGGGAACAGGGGTGGCCAAACTCAGATATGCTTGGCCAACCCACTTCAGATCCGGTTGGTATCTTCAATCCCAAAGAGGGCCACGCCCCTGCTTCAGATGCATCCAAGCCTGACCTCTCTGGGTTTCTCAATCGACAAGGCCACTTTTGATATCTATGATGGCAAATATTTTGATCCGTGCAGAGTTGTGCATGGCAAGTAAAAGTTACTTGTTACGAATTTGCTTGGTTCATTTCATTTTCATGGCATATAATTTGATATTAATCATGCTGGCGATAATACTACAAATAAATACGCATTTAGTTTCTCTCAGTTCAGTCCAGGCTCTCACGTCTCATCCTCGTGGAGGCGTGGAGGGTAGTTCAATTTTCAACCCAACTCCCTCCATCTCCCTTGTACACACGTCAGCCAGCCTTGTGAATGATTCTGTCTTCTGATTTATCCTGAGAATTGCGTACCTTGATGCATTTCCAGGCACGTGGCGTTCATGCTAAGCCCGGATTAAGGCCTTCTGCCGAACCCGCTTTAATTAATCGGGACTATGACTGGTTGAGTCACAAGCCACAATTATCGATACTGAGATTTCTTTGTTACTAACCATAACATTGGTTCGCGTCGGTCTGACATGCAATCCACTAAGGTCCCGACCTGAGTCAGGCGCTCCCCATGGCTACGGAGCCTTGAAATCCATCGTGCATCATTGGGCTCTACACAACTCCGCACCATGCCGAGGCATAAAAGCCCCCACTTTGGATCTGACTTAGGGCTATGAGATCACCCCCGGAGCTGTTGAGACGGCTCAACCCACATCACTCGCAGGCTTATGCTTCAGGCACTGCCACTTTAGCGCTCGGGAGTATTATCTCCCCGATGGCTGTATGGACATCTTGACAGCCCCTTCATTGATCGAATTGGTCATTCGTTTACGAATTGGATCCCTTGCCAGAAACGAGAGGGTCCTGAGCGGCCACCAAGGGTTTGCTGCTTGACATGATTGGCTTAGTCGCAAGTGAGAATCCGCGATCGCCGAACAATATATTGATGCTCGAATAGACTACTCTCATCTTCCCACCTCTGAGAGGTTGCTATGGCCACGGAAGAAAACACTAGGAAGCATCACCCTACTCTGGCGTTTTTACGAGCTCGCAAACAAGCCGCTCCATGGACAATCTGCATTCAATGTGATAGTCTGCACGGAGGACCCTCAGGCGGGATTGAGATGCATATGCTCACATAGTGTCTTATGAGTCTGCGGACTCGTATAAAACGATGAGCAGGCCGAGGAGAGTATGGCCTATACAGCAGACCTTCCAGTCTATACAAAGCTTGAAAGTTTAACCTACATCAATAACTATGAATCTCTCCATTGGAAGCCTTTCCGTTATACTTCTATGTCTTAGCCAATGGGCGACTGCGGCCACGGTGTTCTTCCCGATCACTTTGACATGGACGAATAAAACCGTTGCCGGCGTTGTCAGGCCGGTTATTGCCATGAATGGCCAGTATCCTGGTCCTCCACTTAATATCAATCAAGGCGACAATGTCCAGTTTTTTGTTGATAACCGCTGTCCGTTTAATACTACCGTTCACTTCCACGGTATGTGTCTAATTTCTTTATATGCTTGCTGTGAAAAAGTACTAATCAGTTATAGGAATCGAACAGATTGGAACCCCCTGGTCCGACGGTGTCCCCGGGGTCTCGCAGAGGTCAATCTCGCCAAACACTACCTTCCTCTATAGATGGACAGCAGCTCAATACGGAGCATACTTCTACCATGCGCATCACCGCGGTTCACTCGAAGATGGGCTTTACGGTCCAATCTATATCACTCCATTGGCCTCTGTGACAAAACCATTCAGCCTGATTACGAACAATACCAGTCAACTCAATGCTATAATAAATGCCGAAAGGAATGGTTGCTCTGTTTTGCTTTCGGACTGGCGGCTTCTTACCTCGGAACAGATCTGGAGTGCCGAAGTGGCATCTGGGGTTGATTCTTATTGTGCTAATGCTTTGCTCATTAATGGCAAGGGGTCTGTTACCTGTCTTCCGCGCACGCAGATTGATTCTTTGACGACGGAAGCTCAAAGGCGGGCGTTGAGGAATGAGAGTTTGACGGATATGGCGTTAGTTGATCAGCGTGAAAGTGGTGATCTGGAATACTGACCATGATCACAGATGCTTCCCTCCAAACCTCACCTCTGCGCAGGGGAATTTCCCGCACAACTACAGTGCCATTCTTCCCACGATGTTCTCCGGCTGCACGCCATCTCAGGGACCCCAAGAGATCTTCAACGTCAATGCATCCCAGCAATTCGTAAGCTGGGATCTGACCAGTGCATCAGGCGTCCTGGAACTCACCTTCTCAGTCGACGAGCATGTCATGTGGGTATACGCCATCGACGGACGATACATCCGCCCAGTCCAAGTGAAAGCCCTCACAATACCAAATTCCAACCGCTACTCAGTGCTAGTCCCACTCACCCAACCAAGAGGAGACTACACGGTCCGCCTCGTCAGCGCCAGCGTCCAACAAATCCTCAACACAACTGCAATCCTCCGATACCAAGGCACATCGCAACTGAACAGAACGTCCAACCCATGGATAACAATAAACAACCAAAACGCCACAACAGAAACAGTCTTTCTCAACGAATCCATTGTCACCCCTTCCCTGTCCTCGTCCCCTCAACAAGCGTCGCCCAAACCTTCTTCCTAAACGTCGAACGTTTCGGCGCCTCATACCGCTGGACTTTAGGAAACGGTAGCTATGGCCTCGAACTAGAAGAATCCCAGCCCCTCCTCTTCAACCAGAGCTCAATCCCCAGCAACCTAGTCATCAGAACAAACAACAATACCTGGGTCGATCTCATCATCCAAGTCGTCACACCCGTCCAGCCTCCACATCCAATCCACAAACATTCAAATAAGCATTTCATCATCGGGCAGGGGAGCGGGATATTCAATTATACCTCTGTTGCGCAGGCTGTCCAGGCTATCCCTGGGAACTTCAATCTGCTTACGCCGCAGTATCGCGATACGTCGAATACACCGCCAGCTACGCAGGGCCCGACTTGGTTGGCGATTCGGTATCAGGTTGTTAACCCTGGGGCTTTCCTGGTGCATTGTCATATTCAGGTTCATCAGAGTGGGGGTATGGCGTTGGCTATGTTAGATGGGGTTGATGCTTGGCCTACTGTCCCGCCGATCTATTTGAATGGCAATGGCGCTTAGATTAACGACGGTTGGCTGGGACTACATTTGGTGAGTCCGGGAATGTATATGTGACCGATGCATTGACAAGATGTGAACGACAATTCGGGTTTAAGGAGATGTTTATTGAGCAAGCAGCATTTGAGTTTGATATTAGCATATAGTTTTTGGCATTGCGTAGTATAAAGTTGGTGGATTATGGGAGAATGATTATTCGTTCCTACTCGTCGTTGACTTCCCTTCACGTACCGTAAAGTGACCGTAATTAGGGCTGGAGAAGGGTGGGTACCGGAGCACTTCATCGATGACTTCACCACATTACAGGGAACACCGCACTGAGAAACCAGACCAATGCTGCAACGCACATTTGTTAAGGGCATTTCATATGATCTCATTAAAAAAGTAAGGAACTCAGAGCTCAGTAGAGTTCCGGAGTGACAACATCATCCCTTAAGCAATGAGAGACTGGATACCTTGCTCAATGGCCGGAGGAGAAGCACCAACAACCTCAGTGATCTTCTGGCCACCCTTGAAGAGCATGAAAGTAGGCATTGCTCTCACACCAAGCTCGTTCGAAAGATCGGGGACCTTGTCTACATCGAAGGTGTAGAAGTTGACTTGGGGGTATTGCTCACTCCACTGCTCGACCTTAGGCGCGATGGCTTTGCATGGACCACACCATTCCGCGAAACAGTCCACGATGGCGGGTTCCTCGGAGCCCAGGACCTTGTCCATGAACTCGGCCACGCTGGTGGGGATTAGTACCTCTTTTGGTAAGTGGGGGCTGATCTGCATACCTCGTGATTGAGATGACGGGCATGTTGGTGATGTGATGGGATGTATGAGCAGTTGTGATTTGAGATGAGGATTGGATTGAGAAATGGTGGTAGAGGGAAGAGTGAGGAGTTGTCAAATCGGCGATTTTATAGAAGAAAGGTGGGGTGATGTAGATCGGAGGGGCGGAGAAAGATGGCGCCGGTGACATGTTTAGTCTCTGATCTCCAGGTACGGGGTACGGGGTACACATGTATAGAGTACATGCTGTATACATGTGTACATTGCCACGTTGTGCTACGAGTTATGCGATATCACAATGATCAATGATGAATCTGGCCAGGTATTCTGTAGCCTCATTGTCAGCCCCATGGAATGGGCGACGGGGATATACTCCACGGGGAGCTCGGATCGACGGTGATACCGAGCATCACCTCCCAGCCAATATCACACGAAAGCAACGAAGCTACAATGGATATACAAACGAAACAAAGGAAACAAAAAATAAAATTCGCCTGAAAAATCAGGACTCGTGACATGGCCAGATGTTGTTCCGGCCCGGGGTGAAGGCCGTATTTAAGATCCAACTCGGCTATGCCCCTCTTCACACTAACACCCCCCAACCTCCTGTCTCTTCCTTCATCCAACCCACTCACTTTTATCAACATGTCTAAGCTTTTCATCGGGTAAGTTAATTTCCACGTTATCGATGCGATTACTGACCGTTTTCCGTTTCCAGCGGTCTCTCCTGGGGCACAGACGACCAGTCTCTGCGCCAGCGCTTCGAGGAATTCGGTGTCGTTGAGGAGGCTGTAAGTGGACTCTTTCTGCCCCTCTGACCGCCCGATGGCGTCCAATCTGACTTTTTTTGTTTCTAGACCGTCGTCAAGGACCGCGATACCGGCCGCAGCCGTGGTTTCGGTTTCGTGCGCTACACTACCGATGATGAGGCTACCAACGCTATGAACGCCATGAACGACCAGGAGTAAGCTGCGATTCCCCTTTTTCCCCTTTCCTGATCCTGGCTGCTTGGCTGGTGTCCGTTACCTTCTGTTATGTTGCTTCCCTTCCAATTCCCAATTCTGTCCTGTCGCGCTCGAAAGAGCGCCTGGCTACTCCCTTCAATGCTCCATCCAATCCAGCTCTGAGAAAGACCCTTTACTGACAACTCTCTTCCAGGTTCGACGGTCGTCGCATCCGTGTTGACAAGGCTACTGAGCGTGGCGCCGGCGGCGGTGGCCGTGGTGGCTTCGGCGGCTTCGGCGGTGGCCGTGGCGGTTACGGTGGCGGTAACGGTGGCTACGGCGGTGGTTACCAGCAGCAGGGTGGCTACCAGCAGGGCGGCTACGGCGGTGGTAACGGTGGTTACTAAAGGATCCCTGACTTGCACTTCCTGTGACCTGTGACTCTTTCATGGTCTTTGGGAAAACTGATCCCATGATCCCACCCCCTCCCCCTTTGTGAATGCCTACAAAATCGAACTTGTTACTCTCAACGACTGTTACGACTAATCGATGAGCCGATCCGGATTTTTTTCTTTTTTGGGTTCCTGATCTACATTGTGCGGGATGTAGAGGGCTCAATTTATTATTTTGCCTTGCCCCGCCTTTTTTGGTGATCCCAAGCTGGGCTGAGACACAAGTGATACCCGTGTGAATATCCGTACTCTGAAAATCGCAATTCTTCGAGGTTATTTCATTTCGCATTTCTCCAGAGTAGACCTGTAATTTACATGTACAATTGTAATTTTGTAATATCTTAGACACTGCATCTAATCTATGGGGCTAAGCGAGAGGAGCCCTGGAGGACCCCCCGGGGCAAAGTGGAGAAAATGTCCCCACGCACTATAATTGGAGTTCTCTTACAGGAACATAGATTTAATTGTTTGAAGCTAGACTCGCTAATAGATCCAGATCCACTTCTCCGGCGCAAATACATAAATCATATCAAAGGAGAGGCTATGGCTAAATCAACAGACGCCAAAATTGAAAAACGTATAAATTCCAAGCATATCGCTGTATGTCATTTCAGTCATGGTCGTGAGGTTGGTTTCACTTTCAAGAGAGTTCTTCTTGGATATCGGACTCGGATTGGTTGCTTTCCGATGTCGGGGGTTCAGTCGCGGTCTCTGGCTCTTCTGATACTGCAGAAAACCGGATAGAGTCAACGAGGGCATCATCCTCCTCTAGTTCCTCTGATTGGGACTGAGGTGGGCCCGTCGGCTCGACAGATGCGGCGGGGGTTCAACAGAGTCGGTCGAAGGCGAAGTGGGTTCCTCCGTGTCTTCGATTTCAGATTGAGCGGTCTCGAGTACCTGGGCCTCGTCCACAACTTCGGAAGACTCAGTGGGCGCAACGGAAGTTCCAGCAGAATTGAGAGAAGACTTAGATGATTCCGGGAGCTCTTCACCTTCGGGTTCAGGTGTCTCCAGCACCTCGGGTGCTGCGAAGGTCTCTGCGGCCTCCGTGGGCGCAAACGGTTCAACAGAGGAAGTAACCGGCTTCGGCGTCTCAGATGACAAAGACTTATCTTCGTCCAAGTCTCCAGTACGAGGCGTAGAGTCAACAGTCGGTATAGGAGCAATCGAGCTCGCAACGGGAACAGAAGGCGCCAAAGCAACGCTGGTACTGGATACGACCATAGGCTCCAGCACATCATACCCCAAATCCCGGGGCAAGGGACGGGTATCAAAAGACGGCGGCAACTGCTGCTGAACGGAGCCAATGGCAAGAAAAGCCACGAGGACACTTAACAAAACAAGCGCAACGTTGCGCCGGTCAGCAGCAAGGACACGGAGGTAATTAACTATGAGAACCCTCAACGCAACCTGATGCTCCCCCTGCTGCTGCCCCTGCTGCCGCCGCTCCACCTTCTCATGCCGGAACTCCGACACAGAATCCCTCCGGCCTTCAAGAAGAGCCTGTCGAGAAAGCACAGCCTCCGATTGGAAAGACCCAGCATCAGAAACCATACGCACATACCCAGGCATAGGCGACTGCATCATCTCGGGAATAACCCGATTATCAGCATCAAGCAGCGAAGGCGATCCCATCTGTGGCGTAGACATAGACATAGACATAGATCTGCCATGCGTATGCGTAAGAGCCATCGACTCCTCGCCCAACCGTCGTTCCAAAGCACGCCGCACATCAGACGGCAACCAAAGCCCAACCTCGACATCGACCTTCTCCATATCGCGCCACGCAGCAGCCCACGCACCCGCGCGCAAGAGCCCATTCGCGGCGAAGACGCGGATCTCCCATTTGCGGTTGCTGTCGCCGTGTCGGACGTGGCTGCCGCAGTCTGGACAGGCGTCGCCTTGTTCGCCGTCTGTTTCGCTTTCGCCGACATCGGACATCTCGCGTTCGGAGGCTGTGTCGTTTTCCTCGCGGCCGAGGAAGTGCCCGTTTTGCAGGCGGGGACGTTGCAGCTCTAGGCTTTCTAGGAGTCTTTCTTCGAGCATGTCGTATAGGTCTTCTGGGTGCGAGATTAGGACGCCTCTATCGCGGAGAACGCCTGATCCGACTCGATCTTGGAGTCGCCGCCATCGCTTCCAGTATTCTGGTGGTAGGGTTTCTTCGAGAATATCTTGGTTTCGGGGGTCTGTGGCTCCGGGGACGGGAATTGATGGTGAAAGTATGGTGCAGTGTAGGAGGACCAGAGGGAATTCTTTCTCTTTCTCTTTTTCCTTCTCTCGCTCCCTCTCCTTCTTGGCTTTCGGCTTGCTCTGAGACCCATTAGGTGAGTAGTATGGGGAACGCTTCAAGGGGGAAGAGCCTGGCGAGCGTAGACCTGCCCGTCGGCGCGGCGGCGTCAAGTAGTCATCATCATCAGCCTCGTCTTCTGTATGCATCTGTAAAGCTCTAACGGAGCTCGGTTTCCGGAATGCCGCTTCGCGCTGTCGGATAGTGCGAATATTAGCAGGGACCTCGTTGAAATCACCAAAGCTAGCCTCCGACTCTTCCCTATTGTTATAGCCGGCGATCTTCTCGTGAATATCCATGTCGGGCATTTGTTTCATTTGCTTTATGCGGTCGACTGGGTGGATAAGGACGGAAGCCGGGATGGAAGATAGCGATGAGCGACTCGAGGCTCTAGACTTGAGGTGTTCTAGCTCCTCGTCCATTTCATGGCCGAAGACGTCGCTTGTTGAGTGGCGGGTTGAGGATGATGAGGAGTTGTATTCATAATCGTGGTTGGACATTTGGGCATTGCTGTGTTTTGATTCGAGCGACGAAACGAGGAAGCCTTTGCCTTGAGGGGTGAATGGTTGCGGGCTTAGGATGTCTGTTGATGCGTCGTGTTGACTATCGTCATTTAACCGTGCCATAGGATTGTCATACACTGCGGCTGCGGGAGTGTGAGATAGTCCACTTTCTGTGTACGGTTTAGAGAACTACACAGCCAGTGCCAGTGAAACAAGATTCCACTGCATGTCGTGAATGTGAACGTTGGGGGTTAACGTTGGACACTGTTGACGATGGCTCACCGCCCCGTTGTGCAGGGCAACGGATCGACGGATGACAGGTCGATCATCAAGCCACCAGCTATCTCCACGTTCATAGTACAATATAATTAATACATCCATGTATAGCTTCCACGTGTCATATAAGCTCAATACTCAAGAAGTCGAGTCAGCTGCGCTGAGACCGAGTTGGTTGTAGATGAGAATCGAAGCGAAAATATAAATATAAAACCAAGGAGATCTAGTGTTGCCCAAGGATATCATCACTAGACGCCAGAAAAAGCATGCATCCTTCCAAAATTCGGGATAAAAATAAGCACAAGTCGATCGCTGAACACAAAGAAATGCAAACCCGCCAAAAATACAGAAATATATACGAGAGATAAACATCAAACATTACGGAGGTCGTGGTGTCGCGTCGTCAGGGCTCATGAGGGGATAATTTTGATGATCGCCAAAGAAGCTGAGGACATCTTGTGGGAGATACTCCAGCCAGGGTATAATCTCGCCATTTGCAAAAGGGAATGAGTCCTGGTGATGGAGGGAGTTCATATCAACGTCGTGCGTTCCAATCATCATCCCGTTATCCGTATTCATCGTCGGAGGGAGATCAGGGCCGCGAGAGCCCATGTGATTTCTGCTTGGGTGTTCTGCGGTCGTGGGAGGTATGGAGTAGTTGTAGGAGGGTTGTGGTTCCATTTGGGACGATGGGAGGTTGGGGAAGAGCGGTCTTGCTGTTTGAGTGCTTGATTCTGGGTATGACGGATCCATGTTCATATAGTAGGGTTCATTGCCGAGGCTTGGGGATGGAACATGCGAGTATTTGGGGTTCGGTGTTGTGAGGGTTGATGTGTGCTTTTCAAGGCCCTGCGGTTGGGCGAGAGGTCGGGCATAGGAGCTGGGCCCTTCTCCGGCATTTGGAGAGAGGATAGGGTAGCTGTGGCTGTATCGGGATGAGTATGTTTGCTTATTGGGAGGATGTTCATTCTGAGTCGTGGGCATCTGATAAAGCAAGCTCAAATTTGGCTGAGCAGAGCCCGTGGCTCCTGCAAGCGCCCATCCGATTGCTGAATGCCAGAGTCAGTTAGTGAGTATTCCATAACAGCATTGGTATATAAACATACCTTGACTTGGATCAATAAGTGGTGACCGCCTTTCATCCGATGAGATGTCAGCCAAGCCTGCTCTTTCCGGATCAAAGCTAGAATCTGCCGACGTTTTGCCTGCCCGCCAAGGCCCCGACCCGAGAGGCTGTCCTGGAGCGAACCCATCGGCGTTCTCCATATCTTCCACGGTATAAAGGAGAGGATCGACGATTCCCTTGGCCTTCTGATCCAGTACTGTCAGTATATATCCTGTACCTTCCCAGTACGTATTAAGTGCTTTCAGGGCCTTGTAGCATCGTTGATAGTTCTCCTTGGCAGCAGAAGCTAGCAGGATATGCTTTTGAGTGGACTTTCTTTCTGTTCCATTGGATGATTCCATGGTAGGCATCACAAATCCGCTGGACTGGTTCGTCAATAATGGTTGCGGTGGAGGCGAGCCAGAGTTCGACGAAGGAGATGTGTAATATGCACTCTCCATGAGGAACGCACAAGCCGCAATGTACATCGGCTGACTCGTAAAGGGGTTACCAATAAAACTTTTACCATCGATGAGCTCTGAGAAAGAAAGAATATCCGCGATGGTCTTGGCCGATGACATGGACAGTTCTCGACTGTTGGGGTAGAGATGTTGGATTGTCCCGCCGAAGGAGTTCAAAAGTGTCGGCTGGTGCAGCAGGACGATAAGCGTGTGGAACCAGAAGTGAAGAAGGATGAAATTAGTCCCTTCCTTGGCCTTGACATAGGCCTGGAAATTGGCCGCGTTGAAATAAAGCCGTGGAGATAGACGTTGGTAGATACCAGTAAGGTCGCTTTCCATCCCAGCAAGCATCTTGAGGGTATCCGGTGTGACGCGCTTAACATCCTGAATCCCGTTGATAAGATCGGTCACTCGCCCGTAGAGGTGAATGATACGGATAAGCGGCGGGAACGGTGCAGGCCACCCGTTCGGTAGTTGAGATTCAGATTGAAGAGGAAAGCAGAGCTCAATATCCTCATCGCGTAATGTCACCGGTCGTCCGGTGCCCGACGAGATTACTCTGTCCAGGAAGAAGATACTCCAGAACGAATCAACACGTTCCCGTTCTCGAGCCCGTTCCGAACTCAGAGGCTTTGGCGTCGTCTTCGGAGTATGGTGCACATCAAGGTCATCGTATTGATCTTCCCTTAATTTCCCAGCATGTCCGGTCATAACTTCGCTTGGTGTGACTCCTCTCTGGCCATAGCTGTGTTTTAGGCCTTGGAACTTTTGCAAACCAAGGTCCTGAGCCATCCGAATCGATATCCCGAGATACATCCACAGGCCACTATCATGATTCGACCCAAACTGTTCATATGCCAGTAATAGGCAAGCTTGGACGGCGGAAAGAGTCGGACAAGGCAATGAATCCACCAAGGCGCTCATTGCTCGGTGACCAAAGGGAAGACCCCGGTCCCATTTTTTGTCGTCTAGTGGTGGCTGCGAATTATCGATAGGCTGGGCCTGCGGTGGTCCAAGTAATGGGTGTGGTGAGAATCTTGCAGCCAGTGCACACACCGCATCTACCAACATGGTATCAACTCTTTTGTCTTTGAGGTCTTGAAGGAATCTGTCGCGCTGTAGGAACGGAAAACTGCAACCCAAATGGGCGAAGAAGAGATCGCATAAATGGGACACAAGGTTCGAAACAGGCAGCGTATCATCTCGGTCGTAGAACGGGATCGTATTTGCGTCGCGATTATCAAGGTTCTCTGCTATCGGGGCCGAGGGTCCAATTGTGATACCGGAAGGCTTGGGGCTCCGAAGAGGAGAAAGAGAATCTATAGGTCAGTGTTAGCGACAGTGGTCCCGGGGCATGTATGTACCTGACTGTGTGGTCGAATAGCTTGATGACTTACCGGAAGACACGGAAGCATTACTCTTGCGAGAGCCTCGAACTTGTACGACCTGAGCATATATTAGAGGACTGTTACGCTGTACATAGCCAAAGAGGAATGCAAACCATTTGCTTAAAGCCGGGCACGATCGCTGTCGGTCCAAAGTATCGAAAGTATGGGACATGGGTGCGATTCCCTGAGCTCACAGATGTCCCTCCTAGAAGTGTCAAGTCAGTATGGACTAAGCCGCAACCGAGCTGCCTTTCTAACTCACTGCTCCGTGGACTGTCAATAGCCACTTGTGTATCCAGCTCTTTGTTCACTCGCGATGGTTCCCGATTGGAGGCATCCTTTCCATCCGGCGCTTTCACTTTAGGCGACTTGTCCACCGCAGGCTTGGATACGGTTGTCCGGACCGGCTCCGGAGAACAACTCTCGACAGCCCGGGTAACACGCTCACTAGATCCATTCTGACCGGACAGATTCGGCGGAGCACGGGTTGTAGAATCGGACTGTGTTCGCAGATGGGCGGTCGAGTCGGTATATCCAAGACAAGTGTGCTTATAATCAGAGCATGTCTTGCAAACTGTCCTCACATATCCATCAGCAACGGTATCTCAATTAGGACACTCGGCGCATCCTACCTGGTTGCTCGCCTGAACATCGAATCTTGCGCCGGCGACATGTGAGACAACTAAACGTAGATCGCATGTGATGTCAGTATTCGGAGGTTGCCGAGTAGATCACATTGGGCCAGGGCGGTTCACGTACGCGGCGTTGACCCGGCGGCGCTTGGTTTGCGGCTGGCCGTCGGTTGCGACAAAGCGGATTTGTCGCGGTGGAGGATTGCCGCTCTTCTTGGGAGAAGGGGGGCTCATGGCGAGCCAGGTATTAGCCGTGGTCCCGACCCATTGGGTATCTGTATGTTTGTCCCAGGTTCGGGGGGAGCGATCGGTCGGCGCGCGGTGATTCAGCTGCAACGACGAGGGTTGACTGTTGCACAGATGAAGTGACGTAGGAGGTCGTACGAAAGAAGGACGGACTTCGGTGACGACAACTGCATCAGGTGGGCGAAATGAGATGCGGTTTACAAGTGACAAGGGATAAAGACGAGAGGAAGTTGGGGAGGGAAGAGGGGATGTACTACGCCACACCAGATCTCACGATAATTTCCAAAGGAGTCTTGACCGCTAAGTCGAAAACAGCAACCACCTCGTTTAGGCCTTCAGGGACAACCTGTACAAGATCTGACGGTCATGGGATTTGCCCTGGTGGGGCGATCCATACGTTCCCGTGGGGGTTAGGATGTTCTATATACTGTAGGTCTAATTCTTTTGGTCATAGTCTCGGCAACAATAGCCTAGAATACAACACTCTAAGATAGGGGGCTACGTATAAGGTCTTGTCGCATCAACTCCGAGTCCCCGGAGTTTGAACTCCGGGGGATCTGGGGGCCCGTGTCTCGAGACCCCACGTTCCCTTCTGGACCATCTGTTGAATACATAACTCAAAACGTCAACGATATGTACATTAGTTCGCATTCTGTCAAAGCTTAGATTGTTGCAAGCTGGATGCTCATAGCTTGAGTACTTGTTCTGTAAAAAAGGGGCTCTTGTCAACCGATGTATATAGATTGCATATAGTTCTATAGTAGCTCCAACGGGAATTATATCGAAAGTTCGATGCATTTAACCGGTTGATGTGATGTCGCATAAAGTCCCGCTTGGTATAGCAGTCGGCCCGAGCTTGGGGAGAGCATATAGGCACGCACTACATATCAAGACAAAGATAGCATAAAGCGTGGCAATATCTACACCTCAGCCAAATACGCCGTGGAATTAACTCGCAGATAAACGCGATAAGGAATCAAGGTGCAGCTAATTCAAACCAAGTTCAAACCCCAGTCTTCATGCATTTACTGACATCTATGTGCCGAGTTCCTCGGAAATCCTCCCTGCAATCACTGCAAGTACTTCAATGCCACCATTTCCTCCCAACAAACCCAACCACCCACCGTCCACACCAATCTCAAGCTCCGCGGGGCAACGGTGAACACAGCTGATTTATAATCCCCAGTCCAACGCGTCTCCTAGCAAATTGCACGCGAATCAAACTCCCATACCCAACTCCCCGACCCTTCAGCCAAACGCACAACATGTCAAGCGCCCACCCAGACTTCGAGAAGACCCAAGCCGCGCGCCCAGATTGGCGCCAGGGTGCCGAAATTGTCTACACCAAGTCCCCAAACCCCACATGGAAGTACGGAGATGGAGCAAACGATAACGGCGAGAGCTTGAAGAAGAACCACGTCGAGATCGACCCCAATGCCGAAGGCCGGCCTGCAGTCTCCAACTATAAGCTCCTTATCTCGGGAATGGTGCCTCGGCCCATCGCCTTGGTTAGCACTCGATCAGCTGATGGCAAGTCTACGAACCTGGCACCTTTCAGTTACTCGCAGGTCGTCTGCCATGACCCCCACTCTTCGTCGTCGGGTTCTCGGGCTCTTTCGAGAAGGCAAAGGATACATTGAAGAACCTGGCCGAGACGAAGGAATGTGTTGTCAATATTATCTCAGAACACTTCATCGAGGCGGCTAATTCTACTTGTATCAATGCTCCATACGGTGTATCTGAGTGGGAGACCTCGGGACTGCACCAGGCTCCCAGCGCCGTGGTCAAGGCTGCCCGTGTTAAGGAGTCCGTGCTGTCGATTGAAGCTAAGCTTGTTGAAATCAAGGAGTTTGAGAGTCGCGCTACTCCTGGCAAGAAGTCTGGTTGTATGGCTATGGTTGAAGGTGTTCGCTTCTGGGTCAGAGATGATGCTATCAATGAGGAGAGGAGTGCTATCGACTTGAATGTTTTAAAGCCTGTTAGTCGGCTTGGTGGTATCACTTACGGTCGAACTACGGAGGTTATTGAGATTCCTCGGCCTCAGTACTAGAAGAATTGGGGTGACACCATTGATGTAAATATATCGCTGTATGTACCGGGTTTCAGGCCGCGGCCGCGACTTGCCTGATTGGGGTGCCGCCGCTTTAAGGGTGCTCAAGATCCATTGATGCTACCAAAGGCCTTCTTCCCATCTACATAGTTGATTCAGTGAACCGATACCTTTCGAGTTCATTTGGGTGTTGTGGCTTTAACAACAGCGCTGATACTGCGAGCAGTGTAGTCGATATTGAATTTGTTGAGCCCACTAAAGGCAAGAAATATGTCAGCTCGGCATTTGTTCCAAAGATATGCTCATCAAACATACGCGATAGATATTCTCCCAGAGTCCTGAAGATAAACATGGTGCTTGTTTCGGAGGAGAGTGACTTGTTCCACAGATAGTCCAACGTATCTAAAGAAAGTCAATAAGGTAAATCTCCTTGAGTTCGATGTTGGTAACTCTTACGAAAACATCCCGTTCTGTTCAGTGATATGCCGCCAGTCACCTGGTGTTCCCAATTTCTCCAATCCTTCCCTAAGCGCAATTCGACGATGCTTGAGTTGGTTTGCCATATCGCGCACTTCCTCCCGCCATTGGCGCTCCAAAACCTCATCTGATAAAACAGTTTCAATAATTTTGGACCCGAAGTCGGGAGGTGCGCCAGACTCAGCTCGTGCTAGTAGTCTCAGGTGCGTTTCGATTCTCTTTCCCACTTCCTCGCTCGGAACAAGAATGGAAAGAATCCCAACGCGTTCGCTGTAAAGCCCAAAGGATTTCCCGTACGTTGAGACAAAGACAAGCGGGATTTCGTGCTCGGCAAACAAACGAACTCCTTCAAGATCCGTGTCAATGTCTCCTGAGGCAAATCCGGGGTACGCAGCATCGAAGAATGCCAAATGACCACGCTGGGAGAAAATTGAAGCAAGCTCTCGCCATTGATCTGGTGATGGATCACATCCAGTTGGGTTCTGGGCTCCAGACTGGAGAAGGACAACGGATTGAGCTGGCAACAACTTGATGGCCTCTGCAAACGTCACAAAATCGAAGCTATTCGTCTTGCTGCTAAAATACGGCAGAACGCTGGGATTGATTCCCGCAGATTGAAATACGTAAGGATGGTTTACTGTGATTTGGTCAGCATTGCTTTTGTCTTTGTGATCAAGCGACGCCTTACACCAAGAATCGCTTGGAAGGAAGATCTCGGGGTTCCCAGTCTGCTTCCATGGTCCATAATGATTCTTCAACATAACTGCGCCGACATGGCATCCGCCACTTGCACCGAGTGTCTGTGTGGAAACTATCCTGATAAATAGACTCAGCTCTGGACTGACTGGTAAAGAAAATGTGCGTCCTCTTATACCTTTTCTCTCGCAACAGACGATGATCCGCCCCAAAGAGCAACTTGGCACTCAAGTCCCTATAATTCTGGGAACCTAGTGAGGAAGGGCGATACTCATGATGCCAATCAGGGTCATTGAATATTTTCGTCTTTGCCTGTGACATGAATAGCAAGGATTTAGTGATGCGCCGGTGTAGAATAGTGAACTTGGGAAGTTATACCTTTTTCACACTTGGTAACACATAGGCCTTCCCTTCGTTCGTTTTGTAGACGCCCACAAGGAGATCAGTTCTGTTGGGATCGGTATCGGCTCGGAACTGCGCAACGAGAGCTTCGAGGCCCTCTAAACATGTTCTTAATTCCGGTATATCAATTAACGTTATCAATTGTATCATTTACCTGTTCGACCCACTGGGACATCTTGGAAAGGATTGGCTGCTATGCTACCCATTTTTATTGCTGAGGGTGACTCGAGGAAATAGGTTACTATGTTCAACCTTATAAGTTACCTGCGGGGAAATAGATGGCTTCGAGTGATATGTTTCTAGGAGCACGCAATTGGCAACACGCCATTATGTCGCAATATGGGAAAGATGCCAAACACTTTGAGAGTAAATTGTTTCTCCATAACATTTATTTTCTCGCAAGTATCAGTGAATTTCGTGAAACTGGATTTAGTCATTCATAGGACTAGGACCTAGACCTGGGAAAGCTCGCGAGCCCTACGGGACCAGCTCGAGCGTAAAACCTAGGCCTATCACGAGCTTTTTCTAGGTGTAACTAGAGGCGAACTAGCTAGGATCGACCGCTTTATTAATTACGCCGGCCTTCTGTTGACGGGGCCACGGTCAAGAGTGCTAGGTGAGCGACTACATTCAGATAAAGCTAGCGTGGTGCATGTTATTGAGGTGACTGCTGACTTAGCTGCTCCCGTGCTTTACTTTGGTCCTGCGCAGTGAGTATATCTACATAGGTGACGCTCAGTGATAAGTCCTCTAGCTTACGAAATGGCCAGGTGATGCTCAGTGAGTGAGTTTGATGAGTATGTAATACTCAGGTGCGTGCTCATTTTACTCAGTGATTAAAAAGGGGCGAGGGGTAAGCACTAAAAGGAAAAGTGAAAGCCATTTCGCGTGGCCTAAAATCTGGTGTATATGTTTTCGGAGACTTTAGAGGTTGGTTTATAGATCGAACGGAGATATATATCTCATCTGCGCAAAGTTCATCCGCAAAATTCCATCTGCTTGATAATCATCTCACACTTATGTTTACTAGCGTCTCGTTTTTGCAGCTTGGCTTTTGCCTACTTTGAGTTAGAACTTTGGCTGAGCCCCACAGACCTGGAGCAATGCGGTGTTGAAGATCTAACCTGAAGTCGGCTAGAAGTATAGCGAGAAACAAGCCGACTCCAAACAGCACGAAATAATAAGCTACACTATAAAATGTTAGATCCGAAACTCTACTGCCCTGCAAACTGTTGATTAAAGTTGTTGCTCACCAAGCTCAGGTGGGGTCCTCCCAACCCGAAAGTGGCCGAGAACTACCTAAAAAGTAAGCTTGAATCCCTCCGTGCTGAGTAGATATCTCGCCGGAGGCCCAGTTTAGATAATCCTTCAGCGCTTGTAGCAAGTATTCGTGACAAATATCCGAAGTATACGATAGCTCCGATTAAAGCCGTGCGGAGGAGCGGGGTCGTTATCTCCAACTATAAATGGGAGGACAACTGCATATCGCTGCTCTCCGGCGAGAATCTTTGCAACTTCATCACCTTGACCCGAAGAACAGACAAAAAGAAGAGCGAATATGTCTGAAGAATACGAAACCTATGAGTTGGGAGACTGGGAGCTTCAGAGTGGACAGAAGATTGAAAATGCCCACATCGCATACAAGACTTTTGGTGATCCCAAGTCTCCAGCCATCGTCTATCCAAGTTGGTTCTCGGGAGGTAAGTACTATCCAAGACACTTCTATATTGCCCACGGTGTGGCTGAGTAAAGAGAAAACTGACACAACAGTATATAGCTATCTCCGACAACTTCTGGTTGATCGGCGAAGACAAGTTCCTCAATCCAAAGGACTTCTTTATTATTATCACCGCTTTGTTTGGCAATGGCCAATCCTCTTCCCCATCGAACCAGCCTGCCCCCGGTCCATTCCCGAAGGTCTCATTCTACGATAATGTCCGAGCGCAGCACGAGCTCGTGACCAAGCACTTCGGCATCACGCATTTGCGCGCTGTCGTGGGTTGGTCGATGGGTGGTGCTCAATCTTTCCAATGGGCGACTCAGTATCCGGAGTTTATGGATATTGTCATTCCCTTCTGCACGTCGGCGAAGACTTCGCTGCATAACCAGGTCTTTCTGGAGGGTGTGAAAAGCTCGCTTATTGCGGCGAAGAAGATTCGTTCTGCTGGGACGGGGGAGCTTGGGGTAAGAAATACTGCGGAGGCATTTACCTGGAGTGCCGAGGAGAAAGATGTTGGATTGAAGGCTATGGGTCGGGTCTATGCTGGATGGTAAGATGTCAGGAAATGTGGCTGTGTGTGATTCCTCTGACAAATCGGAACAGGGGCCTCAGCCAGGCATTTTATCGCCATAAGTTGCATGAAACTGCGCTCGGATACAAGAACCTTGAGGATTTCATGGTCAACTTTTGGGAGAAGTGGGCCTGTTCCAAAGGTATTGTTGGGTCCATTATGAACAGCCTCAAATATCTGACGCAATCTTCCTAGATCCTGAGAATCTGCTTGTCATGCTGCAAACCTGGCAAAATGGAGATGTCTCGCAGCAAGAGCCGTATAATGGTGACTTTGAAAAGGCCATGGCATCCATCAAAGCCAAGACTCTTGTTTTGCCGGGCAAGACTGATCTTTATTTCCCGTATGCTGGATTAGCCCCTTTTCAATTTGGACAAACTGACTGTTTTATCCGTTTAGGCCGGAGGACTCGGAGTATGAAGTTGCCTGTATGAAGCCCGGTGTTGGGACACTGGATATCTTCCCTTCGATCTGGGGTCGTAAGTCAACCTATATCCAAAATAAAGATTTAAGCAAGCTAATTCGCTATGCAGATTGGGCAGGCGGTCCGGGTGATAGCAAGGACGATGTTGAATGGCTTGACAAGAAGATGTCGCGATTCTTTGCTGACAATGGACCGAACGGTGTCGAGTCTCTCACTGAGAAGATCAAGAACATGCTAGGCTGATTGTGCGAATCATAATTTGGAATAGACCATGGTTCATGATGCAAAAATGTAGAGCGTAAACATCCCGGCTTGATCAGGCATACAAATCACGTGACAGCATGAGTAAGCGTGATCCAAGAAGCGCCGACGAACCTTGCATGTCGGCACAATCTCCTCGTCATTCCTTTCTTTACTCACTTTGGGTCGTATGCGCCGGACTAACTTTCTCAATCATTTTACTTTGAATTCTTCCTCAAGCGTCCCTTAATCTATTTCCGGAGCTCTTTTTCTTCGATCGTCACCGACCTTCCGAGATCAAATTTCCTACCTTCCCGCCGTCCTTTCCAAGCCTTTATACCAATCTTGATAATATTTACGATGACCGCACCACCAGTTCGCCAGTGGGGTGTCACTCCTCCGATTTCGACAGTCTTGCCGACCCAGGGCGAGCTTGCGGCGAACGACGATCTGATTGCGGAGCTCAAGGCTCAGAACAACTTCGAGCTCCCCACTGAGACAGAGAAAAGGTGTGTTCAAGTTTGGGAAAAGGAAGCTTGAAAGCTCCGAAACTGATGCCGGCACAGGCAACAAGTCCTCCAATTACTGCAGCGCGTCGCAGTAGAATTCGTGCAAGCGGTCAGTCGCAAGAAGGGCCTGTCAAATGCCGCCGTTGAGGCTTCCGGCGGTAAAATCTTCACATATGGAAGTTATCGCCTGGGTGTTTATGGACCAGGTAAGTTGCAATGCAAGATGAACACTGGATCTCGTTGTTTGGTTGACCTCGGTTACTGGCAGGATCCGATATCGATACCCTAGTGGTTGGACCGAAGCATGTCCTGATCGATGATTTTTTCTCCGACTTCCCTCCTATCCTCCAAAGAATGGCCAGCGAAGGTGCAATCGAGAAGATGACACCAGTGCCCGATGCCTTCGTTCCCATCATCAAACTTGAACTATGTGGAATCAGTATCGATTTGATTTTCGCGCGCCTTATTATCCCTGCTATCCCGATGAACCTGGACCTTAAGAACAATGATTATCTCCGAGGACTGGATGAGAGAGAAGTGCGGTCGCTGAATGGAACTCGTGTCACAGATGAGATTCTAGAGCTTGTTCCTCAGCAAAAAACCTTCCGTCTTGCATTGCGCGCTATCAAGCTTTGGGCTCAACGTAAGTGACTCATCGTCAATGTCATGTTATGATGTGATTGAGCTGACCATATGAAGGGCGAGCGATTTATTCCAACATTGTCGGTTTCCCCGGTGGTGTCGCGTGGGCTATGTTGGTGGCTCGAGTTTGCCAACTCTACCCTCAAGCCAGCGGATCTGTCATTGTGGGCAAGTTCTTCCGGATCATGAACAAGTGGAGCTGGCCCCAGCCCGTCTTACTGAAGCAGATTGAGGATGGCCCGCTTCAGATGAAAGTCTGGAACCCGAAGGTACGCATATGGCTCCCCTTTCTTCCGACAGTATGAACTGACAATATCAGATTTATCATGGCGATCGGTTCCATCTGATGCCCATCATCACTCCCGCATATCCGTCCATGTGTGCGACGCACAACATTAGTATGTCCACGAAGGCTGTCATCCTGAGGGAGCTCCAGCGAGGAGGAGATATAGTGGACAAGATCTTCATGAAACAGCTCTCGTGGAATGATCTGTTCACTCGCCATACATTCTTCACCAACGACTACAAGTATTATATCAGCATAACTGCCTCTAGCAGGACTAAGGAGGCCGAGTCAGCCTGGTCAGGTCTTGTCGAGTCCAAGCTGCGCCACCTTGTCGGAGCTCTTGACCGCAAGCCCATCATTGCAGTTGCCCACCCATTCCCCAAAGGCTTCGAAAGAATTCATACTATCGCCAACGAACAACAGATGGAAGCCGTTAAGAATGGATCTACACAGTATCAGGCTAAGGGCACCAAAACTGAGATGACTGATGAGACGAAGGATGCCGTTCACCAAGCCGCTATCCAAAACACCCTCGAGAATGCAGAGGTCCCAGAGCCAAGCGAAAGCCAGACGAAACCGGAAACCGATGGTCACACCGTCTACACTACTACGTATTATATCGGACTGGAATTGAAGCCTCTCGAACCAGGTAATGACTCCGCTACCGCTGTGTAATTTTTCTAACGCCTCCAGGTCAATCACGAGAGCTGGACATCTCCACCGATGCGAACATTTTCAAGTCCAATTGCACGTCGTGGACAGGGTTCCAGCCTGAGGTCATGGAATTAGCTGTCACTCATACTCGCAAGTAAGTCAATCGTAATCACTCCCAAATCCATGAACTCAACTAAACACCCACAGCTTCGATTTGCCAGACGATGTCTTCGAGCCCGGTGAGGTCAAGCCTGTTCGGCCGAAGAAGAAGGTCATCAAGAGGACGGAAGCAGCCGGCCAGAAACGGAACATCAGCCAGTTGGACGTAAGTGTACAGAAGAAAGCGAGACGAACCTGACTTGGCAAGAGACCAATCCTGGAATCCGCTATCCAACGTCCTACAAGACAATTTCCCAGGATTCCGACAACTAGGAAAGACTAATACCAACATTGATTTCCAGGGCTCGTCAGAAGTAAACGCGAAACGCCATGCCGCCACTCCAGCTTGAAGCACTCCCCGATCATACCTTGTCCTTATACACCACGCCGGGGCTGGTCCCCATTGAAATTGATAACAGAAACTGTCCGAACGTCGTTGAATTGCCAGAGGTCTCTGACCTGTGATCTTACAGTCCTACTCACAAGAAGTGATCATTTAACTCCGGGCCTGCGAGTTGCCATACGGTGAACCTCCCTAACCCTGAAGTACAAGGTTGGTTTTCTCTTCTCTGTCTTCTGCGTTGTTGCTGGATAAGCAACTAGATCTGAGACATGCCTTTTTCTTTGAGCAGTCCCTCGGGACATTTTCACATGGTGCATATCTACCTGCATCAGCTTTCTTATGTTCCATATCTCATCGGTGTAGTATTTCCTTGGTGCTACAGGCTGGCTTTTATCCGCTGTATGTATCCATTCGACATCTTGCAGATAGTTCAAATAGTTGAATGCAATGTGTCCTGCGGCATGCGGGCTACACTTAATCCACCAATATCATTTCTCAGTCTTCCAAAGGAATCACTGGGTAGAAGTGTGATCTGATGCGATATCTCTAAAAGACTTGTATAAACCGATCTTTGAACAACAAATTACCATTCAAATTGCTTGAACAGCCAATGGCTGATACGGCTCCTCCAATGATTCCATCTCCTCCCGCGACAACTGAACATCAAGAGCCTCAAGAGCCCCCTCAATCCGCTTCTCACTATTCAGCCCAACAATAGGACAAGCCCCCTTACGCAACAACCAAGCGATGGAAAGCGCCCACATCTCACACCCCTTCTTCCTAGCCAACTCCCCAACACGACGAACAATCTCCTCATTCTGCCCTCCAACAAACCACTTCTTAGTTTTCTCATCCTGGCCGGCTCGCGCAGAAAGCTCATTCCACGACCGAGCCAACAACCCACGCGCCAACGGACTCCACGGAATCAAGCCCACGCCCTCGGCTTCGCAGAATGGGTTCATTTCCCTCTCTTCTTCCCGATACAGTAGGTTATATAGTCCTTGCATACTAACAAAGGATGTCCAATGGTTCATCTTTGCTATATATTGCAAACGTGCGAATTCCCAGCAGTGCATACTCGACCCACCCAGGTATCGCACTTTCCCCATCTGAACCAGGTCATGAAGAGCGCGCATTATCTCTTCGGGAGGTGTTTCAGTGTCGAGTCTGTGCAGCTGCAGGACATCGATGTACTCTGTATTCAGTCGACGTAGGGATCCGTCCACGGCATCGAAGATGTGTTTTCGACTTAGGCCCATTTGATTCACCAGTGGGCCGTCGTTGACTGCTGGGTTTGGTCGTGCGTCTAGATCGTCTTCGAGGACAGGATAGTAGAGTTTTGTCATGATCACGACTCGGCTTCGTGGGATTGAGTATTTGGTAAGGGCTTTGCCAAGGATGGTTTCTGAGACTCCGTTCGAGTAGGTGTTTGCTGTGTCGAAGGTGTTGATTCCCATGTCGTAGGCCTTTTTTATCAGTGGGAGGGATTTCTCTTCGTCTAGTACCCAGGGTGAGCCTTCCCAGTTGGGATTGCCGTATGTCATGCAGCCTAGGATTATTCTTGAGACCTTGAGGCCGCTTTTTCCTAGGTGTTGGTATTCCATTTTGCGGGGAGATGATTGTTTAGTGTCGCTTGAAATCAAGCTTGAAGTTTGTATATTCATTTTAGGTTTGGCAAAGTAGGATTTCGGTTCTTCCAAGGTGGCTAGTTAAAATATTGGAGGTTATAAATGTCCGCCGAGTACTCGGACAGCTCTCCGCAACATAAGCAATCAATGCAAATACCCTCCAGGGCAAGGTAAGAACGCTAGTTTACCTGAGAAGGCACATCCTGTCGCTTCTGAAACCGTTTGTTTATCATACAAGACAACATAAACCACTTATAAATTCGTACCATTACTCGAAGGTCAAATATCAGTAGACATCATTCCGGGGAACGTGAATTCCCCAAAGTCCGCCAACAAAAAATCATCTACAGGTTCAACAAGTGCCTCCCCAGGGAAAGTGAATGAGCTCGGCGGCGGCATATGAGTAGACTTGTGAGTATAATCCATAGAGCCAATCGCGCGCCCAATTGACGAAGGTAAATGCCCATCCCCATGCAACACACTAACACACTCACGTAACTTCCTTGTTAAGCCAGGTGTCATTCTGCAAATTGGATGTTGTTGAACAGCGGGGATATCCTGGAATAGTTCAAGCACTTTCTGGATCAACTCAAAATTCTGACCAGGCGCAAATGATAGCTGGCCGTGGTAGTTCTGAGTTACCTCTAACAGGAAATGACCGGCGAAGGCAATCATGATATGGAAATAGTGTGGCATTCCAATGAGACTCTGTTGAAGATCCTCATTGAGAATCATTTCAAAAATTGCCACGGCGGCTTCGTGGGCCATACTGGCGGCTGTCAGGAAATATGGTGGTATAGTCTCACCGTCCAAGCCTTTGAACACCTGATGTCCGAGGTACAGCTTTCCAAAGTGGTAATGGAGCTGTAGGCCGCGTTTGGGAAAATCACCTATGCGTGGATCTGGCTTGAAAAGTGCGGAAAATTTGGTGAACCATCGATCTAGTTGGCGCGAATAGTGAACGATCTGGTTTGATAATGATTGTGGTACTCGGGTTTCTTGATCCGACCCAAGCAGGTCTCGGACTTGGCTCATTATCACCAGTAAGGAAACTTGGGATATTATCCGCACGTCACAGTCTGTCGTGTCTTCTCGAGCAAGAAATGTTTCTGCATTCAACGCAATTTCTTTATCGCTGCGGAGTAGCGGATCTCGATTGTGAAGAATAGAGAGGTGTTGATCAGAGATAAATGTTAGATACCAGAGTCTCACACGGTCTTGTAGTGCTGCAGTATCGTGTAGGGGCTGCGTAGTCCCATAATTGCCAGCTATCAGCCGATGATCTATTGGGACCGAGAGATGATCAAAGCTGCGATGAAGGCGCATGTCTGCTGCCCGACGGATGGCATCACTCGAGAGAATTCTCGAGGCATCTGACAACCAGAATGAACTTATGCATAACGCACGAATGTGTTCGATATTGTGCTTCTCAAACAGCGACCGGGACACCAGACGGCGAAATTCGCGATTGCATACTTCGTAGACACGTTGCGCTTGAGGATCTTGCAATGCTGATACTGTGCAGATAGCAGCAAACAACACTGGGGATGTTGTACGGATCTCTTGAATGCTTTGGTAGCCACTGCATATCCCATATAGATATGGATCCAGCCGTGCGATGTATCGTTCCACCAGAATCTCGGCGATTGTAGCAGTAATTATCCCTTTGCTGACAAGGTCTTGAGGCAGTGGGTTCTGCCTATGTCGTGTTGTACTCGGTGGCGTATTTTCCGAAGATCCTGGACTTCCTAGTTTGGCAATATCGAGATACGTATCGATGGGAGCGTGGACAGCAGACGGAGTATCCGGTGGAGATATCTCACAACCATCCAAGTCTTCATCATCTCGCTCTAGATCATGATTCTCACTTCTCTTCTCGCCTACCTCGACCGGATCCCTAGTTGATGAAGATAAAAGAGCTTTTGGTCGAGGAAGGTTGAGATACTGGCAGATGTTGTCTAGGGTTTCGTGAATCCCTGACACATCACTTTGTAGAACCTCGGTATTCCTGGAAAAGAATGAGCTTGGCTCCGATGGCTAGGATGAATGCAAGCAGCGGATTACTTACTTGACCTCCTCAACCAATGACTGCAGACTTTTGTTCAGAATACAGCTGAGATCTCGACGCCTACATCGCGTGCATGGTGGCCCATTGGTCATGTCACATTTGATCTATCCCTGTTAACCTCAATCCGTATCACGCTCGACTCATCACACACCTTCTGTTTCCTACATGCACCGCATGCTGTGATCTTCCGGGTAATCCCCGGCAAAACGTCAAGCACAGCTGGCTCCTTCGAGTAAGAAACATTTGAGGCCGGCAAGGTTTCCGGATCGTCGTCGGTCAAGGTCCGCTTGCGCTTCACCATCATTTCACTAGAGAGTAATCAAGGAACACAAAGACAAGAAGGCACCGGTGAATACCCCGAGTTTATGAATGGAGAAGCGGGGGAGCCCTGTGCCCCGGATTGACGAAATAACCTCAATTTCATTCGCTGAGACGTTCTTTGTCCAGTTCAGAAAATGCAGATCGCTTCATTCCCGGGACAATTCCCCATAGCTGCTTTGATTGGGGCAATCCCCTCATCTACGGCTCATCGGTGGAAAAGACTCCGGAAACCCGCCGATCTCGGACACTCGCCGAGTTACTATGAGGGACTTGCCCTATCGCGTATTTCATTAAGTATAAGGAAAAACAGACAGCCGTATTCGCACGTATTAAGCTTTTGTACAAGGATCTAATTACACCATGACTTCTACCATTGCGAAGAAAGCTACCTTCATTCCACCGGGGATCTACTGTCCGGTCATCTCGCTCTATAAACCAACACCCCGACAGGAAATCGATTACGACGCGTCATACAAATTCTTCTCGTACCTCATCCGCGGTGGTGTCGATGGCCTAGTACTTGCTGGAACTACTGCTGAAGCAGTTTTATTGTCTGCGGAAGAAAGGAAAGAATTGGTCAAAATTGCCAGGAAAACAGCCGTGGATCTCGGTCGCCCAGACTTCCCTGTTGTCGCGGGAATCAGCGGCCAATCCACAAATGAGTCGATCAGACTGGCAGAGGATGCACTGAGTGCGGGCGCAAGTTTTGGATTGCTGCTCCCGCCGAGCTATTGGGCCAAGGCAGTTACCAAGGATGCTATTGTTGGGTTCTACCGAGATGTCGCTGATGCGACAACATTACCCATTGTTATCTACAGTGTAAGTCTCTCAATTTGCTGTTGGTTAAACCATTCGTCTAATGCGAAACAGTTCCCCGCAATGTGTAACGGCATTGATATGAATTCCGACACATTATCCGAACTCGCCCAGCATCCGAATATTGTTGGGGTGAAATTGACCTGCGGAAATGCTGGAAAAGTGACCAGACTCACCCAGGAGTATACCCATGAGCAGTTCGCCGTCTATGCTGGATCATCAGACTGGCTTATTCCTTGTCTTGCTGGTGGCGGGGGTGGTTGCGTTACTGGGATTGCCAATGTGTTCCCTAAATGTGTTGCGCAACTCTACTCCTTGTGGAATCAAGGGAAGACCAAGGAAGCGAGCGAATTACAAGGCCTGGTCGCTCAAGCGGAAAAGGCATGCAAGGAAGGTATTGCAGCCACTAAGTTTGGTACTGCTCATTTTGCTGGACCGCTGGCTAGTATAACCGATCTGAAGGCTTTTTGGCCTCGGAAGCCATATGCTCCTTGTGGAGAGGAGAAGTCGGCTTGGGTGGTGAAGGTGATGCAACATCTAGTAGAGGTAGAGCAGAGTTTGCCGGATGGAGTTTAGAAATTTAAGATATAGACATACCCTTCTTATTGAACGAAATTTGCAAATAAAATCCTAATGAGCCAGTGAAAAGTATCTCGCATACATACCTCTTGGTCCGTTCATTATCAGCGTTCCTTTGGCCCTGTATAGTACCAGACACCCTTCTGACTTGTTTACTGAATAGTGCTACATTTAATATAAGACAATGCGACACTAACAGCGTAGAGAATGGTCAATTCTATATATTGGACAAGAATAGATGTACAAGCTCATGCCTCGAAAAAGTCTTCTCGCAACTGCATATACTTTATCCGCTGCCTCCAAAAAGTAAATGCGACATGGATAGTCCTGTTACCTTCCACCAGAATACTAGGATAAGACAACTCACGATTGAGCTTCTCCTCACTATTGTTAGTCAGGCAATACCCATCTCCCTCCTCTAGGGTCTTCCATTTCCAGGTAGCACCATTATCGTCACTCCAAGCAACAGACAACGGGGCCCTAGGCGCTCCCCAAAACGCCTCCTTCCCATGCTTGGTAGCCTGATTAGCTCTTGTGTCGGTTCCGTCACTGATATCATCATAGAGACCATTCCTCCGACCGAGAGCGTCCTGCTTTGACGAGTGGTTATACACCAGAACTACCCGACCCGATGGAAGGACGTCAAAACAGATACCTGCGTTCGGGTTCGGGAGGACAGTCTGCTTAGGCTCAATCCAGTCCAATCCATCTGAAGAAGTAGATAGGTAGACGCAGTCCGCCCACCGGCTTCGGAAGAGTCCGAGATAGGACCCATTCTTCAGTCGTTGAATGTTCATATGTACACACCCATAGCTGTTTGGGATCTCCTTCTCGATCCAGGTCTGGCCCTCATCCTTTGATACCCGAATACAGGATATATCATCACTCCCTAGCCATCGTGTATCTGGCTCAGCGCGGCATTTGAAGATGGGGACAACCCATGCTCCATCGTGTAGTACGACGACAGGTTGGCGGATGAAGGTGCCCGGGTCACTAAAAAGGACGGCTGGCTCTGACCAAGTAGTACCGCTGTCGACGGAGATCAACTGTTTGACGATAGCCGAGTCTTGGTTCCCCGCATCTTGGGAAGTGTACAACAGTCGAATTTCTCCATTCGAGGGACTACGGAAGAGGACGGGGTTTTGTTCGCTGCGTGTGCGGTCGTGCGTCATTTTCACTGCCTCTGTCCAGGAACTATGTCCTGCTGGAAGACAGGACATATAAATGCAGATATCAGGTCGACCTTCAATGCTTCCGCCAAACCAGGCGCAGAGTAGGTCACCATTTGGGAGCTGGAGGAGGTTGGAAGCATGGCATTGTGAAGTGAGAGCGGGGATGTAGGCTTCAGAGTAGCTGTAGGGTCGGGTTGGTGATTGTTGAAGGGTTGGATCAAATTTTGGCCCTTCAAGCAGAGTCGTGGTAGTTGCCATCGTTACTAGCTGTGATCAAAGGGCAGTGTAGATGCTTGAAACTGTCGGACGACAGCTGGCAAATATTTTATGACCCTTATCTTATCTGTATAGTTTTTCGCCCGTGGCCCAAATGCGAAAGATGATCCCATCCATCGGCTTGCTCCCCGAGATGCAGTTTTGAGGCTAAATTCCGGGGGACAGTCCGAATCCGATGCTTCCACTCCACTCCCCCACTTCCCCATGGGGAACGCAAGGTGGAGGTCTCGGCATGCATAGCTACATTCCTGACGTAGGAAATCCTAGTGGCGTGTTTGGCTGGACACAAATTAACGTTGTCTATATATTGACCCGCACCTCTATCCCGCCATTCGCGGTTTTTTTTTTTCTCGATCCCTACGAGGAATCCTCAGAGGCCTGTGATATATTTCAAATCATCGACGATTGTTGAGAATACCCTCCGAAGCTACCATGGCGGGAGGAACAAGCATTTGGTTTAGCAGCGAGGCGAAGACTGATCCGAAGGAGATTTTCAATCTTCGCCTTCTCTATCTGCTCGTTGCCGTTGCCTGGGGAGGATCCTTCTATGGATTTGACACAGGAAACATAGGGGGGAATATTGACGCTTCCGTCCTTCAGAAATGCATTCGGTTTGAACAACGTATCTCAAGCCGTGGAAGATGACCGCAAGGTAAGTTGACCTTCCCCACTGGAAGCTTTCTTTGATGGATGATTGACAATTTACAGGGAACAATCGCCTCCATGCTTGCAGCAGGTGGATCAGCTGGTGCCCTACTTGCTGCGCCAACGTCGGACTATTTCGGTAGAAAATGGTCAGTCTTTGGCTGGGGCATCGTTTTTGTGATTGGTGCGGTAATGCAAATGATTGCCGATTATGAAGTGCTCCTTGCTGGACGATTCATTGCAGGCATGGGAGTCGGTGCATCTTCAATGCTCACTCCCCAATTTCTGGCAGAGAACTCGCCCAAATCTGTGCGAGGATCGATGACTGCAACATACAATCTGATGATTGTGACCTCACTCATGTTGGCGTTCTGGGTAAACTACGGCGTTGCGAAGTGGTCTTTCCCAGGTGTTGAGTATGACGACGCCCAATGGAGATCGGCGATGGGGATTCAGATCATTCCTGGTGCCTTGCTCTGCCTGATGGTTCCGTTCGTTCCAGAGACTCCGCGATATTTGATCAATCATGGCAAGGCCGAGCAAGGCCTGAAGAATATTTGTAAATTGCGGAAACTTCCTGCCGATCATGAATATGTGCAGACTGAGTTCCGTGAGATCGAGGCTCAGGTTCGACATGAGCAGGAGTGCTTCGTGGGACATAACTATTGGGTTGTATTCAAGGACATCTTTACATCGAAGAGCAACTTCCAGCGCTTCTTCTTGTCGATTATGTTATTCCTCTTCCACAAATTCACGGGTACTGACTCCTTGAACGTGGGTTCCCTTCATTCTTCCTACTTGGTAGTCCTATGGCTAACGTGGCTCTCAGTACTACGCACCGGAGATTTTTGCCTTGATTGGAGTCAAGAGTGGCTCCTCCAGCTTACTTACCACCGGTGTATATGGAGTGGTGAAGACGGTTGTCACGATTATCTACGTGGGATACCTTGTTGATCGCATCGGTCGTCGGATTCCCCTTCTTATTGGAGCAACGCTTCAAGCCACAGCCATGCTATATCTTGCATTATACCTTCGCTTCACTGATACCACCGCGGATAGTGTAGGCGGGACTCCTGCCGGAGGTATTGTTGGGATTGTTTGGATATATATCTACGCGTTTGGATGGTCTTTCGGCCACTCTGTCGCTTGCTACGTGGTCGCAGCTGAAGTGTTCCCAACCAGAATTGTGAGTTTTCACCAAATCTCATCTCAGTAAAAAGAATACTAACAGAAATAGCGATCATTCTGCATGGCTATATGTTTCTTTATCAACTGGATCGTCGACTACGGCATTACGCGAGCCACACCAAACATGATCACTGAAATGGGCTGGGGTGTATTCCTATTATATGCAATGCTCACGTATCTGGGGGTTGTATTTGTATTTTTTTGTCTGCCAGAGATGAAAGGTCGGTCGATGGAGAGTATGGACGATTTATTCGAGCGCCCATTGTGGACCATGTGGAAGCATGCGTACCCCACCGAGGAGGAGAAGATGAGACGCGATGTCCGAGAGGAGATGAACAGCAAGATTCAAGCTGTCAGGGACGATGGAAAGAATCATCGCGCCGAGCATGTGGAGACTGCTTAGTTTGACGCATAGTTAATCATCTGCCTAATATGAGACGAGATATGAACATTGCAGTAACCTAAAAAGTCTTTCGACGTTTTGCTTCATTAGTCGTAGGATGCGGTATCATTCCGAGAGGTCGGAGGTGTTGCGAGTGCATCGACTTCCGGCTTTCTCTCCGCTGTCTGGCTTAAACGGAGAGCTCCAGTGGTTGCGCGCTATACCCCGCAAGAGCTTGATAAAGCTAATGTAGTTTCCTGTGTCACGATCATAGGAAATTGAAACACAATTCACCATGGCAGGACTTCAGAACAAAGCGTTCACCTTGAACACGGGAGCCAAAATTCCTGCAATTGGCTTTGGAACATGGAAGGCTGGCCCTGGCGAAGCGGCAGCGGCTGTGAAAGCTGCGTTCAAAGCCGGCTATAGACACTTTGTAAGTCTTTTCCCCTCTCATTATCTTACTGCATTCAAGCTGACGTGTGATGTGGATCTCAGGACTGCGCACCGTTATGTGCGTTTCTATTAAGCTAGCCCTCACTCTTACACAACTAACATACGAATATAGATGGAAATGAAGCCGAAATCGGACAAGTGTTCAAGGAAACCGACGTCCCCCGAGAAGAATACTTCGTAACAACTAAGCTGTGAGCTACACTCCATGAGCACAAAGGAATCTATTCAAAGCTGATATTTCTACCCGAATCATAGCTGGTCCTCCGATCACCGCCGCATTACGTCCGCCCTCCAAAAGTCCTTAGACGACCTGTGTCTAGACTACGTCGATCTTTACATGATGCACTGGCCCGTAACGCTACCCACCGCATCGCCAGGAACATACGGCAAGGAAGACCGTACCACACACGACCCAGACTGGGACTTCACAGATACGTGGCGCGAAATGGAGAAGCTGCTAGCAACCGGGAAAGTCCGGGCGATTGGTGTTGCGAACTTCTCGACCGTGAACCTTGAAAAATTACTCAAGAGCTGTAACACTGTTCCTGCCGTGAATCAAACGGAGATTCAGCCCTTGCTTCCTCAGAAGAAACTGAATGCTCTCTGCGCTGATAAAGGCATCCATCAAACTGCTTTTGGGCCGCTTGGAGGTAGTGGAAGTACGCTTCACACAGATCCCATTGTGAGTGGTATTGCAGACAGGAGAGCATGTAGCTCTGGGAATGTGCTGTTAAGCTGGGGTGTGAAGAAAGGTTGGAGTGTGATTCCAAAGAGCGTCAAACCGACGCGTATCGTGGGGAATCTGCAAAAGTGTTTCGTGATGGACGATCAAGAGGTGGCGCAAATTGATCAGTTAGTCAACACGCTTGGAGAGAAGCGATTCAATCGGCCTAACTGGGGGGCCGTGATCTTCCACGATGATCGAGAAAATGTGCAATGCGAAAATTGAGACATCCATACGAGCGAAAAGCTAAATACGAGACAGGTGTGTGTGTTTGATCAAATGTAACATGAAAGCTATATGTTATTCCCACTACCCCTTAATGAATTCGTGCCTCAATTAATTTGGTTAAGATCTCGTAGTTTTGTTAAAAGAACACCCAGGAAGATCTTGAAAATATCATGGGAAGTGATATGGGCATGTTTGCCTCAGTATTCAGATCTTGTGATTTGCTAGCCCTAGGTTATATGACTATTTGATCTGCTGTTTCTTCCTAGAGAATAATCATTCTCTTCTTCTCTCCTGTCGTCTCGGGGTCTTCCGCTGTCAATAAGTTTAAAGGGAACAGAGTTAACGGCTTCTATTTTCGCCTGTGGCTATAATAAAGAGACATCCTTCCTGCGACCATCATTTATTCTTACCTACCTCTAACTTTTTGACTTGCCTCTTACTCTCCCATCTACCACTTTTCTAAGCACTCTTTGACTCTGCCAACCGAGGAATTGGATATCCTTGTCCAATGAAACGCCAGACACGCCAGACAAAGTACGTTCTGAGATCTATTTGTGATAATTCTTTACTTACTCATACGATTGCCTGAACAGATTAGAATTTGAACAGTCCGAATAGCTCAAAGATGGTGATCTTTTAGAAACTTCCATTTTTCAAATTTTTCTCGTCATGAATTTACGCAATTTCAGCTTCAATGATCATCTCATACTCCTGAGGATCAGGCCAAAAGTTGACAATCTTCAACCCAGCATCAGTCAACAGCCTCGTCCACGCATCTTGTGTACGCTCAGAAGCGGATAGCAACGACATCATCTCCACATCCATCGTGGTCTGGCTAATACTAGCTCCAGTAGGCGGAAGAACGATATCATAGATAAAAAGCTTTGAGTAGCCTTTGACCATTGCATCTCTAGTATTCTCCAGCAATTGTTTGGCCTTATCATCTGGCCAATCGTGAAGAACAGCGTGCATAAAGTAAGCACGGCTCCCTATGACTTAAATGTTAATAGATGAACTTGATGCGTACGTTTCAGTCTCTCTCACCCTTGACAGGCTGTGGTAAGAAGAAGTCATGATTCATTGCCGTGATCTTCTCGTCAACCTGTGCCTTGGCAATAACCTCCGGAAGGTCCTGCAGAACTAGTGCCCCAGCGGGAATGTCAGGATGCTTGGCAAGGACGTGTGAGATGTCGATTCCGGTATTTCCACCAACATCAACCACTAGCGGGGAGCCATCTCCCAGCTTGGCATTTTCAAGCAGACGAGTTGTATCGTACACTTTGGTCCAGGGGGTCTTCCATGCTGTCCAGGCTTCCATATGGCCGGTAAAGGCCTCAAGGCAATCGGGACTTTTCTGCAGTCTTTCAAAGAAGTTAAGGCCATCCGGATCGCTGGCCGAGTGATTGTTCACATTGACGTCAGTAGGCTCCTTGTAGGAGATTTGGGCTAGATATGCGGGCAGATTGTGACCAGCAGCAATATATTGGTTTGTTCTGGTGTACCTGTGAGTATGATGACTAGATTTAAGTGGCGGATCGTACGCACGCTGCTTGAATGGATGCTCGAACCTTGGTACTTTCCTCACCGATGGCGTATGAAAACGGGGTTGGTTTGAATGTGTCTTCCAATGTCTCCTCAATGACATTGAATGCCGCTAGCAAACGGAACAACCGACCTGTATCCAAGATGTCAGTCAAAAGGAGCGAAGTTTATCTGGGATGATGGCTTACGGAGCAAGTTTGTGTCCACAATTGGACTGGTAAGTTCCACTAGCTCGTCGATGGTCTTCTTGCCACCTCCCACCATAGTCCAGGATTTCCACAGGCCTACATCAATGCAAGTTTGTAAAGCAGCAAAAACGGCAGGGTGTTCAAAACAGAATCCCCAAGCGCGTTCGTAAGGCGTTTCAACCCTGGCAAGTAGGCGGCGAGCTGCTGCACGTACTTTGAGGCGTTCTACCTCGTTTCCGCTAAATACCTCAGGCTCCACTGCATCGAGAGAGGTGATAATTTGGTCGGTGTCAGATAGTACTTTGGAAGGCATTTCGGACTGTTCAGATCGAGCTTCGGCTGGACACAACACGTTTGTGACAGGTATAGGAGAGTGGATAAAAAGATCATGCAAGACCCGAGCAACATGCAGGCTACGGCACAAAGCTTTATATACATGAAGACGACATGGCACTAAGGGCTGCCACATGGTGAGCGAAAAATCACAGGAATTATCCTTCGACCAGCAGCGCCAATGGATTGGCAATTGCCCAGTTAGAACATGAAGCCAGATATAATGTGGATTCGAAGATTAAAACCCCTCACCACTAATGCAGTATCAATGCGCAGCACTCGCCCTTAACTAGTAGCGCTCTAAAGGTTTGAGGCGCCAGAACGCCAAGGTCTGAACGTGCCGTACAGTTTAGCCGTTCGATCGCTCGCCCGTTCAATCCGGCTTCAATTCCGCCATCCGAAGTGGGGAAATTGGTCGAAATTGTCGAGCGGCATTGTGCTGCTTTGACGACCTGTGAATGCATCTTTTCGGAGATTGGCATGTCATACTGTAGAATATTTTGATATATCAGTTTTCTCGTCTCCCACGAAGCAACTTTGTTAGCCATCTTTCTGATCGACATACCAATCTGCGTGTTAAGGATGGACCAACTACCTACATCCATTCTACGTTGATGTGTTCAAGCTACACTGATTTGTTCACTTGACAACATGTTATCCTCCCGCAAAGGCTCGAAACCAGCCCGCTCCAAGCGCGGGATAACGCTGTTCGCGTATATGGACGTAGAGCAATTTTGGAAAGGAAGACGGATGTTTCAAATCCCAGAACCTTGTTTTTCGATATGGATTTTATCTATCACTTTTGTGTTTTACGTCTTTGTCTGACAGCTGGCACCAAACCAAATGTGGACATCACCCCGACTCCAGAGCGGAGAATTTCTCCACATTATCTCTCCATGAGCCTTACAGATATGATAATGTTTCCCATTGCATATGATTGATAGTTCACACCCAAGCGAAGGGGACCTGTACGTTGTCAACTATGTTAAGGAATAATCGCTGTCTATTCTGGCTACGCCACTGCAGATCCACATAACCGGGGAAGCGGGAACATGAAGGCATCCAAAGAGACAGCTCGTGCTCTTTGCGCTAGGTGGAATCGGCAACGAGTCTGGGCTCCAGCGGATTTAGACTGTCCCAGTTTTATTGCCCCCGGCCGTTGGGTGACAGCGGCCAACGAGGTTGTCTTTACTCTATCATCATTGATGGCTTACCCCAAATAGTGGTGCGTTCGCATGTATCCCGGTACCTTGGTCAAGGACTCGATGGTTCATCTCCCAAAAGGACTATCTTCCGCTCTTGGACGTCTTTTAATGGTGAAGGACAAATAACCTACAGCTCATTCTCTACGTGAGTTGCATTTCTGGAAATACTAGTGACTCTCGCATGCACCCCACCCAGCGACCAATGGCAATTCACTGCCTCTGAAGTAACCTCCGGCCGTTATCTGTCAGAAAAGCCGTCCGCTGTGGTCCCGCATCTTACTATATTGAGCAGTAGCTTAATTGCCGGTCCACATTTGTATATTTTCCGTCCAATATGCTGACAGGGTCTATAGGATCATCATGGTTGATATGACCTATCAATATTTTCCCGGACTTACTCGTGTGGGGCTGTCACTCGGATACGGTCGAGGCTTACCCGCCTAAAACTATACACAAATGGATATCCCGAGCCCGTAGGACGCCCCTGAGAGCCCGACATGTGCCAGTGGGTGTTTCATATGCCACCCTACAGGTCACAATTCTAAAATCCTAATCTCCCGTAGGTTTAATTCTCTCATCGGTAGCATGTGAGGCTTAATGAAGGGCATAATGATCACGTCCTAGCGTACCTTGCTCCGAGTCGGGAGCAAGAGATAACGGTAACCAAGTTACACATCATAAACACTTTCATACTAATACGGTCAACCTCATACTCCTGGAAGAATTGGAGCTCCTCAGCTTTAATCATCTCAATGATCATTGTACTGAATTTGTGAATTCAAGACGGTCATATTCAACATGGGTGTTTACGGCGGTCTAGGACCTATGACAAATGCAGTTCTTTGGGTTCACGTCGTTATATTTGCTGTCTTTGTGGGGCTAAGGCTCTATACACGAAAATGTATCTTGAACGCTGTCGGTGCCGATGATTATCTGGGCATTCTTTCGCTGGTGAGCGATTCGTATGTTCCGTTTAATGCCAAAGGCTGACTCCAAATAGATTCTGCAAATTGCTTACACGGCTTTAGTTACCGAGGCAAGTCGCTACGGCCTTGGGCAAAAGCTTGCTGATGTCGGGGACCCAGCGATCTACTTTACAGCAGTCAAGTATGAGCTGTTCAGCCAAGTGGCCGGGATAATGGTCATTGGGGTAGGAAAAGCTGCTGTGGGAATGTTTCTCCTTCGCATCGTTCGGAACCACATCCAGATTTGGTTCATTCGGGTCTGCCTTGCAATCACTGCTTTTATCACTGTTTTTGCCAGTATCACGGTGATCGTGCAATGTACCCCGGTCGAAAGGAGCTGGAACCCAACTGTCAAGGGAACATGCTGGCTGGACTTTTCTAAGGTTGGCTACACTGTTGGCTGTGAGTAACATACAACTCCGCGCAAAACGGATTTAGAATGCTAACCACAACTTTTTCCAGCGTGGTTTGTCGCCGCCGACTTCTCTTTCGCGATTCTCCCATGGTTCGTTGTCTGGGATCTCAACATGAAACAAAAAGAGAAAATCACAGTGGCTTTAGGTCTTAGCCTTGGAGTCTTGTAAGTCCGGAACTACCACATTTTTGGGAATCTTCCTGACGGATATAATTCAGCGCTGGAGTCTGTGGAATTGTCCGCACCGTGGCTCTGTCGGGGCTCAACGCGTCAGAGTACATATGTTAGTGGCCTCCAAACTGTTCTCAATAAACACAACTGACCATCCCAAGATGATACTGTACCAATGCTTATCTGGTCCGCAACTGAGAGTACCGTGACTATTATGTGCTCTACAATCCCTGTTCTTCGACCTCTCTACATTCGCGTCAGATATGGGAAGGATGGCAAAGACAGCAGCACCCCTGGTAACTCTTCCTACAAATTGCCCTTGTATGGAAGTGGCCGGAAGTACGGCATACTTTCGCTCCCCGGCCCTGGCTCCTCTATTGTTGAACAGAAGAGTGGCACATACCAAAGTACCATTATGAAGCACCAAAAAAGCAACACTAGCGACGAAACCATTCTTCGTGGGGCTGCTGGCATTGAGAGGATGGACGAAATATCGGTCACCTATGAGCCATATGGTAAAAAGTTCTAAGAAACGCGTTATCGTATCAATTGTACTGGGAGGGACATAACTGTTTCTTTTCTTTTCCTTTCTTTTTTATTATGTACATTTGCTGATGACTACGCATGGTTTCGAAGCTCATAGTGTTCGCTTATGAACAGCGACAGCGTCTCCCAGGGTTCAACACTCCCATACATGCATACCGTTTTGTGTAGTGTCACACTTCCTTTTCGTCACCGCAACTGACTCCGGGTACATGTGTCTATCATGAAATCATGTATCTGAATGCAATTAGCACCGTACGCGTTGCAATACGATAACGGAAGCATTTGATTGATAGTGAGCAAACACATAAAGTTTCAAGCTGGTACATGAAGTATTGAAGCAGAGATATGTAATCTTAGCGGAAACATATGCAGCTTTTATTCGCGCCTTATGTTCGACATCCGCCCACTTATCTGCCCACTTACCTCTTCAGGTAAGGATACGCGCCAGCACCGCTTCCAGGGGAGACTCCGCATCTCCAAAAAATCAACGCATTTCGTACCACTACCATTTGCGTTCTCAAATAATCAATTGCATCGCTTGAGCTCCGATTCAATTTATACAATTTGCCTGCATCATGGAAGCTATACGCCCCTTCGAATCTGCGGGCCCTATCAAACCAATAACCTGCGTAGAGATGCACACAGCAGGCGAACCAACTCGAATTATATGGGAAGGTATCCCACCATTGACAGGGACCCTACTCGAACAGCGCGCCCAAGCCAAACGCCAATTTGATCAATTCCGACGGGTGCTGATGCTCGAACCCCGCGGCCACTACGATATGTATGGCGCGATTCTACGTCCAGAAACAGAGCTGGTCGCTTCCGGAGAAGCTGATATTGGAGTCTTGTTCATGCACAATGAAGGCTTCTCGACTATGTGTGGCCATGCGACGATCGCGCTGGGGAGGTTCCTTGTTGATATTGATGAGAGTATTTTCCCACGTCGGAAGCAGTTGAAATATGATGCCGCTTCTGGTACTACCGCGCTTAACTTGCATGTTCCTTGTGGTGTTGTTGAAGTTTCTGTTCCGACTCTGGAATCGGGGAAGTCAGATCCTTCGAGGCCTGTGTCATTCATTTCAGTGCCTTCGTTTGCGACGGCTATCTCTCTGGAGGTTCCATTGTCTGAGAAGTACCAGTGGCCGGAGCTGAAAGGAAGAGCGTCTGTTACGGTAGATTTTGCCTATGGTGGTGCCTACTATGCTATGATCAGTTCAGAAGAACTAGGATTCCCTGGTGGCTTGGGTGATGTCAAACTCCAAGAGATGGATATTGCAACCAAATTGCTGAAGCAAGCGGTGGTCGCAAACCCCGATCTGGAATACCTCACTAAAGACATCTTGACCGGGAAGTCAGGGTTCTTGTATAGCATCATGATCACAGATAGAAACTTGGGACATGTTGATGCGTCGGAGGGATCTGCAGCCTCTCGTGCCCAACTGGACGCAACTAGCGAAGAAACAGGTCTATGTTTCTTCGCTAATCAACAGATTGATCGTTCTCCGACTGGTGGCTGTGTCGCTGCAAGAGTTGCCCTAGCACGTGCCAAGGGTGCTTTGTCCGTTGGAGAGAAGAGAGTCTATAATTCCCTAGTGACTCGGGCGTACAATGGCCTTTCTGGTTTTGTTGGGTCTGTGTTTGATGAGGCCGAGGGAGACAAAGGGCAGCGGAGTGTCAGAGCCCGAGTTGAGGGATATGGATATTACACCGGGTACCATTCGTTCGTGGTGGAAAAAGAAGATGGACTTGGTGTGGATGGGTTCTCTGTTCGCGATATCGCTTTATAGAAGGTTGTTGGCCTAGGCTCATACGTAAGGATGGGAACAGCATGTCCAGGGGACTGATAGCTGTCAAATCTAACGACTGTTTGATGGTAGCCAAGTGATCAACTGGCCGCTTCCCGTCTTGATGAGCATTCTTCGCTTCTAGTAGCAACGCCGCTAATGCGGTACTCAGCGGCGACTACAACGCCCATCTTTTTCCGTATGTCCGGACCTTTTAATCCTCGACCAGAACCATCAAAACACTGATGTAACCGATTTTGATCATAAGATGGTCGTAATTCCTTCGCTGAAGCGGCATGTTGTTCGCTGACAAGATATCTGCAGGGCAATCCTAGAAGGACCCCCATTCTAGGCGTTTGGACCCTACCTACGCTCACTAAGCCTGATTACATAGGTCTTATGCAGTAATCGTATTTCAATGCATTAATCGCTAAAAATCCATCAATTTCTTGGCAATGCTAATGCCCTGAGATTGGCGGTCATAGATCCGAGGTACTTCTATTTACTATGCATCCGCCTAGTAAAATTAAGTCACTACCATCCCGTATAACGAGCAACTGGCTTCCTGGCCCCGGTCGGCTAGGAAGACATCTTGTCAAATAGGAATAGGAAATACATTAAAATTTGACTCGATTTTTTCCTTCTTTATGCCTCTTTAAAAAGAATCTGACGCAGAATAGCTGGTTTCCTTCAGATGCGCAGTTTTGATATCAGCATCTGTTTCCTATTTAGGAGTAGTACCTTGCTTGGAAATTGGCCGCTATTAGGTACTTCATTTAACTAGGGGTTTACATAGTAAATGAAAGTATCTTGGGGCCAGGAAGCCAGTTGCTCGTTATACGGGATGGTAGTGACTTAATTTTACTAGGCGGATGCATAGTAAATAGAAGTACCTCGGATCTATGACCGCCAATTCTCAGGGCATTAGCATTGCCAAGAAATTGATGGATTTTTAGCGATTAATGCATTGAAATACGATTACTGCATAAGACCTATGTAATCAGGCTTAGTGAGCGTAGGTAGGGTCCAAACGCCTAGAATGGGGGTCCTTCTAGGATTGCCCTATCTGCAAGATCGTCGGACTTAGGATTTAGATGTTGCTTGTCGCAGTCACGCCCCAATATCAAAAGACAGAGCAGGACTAATTATGTTATGAATACAGAGGAAATAATTGGAAATGTGAAAATAAGATGAGGCTGTTCTTGAAAGAAATTGAGACAAAGTAATGTACATCGTGTGTGGGGGATGGACAAGGCGTAAAACAAAGGGAATTCTAAGGGCAGTCTCTATTATCCTCCAGACTCTATTATACTCGAATGATCTATTTGCCGATCTCGACACCAGCGCCACAGCCGAGGACACGCTTGATGTCACCGAAGATAGCGAACTGACCAGCAGTGATGGAGCCGACCATGAACAGACGGGCACCAATACCACCGTAGGAGCCACGGATACCGAGCTCCTTGGCGATCTTGACGAGACGGGTGACGGTTCCCTCACCGGGAGCGCCCTGGGTCTTGTTGATCTTGGAGAGCATGGTGTCGGCGGGCTGGGAGATGACGGCGGCAGCGAGACCAGCGACGAGACCGGAGCCGAGGTTGATACCGGTCTTGGAGCCGTCGGAGAGGGTGCTCTTGTCGAACTGAGCGTAGATGGCCTCGGAGACCTTCTCGAAGACGACGAACTTAGCCATGGTGTAAGGGACCCTGTGAGAACCGCGTTAGCACAAAATAGGGCTGATATGAAAATCCCAAAAAATTGACTTACTGCTTGAAGAGGATAGGTCCGAATCCGGAGTAGAAGGCACCAATGCCCTCCTCCTTCATGATACGACCCATAGCGGGGAGAAGACCGCTGGCGAAGGTGGGCTGGGAGACGAGACGAATACGGGTGGCCTCAAGGGGGCAAAGGGCGACATCAGCGAAGAACTCGGCGATACCGGCGGAGGCAAGGTAGACAGCAGTGCGGTTGTTCTTAGCGGTCTCGTAGCCGAGCATGTTGATGGACTGCTGCTTGAAGAACTCGTATCCACCGAACTTGAAGGCACCCTGAAGGAAGTAACCGGCAGCGGTGGGACCGAAGCCAGTCAGGAGAGCGCCAGCACCCTCGTTCTGGATGACCTGGCGGAAACCACCGATCATGCCACGGTTGTAGGTGACAGGGTCAAGCTGAATACGGGTCTTGACGCTGTATGCGATCCGTTGTTAGTCAAAGTTTCATGTTTCCGGCGATTGTATATAGCTTCAATCGCTTCAAATAACGAATTAACTCACACGTCGAGTGGCGTGGCCGCACCGTGTGTGATAGCACAGCAAGCAGCTCCCTGTATACAAAAGAAAGTTAGTTGACTTGGGTAGCGGAGGTGAGGTGGTTGGTCCCCGGTTTCAAGGGTTCATACAGCGAAAGAAATTCTTCCGTAGAAGTCGAAAGCGCCCATCTGAGGGGCGGGGTGGTAGTAGTGGCCATTTTGATATGGAGAACAAAAAAGCAGACAGAGAATAAAAGAGAAAGAGAGGAGAGTTAAGGTCACTTGAAGTGGTGGAGGATTGAGAGAGGAGAAAAGATTTCAAAGGGATGGGCCCGAACCCGAAAACTTTTCGCGGCCAATGCGGGAGCCACTCGGCAGCACACGGTTGCCACTAAATTCCGATCACCCGGGCAATAGCCCCAGTACTTGATAGCTTTGTTTCTATGCATTGATAGTTGTATGATATAATATAACGTTATGCCTGAAACAACATTGAGGTTCTCAATATCAAAACACCCATGATGCTTGGTCGCCCTGGTTATGCACCGGAATTATGCGGAATAATACGCACAGCCACTGACCGAGAGCGTCACATCGCAAGCTTGATATTGTATAAGCTGGGTTTTACTAAAAGCAAACTTGAAGTAGATAGGCCAGTGTCAAGGTAGATTTCATACACTATGGTCATCAAAATCGCAAACAATCGCAATCTCAAGACCCGCATCCCAGCGCAGATTTTGAGTGCCCACACAATTATCCCTACGTCAGAGTGGACACCCTGTTCCTTTTGTACGGGGGGTGGGGGAACCATTGTGGCAATATAATCTCTCCGCTTTCAGGTACTATTGGCTCCTTACTAAGGTACAGTAGTTAAAAAAAGCCTCAAAAACACAAACTCTAGAACCAAGCGGGTGAGTATCATTCTTCCATCTCTTGTGTATCGTCAGC